ATTTAATTTATTTTATAATTTCACATAAGTAAAATGTATAATATAGTAGGCAACGAATAAATAAATATACTATAAATAGTAAAATTACTATAAACAATCGTAAAAGTTAACTTTTATCAGCCTCATCGTACTGCGCATGAGCAAATATATATTTCTTATTTTATTTTATTTGACTGTATGAACGCACACAAATAAGAATTCCTTATTTCTTATTTTATTTTATTCTTATTTTATTTTATTTGGCTGTATGAACCCACCATAAGACTTACCCTGTATAACAGCAGTTTATGCCTCGGTTTATGCAGTTTATGTCGGCGGAAAAAATAACTTAGTCATGCGTAAAGCCCTATATTATGTGCAAAGTTATCAATCTCGTGTTTTGAACCCAAAATAAAAATGAGATCTAGTAGCTACCGAGGATCTATTTTATAAAACAGACCTAAAAATAGGCAACGTTAAAGGCATTCGCATTTATGAACTTCGTTTTTGACATATAGAGGGTACAATAATAATTATTTACACACACTTCCCTTTAATTCATAACGCTTACGGCACTATGCAATAAGATATGAACACACATGCCAAACACATTTTTGCATAAACTTATACCAGAGATATGGAAAGGCTATATATCTGACTTATACATACATTTTGCGAGATATTTTGAGGTTATGAGTAGGGGTGAGCCACAAAGCCTTGAGTATCGATATTTTTATCGATATATCAAATAAAGGTCCATTTTCACTCCCATGAAATTTGTGCAAATCGGCTTGTGAAAATCGGCTTGTGCAAACTTTATTTAATAAATTCATTGAGAAAAACGGATGTGCACAAGCTAATTCACATACGTGAAAACCAAGTAACGATATATTGGTCCATAAATATCGATATAGCTATCGATATAACAGATACCGCTATATCTCTTTATGAATACTTCATATCGGAAATATCTATATCTATCTATATTCACAATATCGATATTCGATCTTATTTGATTTCGTACAGGGTGGTTGTAAAATATTGAATAAATATCAACATCTCGAGAACCACATTTTTTGGAAATCGCTCGGCCACATCAATTATTTTAATTTTTCCGGGGCAGATTATGCAAAAAATGAATATTATACAGGGTTTCTCAAAAATGCTATGTCCAAAACAATTTCTTTTAATGGCAACCCTCGTGGCAACATAATTATTATTTTTCTGCATTTTTGAATTGCTCTTAAAATTCTGAATATTTTCCATGTAAGTGCTATACCCAAATCCAAGCTTTTTGGAGTTATTCGCATTTAAAAATTAAAAAGTAAAAAAAAATATTAGAAAAAAACCTTTTTTAAGATGATACCGAAGAGGATACCTTATGGAAAATGTATTCAAAAGACAACCCACAAATTTGGATGACTTGAAACATCGCATTCGGCAAATTACGCCCCAAATAATTCGAAATACATCCCCGGTAGATCCTCGGTACATCCCCTACATCCTCTAGTACATCCTCGGTACATCCCCTACATCCTCGGTACATCCCCTACATCCTCTAGTACATCCTTGGTACATCCACTACATCCTCGGTACATCCACTACATCCTCGGTACATCCCCTGGAAATCCTCTCATGTGTACACCATAAATCCCCTAAGTGTTCACCCCTCGGGTGTTCCATTTAAAAAATACAACTTTGATATTTTTTATTTATTTGGGACACTCTGTATCTTGTGAAAATATTTTTAAATTGTAGCTCTAATAGTCCTTCAACGAACTCAAAACTTACAATTTGTAAAAATCTAATCGTTTAGCTACAATACTCCGTGTCGTATATGGTGAACAACCCTGTAGAAATACACCAAGAAATTCACGACTGCGATTTTAGTTTATTTCAGTAAAGTTAATTAATTTAACTAATACCAGCAATTGTAACTAATTATTAAGCTACTTGTTAAAGATAAGTAATAAATAGTTTGTTTTGTCATGGTAACTATGATTTTATAGCGTAATTGTATTAAAAATATAGGTAAAAATAGAAATGGTGTCCCATTTAAAAAAAATTGAGATTTCTTAATTTTAAGTAGTTGAAATTCATAAATATATTTTGAATACCTTGTATCATTTAACTAAAATATCTTTATATATATCTTTTTGTTCATCTTTATAAAACTCTCCTACCAAATTTTGGTACTCCAACTTCAGAAACAATGGCACCACTGACATTTTTTTACCACACTGCAATTTAACATTTGTTTAAACAAATTAAAATATTACAAAAATTATTAATTTTAGGTATATAACATTATATAAAAAAAGTTATGGAATTTTACGCAGAATCTAAAAATAAAATAAAAAATATGGTGTTGCATTTAAAAAAAACATATATGTTATATCCGCCACACTTTTTTGAAGCACCTTGTATACTCTATAATAATTTTAAAATGTATATATTATATTAAAAATATATATATTTTTTAAACCTCGAAAGAAATGAGATAATGTACTTTACTCTATCGTTGACTCACCCTGTACAGCAAATTGTATTAGGGAATTGTATTTTATCATGATTTCACGATTATTTCAAAAATTTTATAAGAATTAAGCAAAACTCTAGCGATAATGCGCTTTGAGATAAAAATGTATATCAAGGTACATATTACTAAAAATGTAATTTATATTTTCAGTAGAGATTGATTAGGATAAGTAGCTATAACATATGTACTACTTTTATATTTACTTCAATATTTTTGTCAAGTAATGCTGTCTAATGATTATATTTATAAAATAGAAAAAATATCTCTCTATAAGGTCGTTTAACATTATATTTTCTATTCAGTATATCCTAGACAGAAAGGTATCCAGTACATTTTGTATTGAATTTCTATTTATAAACTCTATATACATGCTATAGAAATTTATAAGCGTATTAGTGATTTTATTTTCGGTTCTGTATTATTTTACTTACATCACATGTCTATGCGTTGTGATCCTATATTAGGAGTTGTATATATTAGGAGTTGTATACAGTAATAATACATTTTCACTAATAATAAAGTAATTAATATAAGAAATAAAAATCAGAGTATATACTTGTTTACCATAACAATTAATTGTTTGTTATCTTTCCAATAACCAAACTACATATTACGTTATTTGAAAATGGCGTCATATCTCAAACATTTATACCGTATTTTTATTATCTATATGCATGGGTATCATAACAATACTATTATTCAAGAAGTTCTAATAAGACTAAGCTCCTTAAGGTGAAATGTATGCATCTAGTAAATAGAGCGTTTTTTTTAACGAAAAAAAACAAACTCGATAATTATAAATTAATGAAATGCTTTGTTACAAACATATTAATGAATGAGTAAAGGTTAATTACATAAAGCGCCGTGTGTTACCGAATCTATTATTTAATTATTTTGTTATCGGAAATTAATTTACTGGAGGCTATTTATATTTACCTATGTGTATTAATGTAGGTAAACAGATGTAGTATTAATATAGGTCCAATAAAGATTTTTTTTTCAATTGTTTCGGTATAGGTAATATGAATTTTGTAAATTTTGCAATTTTTTATCAGCGGCTCTATTCAATGAAATTGTGTCTTTAATCACAACATCTTATTTTTTGATACCCAACTTAAATAACACAGGGTTGTTTTAAATTATAGCCATTATATGATTTAATTAGGTATAACATTACCTAAAGGTAACACCATACAGGGTGTCCCAATATTACGTGGACATAGATCTACTATGTATTTTTCCACATAATATAACAATAAAGCATCAATCAAAAATAAACCTAAATAACCTTAACTCTTAATTTGACGAGACATATTTTTTGCAGTTAGCTTCTGAACAACTATGCAATGTGGCGTTTTTACAACAGATAAAAATGCAGTTAATACACATGCATTTTTTACGAAAAAAAATCAGTCGTCGGTGTCGTTGTAGTTGCCAAAACATTTCTATCTAGAATTTATGTAATGATAAGAGTGGTTTTCATCCTTCCTGTACCATTTCTAGTTTTTTGTGAAAGTTAAATGTTAAAGCGTCTAGTAAAACATAGACATCCCAAATCTCATTCAAATTGGAATATCGGTTTTTAAAATATCTTAAAAAATGTGTTTAATTTTAAAACTAAGCATTTTTGTATAGAGATAAAGTTTATCCAATTAACGTATTTTGATTCCAGTGATACATAGAAGTTCTATGTCCACAGAATATTGGAACACCCTGTATAAATAACAAGAGGTTTAGTGACAACAAATAACAACCTAACCTAACCAAATATATCAACCAATTAGAATGTCTTGAAATTCCAATTCTATTCCCTGCCTACTATTATTCCAACATCATTTGACCACCGGATCCGTTATACTGACCATCCTATCGCTGACCACTTCATGATCCACTCACCACTTTTTGATCCACTGACCATTTCATGATCCACTGACCAGTTCATGATCCACTGACCATTTCATGATCCACTGACCACTTCATGATCCACTGACCACTTCATAATCCACTGACCACTTCATGACACACAGACCACTTCATGACACACTGACCACTTCATGATCCACTGAGCACTTTATGGCCAATCGACTACTGCAAGATCGACTGACAACTTAATGATGACTACTTCAAATACTTAATTTCAAGATCCACTGACCACTTCATGATCACTGACAACTTCATAATCTCCTGATCACTTCATGATGCATTGACCACTTTATCCACTGATCACCTGGTCTACTGACCATTTTCTTCATTAACGCTATATAAAAAAAAACAAAAACAAAAATACATGTTAGGACAATAAAAAGGTCTATGATGACAAAAGTATTAATGATGTATTTAAATAAGTAAGTAAAATGATTACACTGATGTGCATTCCTTACTCATTTAGTTTAAGTCTGAGACCGAGATAATATTTTCTTAACTAACTTCTTCTCAGAAGATTATAGTTTATATTAAAATTATCAATTCTTTATGGAAAAAGGTACCTACGACAGGCAAGAGACGGCAACTTGCCACGGCACATCTAAATATGAAAAAATATGCCAGTGTAGAATCGTCACAAACAGAGCTCCAAATTGTTTTCAAGCCAACCACAAAGAAGATAACCGGTGCCAAACTCGACTTGACGCTTTCCTGTGTATTTTTAAGGGAAGGAAAAGCAACGTAAGTCTCTTAGTAGCTATTCAAATGACCTAGATAATAAATATACTGGCCGGCACGAAACACGGAGACTATAAAACGTTCATGTATTTATCATTCATGTACTTAAAGGATGATGTTAAAATAATGTGTAGCTAAATTATTTGACTTTGATTTGACTTTGATATTTTTCTAATTAAAAATTAAAATCCTCATCTGCCTATTAATGTGATGAAACACAAAATTGTATTACTGTTTATGGCAGTTATTCTAGCAGTGATGGTTTTAAATCCAGTAGTTATACAGGGTGCTACAAATTCGAGGTACGAGCATTGGTATCTCGGTAACCGTACGAACATGGTTAAATTCGGGCTCGGTATCCTGAGTACAATGATATGCCACACTTAATTTTTTTTTGTTTTGACATTTGAACACAATTTATTTAAACAAATTTTAAGTCCGGCTCTGTTTTATTTGAAATATTTAATCTATATTCATCGTTACAATATTGATAAGCTTTTAAACATTGACGTGGGGTAAAACATTGAATACGAAAAATGAAATGCAGTAAAATAATTAATATAAATATAATATAATATAAACAATCAAATCATTTTCCCGGAAGATGGATTGGAAATGGTAGAGCAGTATATGTCCAGCGAGTCCAATGAGGTCCTGGACCTATCGCTAAGGGGCTACATTACTTGTCATTTGCAAAAGTGTCAAATCAATTCATTTCAGCATTTACAATAAAGAGTACAAAATGCATTGGGAAGTATAAGAAAAGTTCAAAGAGCTATAAATAAAATTGAACGAAAAATAAATTTCTGCAATAGGGAGGGTGGTAACACTTTTGAACATGTAGAACATTAGAAACTAGTTTGTAGAAGTTGATTTATTTATAATAACTACGATTAATATTATGCATATTATTAGATCGATCACATAAATTTGTGACCTGGATATTATTTATTTGAACCTTCTAGTTGGCTCGATTTTCCTTATTCAATGTTAATTAGCGCTGATCAATATTGTTGCGATGAATATAATCAGATTAAATAATTTAAGAAACCAAAGTCGGACTTGGAATTATTTTAAATAATAATTAAATAGTTTTGTTGCTGTTAAGGTACCCAAAACGAAAAAAAAGTATAAAGTGTGGCATATCATTGTATTCAGGAGATCGAGTTCTTTCAAAACCTGAAATAAAAAATGCAGGTCCGTATTTAAAACAATTAAGTTGGCCTATGATGTATCTCACGAATTTTCAGCTAATTTAAAAATATAAAATTTTTATCAGATAGCCCTAATAAAGTGGCTATGAAAATGTGTAATTACTTTTGTGATTTTCTGAAAAGTAACGACCGAGGGGTGTCTCACTATTGGAATTACATGTACATTTTCTTGGCAGTCGCTGGCAGTCATTGGCAGTCTTATGGCAGTCGCCTATAATAATTACATGGCAGTCATAGGCAGTTTTCTTCGTAGTCATTGGCAGTCGCTTGACAGTGAAAGATTATTTTGGCAGTACGTGTCCATTTTTTACCCGAGTGAGACACCCCTCGGTAACGACAGGAAAAAATAAAATTGATTTTCAAAAAAATCAGTTTTTTGCCAAAAACTCAGCAATCCTTGAAATTTTTAAAACTTTTTTGATGGCATCTTGGTGAACATCCCAATACGGCAACTTTGCTCCAATTTAACCATGTCCGTATCTATTACGGTTACCGAGATATCAATGCTCGTACTTCGAATTTGTAGCACCCTGTATTGGCTGTTGCTTTAATTGAACATGATATAGCTAAACTTCTGGATTTTAAACCATTTCTGCTGGAGTAACTGCCAAGCAATGATAATAATATACCTTTTAAATGACAGTGGCATTACAAATTTTTAACCACTGATTCATAAGCTTGCTTAGTGCTAAAATTGTTGTAAGTCGTAAATATTTAAAAGAGAATATCTCCAATAAAAATATAACTATTAAGATGAATAAAAAACTGTCTAGAAAGATGCATCTTCATAGTGATGACGCTTTGGAACAGGATCTGTTATTTTCGAAACAGGTTTGTTTTGGAACTGGCTCGGAACAGGTTTATGTGCTATCCTATACCAGTTTCAGTTCCAACTGTTCCAGCTGTTTCAAAACACTGCAACTTAAATTAAATACTTAAAAAAATAAATTCTTGGAATTGTTTAAATTATGTTATCTACTGTATTTGTGATACTAGATTCTTAATAGTGTATTTTTCAATATTAGATAATTATATATTATATTGCATTTGGCAACATCGCCAGTACGTTTTTTTGATAGCAAGAAATTCTCTTCGCCTATTCTGTTTACATTAAAAAAAACTCTGCGCAAAAAATGTACAACAAAGGAACCGCTTGTTTTTATTATCTAGGAATGTAAATTGTTTTTATTTTATATATGTATTTTACTATTTTACATATATAAAATAGTAAATATTAGATATTCTTTTCTTTCTGTATTTTTAAATATTGATTTTCTATTTAAAATTCATAATAAAAATTTAGTTGAATTTTAATTAAATATATCAAATATCGGCAACGCTGCGAAAACCGTCACCCTTGTTTTTTTTTACATCTATGCACTATATTAGTGCACTCGCACTCAATCTCGGTAATATAACGCCAAGCGACCGCGTCGCTAAAGCGATATACTACCTCGTTTCTCAACTGAAACTATTTCTTTTTACTTAACTGTTCCAAGTCCCAAACTGTTCCAAGTCCCAAAAGGTTCCAAGTCCCTAACTGTTCCAAGCGCTAAACTGTTCCAAGCCGTAAACTGTTTCAAGTCCCAAACTGAACAGTGGGACTTGGAACAGTTTAACAGTTTGCTACCTGGAACAATTTAGGGCTTGGAACAGTTTAGCGCTTGGAACAGTTAGGGACTTGGAACTGTTTGAGACTTGGAACAGTTTGCGACCTGGAACAGTTTAGGGCTTGGAACAGTTAGGAACTTGGAACTGTTTGAAATAGTTAAGTAAAAAGAACTGGTTTGAGTTGATAATCGAGGTCGTATATCGGTTTCGCTCAATGTTTCGCTAGTCTAGCCAAGTCTAGCGGACGCGACCGTTCAGGTGTTATCTGTTATCGGGATACAGGGGCGTAAAAAACAAGTGTGGCTGTTGCCATTATTTAAAATATTTAATTAAAATTCAAGTAAATTCTTATAAATTTTAAATTTATAATAATTTTTTTTAAATATTTTATTTTTTTAATGTAAACAGAAACAGAATAGGTAAGAAACATTTTTTATTATAAAAAAATGCTGGCGATGTTGCCAAATGCAATATAAGTATCGCATTATAGTTTTTTTTGAAGAATACAGTGTAAGAACAGTCGGTTATTGTTTTGTATTATAAATATAGTAGATATTAAAAAAAATTAAGCTCTTCCAAAAATTTACTCTTTAAGTATATAACAAAATTATAAATCTATGTTTATTCATTAGTGCTTATACAGGGGAGGTCTTAAATAAGTGCACATATTTTTAGGGGTTGTATATTTCGATTCTAATGAGTTTTTTTCGAGAAAACATGTTTTTGAAAAGTTTATATTTTTCGAAAATTTGATAGTTTTTTTTAAATTTTTAGTTAAAAAACATTATATCTTGGTAATATAGCAACATAGATAGTAGATTAAATTTAGAGAAAACAGAAAAATCCCCAGTAGTTCTCATTATTTAAGCAAAAAATATTCTTTTATATAAATTTAAAAAGAGAAACCGAATTAGAATGACGCAAGTACGGTATTAATTTTCGTTTTGGAACAGTTTGGAACTGGAACAGGTTTCTTGGAACAGGTATCTTTTGCAACTGGAACAGCTTGTACCTGTTATTAAAAAATCGCTGTTCCGGCCATGACTACATCTTCATAATAAAGTGTCTTTTACATTTCTTGCTTTGTTAAACTATTCCACAGTGTGTTTCGTACTTTCGCGCAAATAACAAATATTTGTATTTCATCGTATAATAGTCAGATTAGAATCTTAATTTTTAATTTAATTAAGATAGGCGTTTAGATTCACATTTAGATACACAACTTCAAAATACATGAAAATTTTAAGATTTTATGCCGGACATATGGGAATAGTGCTAATTTAAATTTGACAAATTATGTAGAAATTCGATTTTAGTATCTAATGGATAAAAACATATTTTTCATCTATTTTTTTTTTCTGTCATTTTCGAGCCATGTTTTATCAAAAGTTATTAAAAAATCTAAACTACTTAAAATCATTTCGTTGATTTTTTCTTTTAGGGACGAAGATATGCAGTCGATGGCTTCCTTAATGTCAGTAAATAATAATAGTGACGATATCGCACCGTTAGAAGATGTGGAAGACGATGATTTCTCCCAAAACGATAGTTTAATTAAAAACAGCCTCCACGAAGTTACCCATAACTTGCAACAAATGACGAATTCTTTGAGCGGTTCGGATTTTGCAAGTACTCCTATTAGTAGTAAGTTCACTTAATATACCTGTTTTTTAACAGGATTAAGATTTCCTTACAAGAGTGATTTCAGATTTTATTTTTGGTTAATTAAGAATTAACACTTACTGATCAAAAAAATTATGAAATTATGTACAGGGTGAGTCAACGATAGAGTAAAGTCCATTACCTCATTTCTTTCGAAGTTTACAAAAAAATGTTCAGTATAAAAGTTATAGGGAAGGTTAACACATTTTAAAATTATTATTGTAGGGTGTACAGGGAGCTTCAAAAAAGTGTGGCGGATACTCGGGCGGATATAACATAATATGTTTTTTTAAATGCAACACCCCATTTTTTATTTTATTTTTAAATTCTCCTTAAAATTCCAACTTTTTATATATAACAAAAAAGTATATATAAACAAAACTTTTTTATATATAATTTTATATACCTAAAATTAATAGTTTTTGTGATATTTAAATTTGTTTAAACAAATGTTAAATTGCAGTGTGGTTAAAATTTTTCGGTGGTACCATTATTTCTGAAGTTGGAATACCAAAATTTGGTATGATAGTTTTATAAAGATGAAAAAAAAGATATATGTAAAGATATTTTAGTTAAATGCTACAGGGTGTTCAAAATATATTTATGAATTACAACTACTTAAAATTAAAAAATCTCAAAATTTTTAAATGGTACACCCTATATATTTTCATTTTTTCTGATAGATTTTGCCAAGCTCTTCAACTTTTATTAAGTATATCATATACTTATTTACAATAGTTTACAATTTATTCCAATTTTTTCTATTTTTACACTAATTTTTAATACTATTACGCTATAACATCATAGTTGCCGTGATAAAAAAAAAATATTTATTGCTTATCATTAACAAGTAGTTTAATAATTACTTACAATTGTTATTATTAGTTAAAATTAATTAACTTTACTCAAATAAACTAAAATCGTAGTCGTGAATTTCTTGGTGTATTTCTATATTATGAAAGATAACACTTGTATTTTCCGTCAGGTTAACTAGGTTACCTAATTGTTTACGACGACGACTACTGATATAGGAATTTTCTTCAACATACAGTAACTTTTTTTTTCTAGTTAGTATTCTGGCTTATTGTTAATTTCGTAAAGTCAATATTACTACAGCCGCGAAACCGTCCCCATTACACACTGAAAATAATATAATATAATATGAAAATGTTTTCTTGATAATCTACATCTGTTCTTATAGTACTTAGCAAAGTACTATACATATAATATATAGTGTACTGAACCAAAAAGTATGTTTATCTTGGTTTGTTCGTGTATCAGTCACATTGACTAATTCATTTTCAGGAAAATCTGTAACTATTATCTCTACCTCTACGATTTATACTTATTACAACAAATTAAACTGAAATTTATGTTTTGTTCTTAACTTGCTTAACAGACATGAAATTTGGATAATTATTATTTTTTGTCATGGCAAATATGATGTTATTGCGTACCTAATTGTATTAAAGATATGGGTAAAAATAGAAAAAATTGGAATAAATCGCAAACTATTAAAAAGAGGTATATGACATATTTAATAAATGTTGAAGAGCTTTGCAAAATCTATCAGAAAAAATAAAAATATATAGGGTGTACCATTTAAAAAAATTGAGATTTTTTAATTTTAAGTAGTTGAAATTCATAAATAAATTTTGAACACTCTGTAGCATACGTATATCTTCACATATATTTTTTTTTCATCTCTATGAAACTCTCATACCAAATTTTGGTATTCCAACTTTAGAAACAATGATACCACTGACAATTTTTTACCACACTGCAATTTAACATTTGTTTAAACAAATTTAGCGCTAGAAGCAATTCTGGACTTGCAATCAATCGACTGGCTCGTGAAGGATCTGGCCGCTAAGGGTACCCTAAGATTAAGGGAATCCAATCTGTGGAACCAGACCAACTACGGTCACTCGAGGATATTGCCAGTGATAGGAAAAATCATGGTGAACATGAGTCCACATCTGCTAGACCAGAAAACGGACTATATGCTCACCAAACATGATTTTGGAGAAAAGATAAGGATTCGCATCCTGACAAGAGATGAATGGGAAAGCAACCGAGTAATGAACACTCAAGAGATAGCAGTCTACACAGATGCTTCCGCAAACTCAGGGGGCACAGGTGTAGGCATCTTCTCAGAGAAACTATAGACATCCGACGATCTTTGAGGCTATCGGATGGCTGTAATGTTCTACAAGCAGAGGTTTACGCCATAAAGGAAGCGGCTAGATGTAAGAAAATTGCTGATAGACCAATAGGGGATATAGTGATATACTCTGACAGCTTGGCCGCTTTAAGAAGCATCACCATGCAATCAGTGAGATCGAAAACTGTGATGGACTGCCGAGAAGCACTGTCCTGGCTGCGTCGGGGCGGGGCTACTCTGTGCTGGGTGCCAGGCCACAGCAATGTGGTGGGCAATCTGGAAGCAGATAGACTCGCCAAAGACGGGGCCAGGGGAGAGGCCGTGGCAGATGATCCACCACTTGCGACGATCAACACACTGAAGGAGGCTATAGGAACTACCATCAAAGCCAAGCAGCAAGAGATGTGGCAACACCATGAGGACTGCGCTACAGCTCGAAGACTATGGCCAGTGGTAGATAGCAAAAAGACAAAACAACTACTAGTGCACAAAAAGAACCATACGAAGTACGCATAATTGTAGGTGTCGTCACTGGAAACTGTCCCACGAGGGTAAACCTCGTAAGATGGAAAGTTTCCGACGACGACTACTGCAGAGAATGCGGAGAGGAAGAAGAAACCATAGAGCACCTGCTGTGCCACTGTCCGGCACTGGAATACCGACGCTTTAAAACTTTAGGGCAAGGTTTTTTGGAGGGACTAGAGGAAGCAGCAGAAGCCAACATCAGCGACATCGGGAACTTTGCAAAGAGCTGGAAGTGCTTTAACGCAAAGAAAGAATGAGAGGAAGGTTTGGTAAAACAATACAGGGGTATCGCAATGGGCCCAAGGCCTCCGAGTGAGGGATCAAATATGATCCCAAACCCCAGCAACCTAACCTAACCTAACCTAAACAAATTTAAATATTACAAAAACTATTAATTTTAGGTATATAACATTATATGTAAAAAAATTATGGAATTTTACGCAGAATCAAAAAATATAATAAAAAATAGGGTGTTCCATTTAAAAAAAAACATGATGTTATGTCCGCCACACTTTTTTGAAACACCCTGTATACTCTATAATAATTTTAAAATGTGTATCTTAACCTTCCCCATAACTTTCATATTGAACATTTTTTTGTAAACCTCGAAACAAATGAGATAATGGACTTTACTCTATCGTTGACTCACCCTGTACAGTTTATTCAAAGTGAGATGCCACTAAATACTAACAAATACATGGGGATTGCACTTGAACATTAATACTACAGTTACAGTATAGTCTTTCGAATGAGAGAGTCCATGAAATCTTACCTGACTCGTTAGACAGACTACTGTCCGTCTACTGGATCTGTGTATATGAAAGGTATTTCAAGAATGCGACAAACCGACCTTGGAGAGCAGTGCAATCGCTTATCGGTAAAATAGTTGTGTAATTTTATTGATTTTTTATTGTTTTTCTTCTTAATTTTTCAATTTTTATACAGATTATGTCTCGTTTACGTAGAAAAACATGATTTTTACCCGATAGGCCAACTCGCGATAAGCTCCATTAAGAAATAAAGAAGAGTACGGGCTAAGCAAGTGACATCTAGGGCTTGACCTCGCCAATATTATCATCGATTGTCATTCCCGAGCCGTCTTTGACGCCGTTTTTTTTCGATCGTATGGTATTATATTACTTTAGTATTACTATTCACGTGCATTCCTCGTGTACTTGTTTTCGTTCGGAGCATTTTGGCGTAGAATAAAGCTTGATGCATCCGTTATCCGACGATACGATGATACGATATTAATTTTATTGGTTGAATTTAAAGACTTCGATTGGTTAGAAACGGTTAACCAATCTAAGCTTTTCAATTCAACCAATTAAATTAATATCGTCTCATCGTATCGTCGGACAACGAACGCATGAAAATCAAGCTTAAAGTGTATGCTTGTCCCTTGTATTAATATTCTTTTTTTTAGTAAACAGTATACAGTCTCTCTCGCGCGACGACAAGACGCCAACGGTGGAAATGTTTTCGCCCATCGCCGACAAATCTAAACTAGTCAAAAATTTCCCCGCCCCAAAGGTCACCGACTTTCCCGCAATCGATCGCGACATCTATTCGGAAGAATGTTCCGATCTCTTGGACAAACTGGACAATTTGGAGGAAGACGACTTGTTGGACAGGAAACCGACAACCGCACCGAAGATCGTCAGTGTCAGTACCAAACCGGAAGTAACGTTAACTAGCAAGCCCATCGCCGAAACCAATAACAAGAACGCCAGTCTAAAGTTACCGCCTCTGGATTTGAACAAAGATCACATAGAAACGCCGAAACATCAGCAGAAACTCACCACGCCAGGTAAAACTACCTATTAATATTAATAATAGTGAAAAATGGTATGTTGAGAAAAACTGTTGTGTCGTTATCTGACAAACGAATCTTAATTTAATTGCTTTTCGAACGATAACGAATGTTTTGACAAATTTAATTTAACCTTAATAAAAATATAATAGTACGAGATCTAGCAACGTCGCGTCGGGAAAACAAGAATTTTAAGAAAGCTGATTCTTTAATATATTGTTTGCTATGTTCTTCTCACCAAAGTGCGGGCTGTCTGGCTTCCGGTAGATGTTGCGTTTACTACTACGCAGCTACGCATCTATGTGTAGCATATTTAGTTTCATAAAAAAAGGAGCAAAGTGATGTAAAAACCGCATCATTGTATCTACTCATAAAGGAGAAATCCCATAAAACTTAACAAAATGGGACACCCTGTATCCTGTATATGCGATGCGCAGTAGTGAACACAGCGTTTACCAGCAGCCAGACGGTTCGCACTCTGTTTAGGAGAGCATAGCAAAAGATATATTAAAGAACCAGCTTTCGAAATAAAAATATAAAATGACACCAATCACAAGCAAATCGTATATCCGATATACTATTCATTTACATTTCACTTTACAGCGTTTTTCGACATTTCTTCCATACATAATTTCTAAGTTAGCGAAAACTCATTGCGTCATTTGTCAGTTTTTTGTGTTTGGTTGGTTTATGGTTGTTTGTATTTGATATCTATTCTTTGATTGTTTATTGATTCGATTTTAATAATAAAAATCGTGTATGTAATAGGACAGAAATATAACGCCAAGTAATAACTATACGGGGTGGTTTGAACTGTATTCCGGAAACTTCGGCAGCATATTCTGCAGATAAAAATAAGTAAAAAGTTTGCATAAATGAATGTCTTAGTTTCGGAGATTTCGGAGATACAGGGTGTAAAAGTTTAATTTTTATTTCGATTTTTTTCCAAATAATTTCTGAAGTAACGTAAAACGTTTCCGAAACTAAGCATTTTAGGACATTTATTTATACGAACTTTTTATTTATTTTTATCTGAAGAGTATGCTGCTGAAGTTTCCGGAATACAGTTCGGAGCACCCTGTATACAAATTTCATAAATATTTTTCTATTTCTGTCTTAGGTCAGGATTTAATGGAATGGTGTAAAGAAATGACTAAGGATTATTCTGGAGTTAAAGTTACCAACCTAACGACTAGTTGGAGAAACGGCATGGCGTTCTGTGCTCTTATTCACCATTTCAATCCGGAATTGATGTAAATATTTTTTTTATATTTCGGATTTGTTTTATTAATTTACAATATTTTAGCGAATTTGACTCTTTATCCCCCCATGATATTAAAGCTAATTGTAAAATAGCTTTTGATGCAGGTGATAAGCTGGGTATACCACGAGTTATAGAACCATCTGATATGCACATGTTAGCTGGTAAGTATTTTTTACAATATACACATATAGTTCAACATCTATTAAAGATATTTCATCAAGGCGTCATTTCTGTTACGAAAAATAACTCAATTTGAAAATATTTAAACTTTTACTATTTCAGTTCCTGACAAATTAGCTGTAATGACTTACCTCCATCAACTTAGAGCTCACTTCACTGGTCACCAGCTAGAAGTTCAGCAGATTGGTAGGACTGCTGAGGAGAGTAATTACGTCATAGGGAGGTTTAATACCGACAAGGATACCGATATTACTAAGCAAGTGTTTGGTCAAGAAATTATTAATTTGAGGATAGCCAAACAAACCAGGAAATCTACAGGTACTTATAGACGCGGTATTTTTTTCCTTCAGAATTTTGACACAAAAAAATTGTAGAAAGAGAGATGAATATAGTCAACAAAGAAAAAGGGGATGCATCAAAACTCACCTTGCCACTCAAAATAACCACGGAACCTTTACCTGTTAAAGAAAAATCACCTACTGTAGTGAAAGATGTAAAAGATATATTATTGAGCAGTTCTAAAAATATTATGAGCAAGGTTTGTATTACCACTTTAAGAATTGTACAGGGTGAGTGTTAAATAGGTGCAAATATTTGAGGGATGTTATATTTCGACCCAAGTAAAATGATAATTTTGTATTTTTCTGGCATTTTTCGTCAAGTCTTAAAATACTTTTGTGCTGTTGGTTCATTCTCCTGAAATTTCTTAATAAGTTATTTTTGATAACTCTACAGGGTGGTCCGAACTGTATTCCGGAAACTTCGGTAGCATATTCTGCAGATAAAAATAAGTAAAAAAGTCTTTATAAATGTATGTCCTAAAATGCTTAGTTTTGAAGATACAGGGTGTAGAAGTTTCATTTTTATTTCGTTTTTTTCCAAATAATTTATGAAGTAACGTCAATATTGGAATGAGAATTTGTGTCTGGTAGTTTATCGACATGAGAAATTTGAAGATAAATGAAAGAAGTTTAGATTGGAAAGTGCCCAAAAGGACAATGTAAACACTATTTGGTGCTATTCTTGCAACGGTCGCGACCCAAAGCTTTTGATAATTTCGGATCGGTGCGGCTTTTTCCGGAATTATGGTGCCAAATATTATTTATTCAAATTTATTATTATTTTCTTTTAATTTTATAAATAAAATACAGTGTGTTGCATACAAGAAACTTTATTTTATATAAGAACATATAATATGTGAAATATCTATGACACATTGAAAACCGATGTTATGCCACGATCCACGAGGGTTTTCACAGTTCACAACACAGTTTTTTAGTTTTTAATGCCACTTTTTCACAATTATCACAGGTTTGAGTAAATAAAATTTAAATTAAACTCACAAGATAGCAATAATTACTTTGAGACTGGACGCTTTAAACACTTTTCAGTATTTTTACAATGAGCGCGGTTTAAATTTTGAAAGATCTTATAATTTTTGAAGATTCTGACTTTGACAAAGAGAAAGTTATTTCCGTTATTGTTAGCGGTTGTTCTTAGCAACCGCTAGAGCAGCGCCAAATCGCGTACAACGGTCGCGACCCAAAACAATTATATATATTTTGACGGACTTTCCAATCTATATTTATTTCCTTTATGATTTGATTTTGATGTCAATATGACTCCTACTTGTAGAGGGTGCCACCTACATATTTTTAACTGGTTTGAAGACTAATAACGTGGGTAAAAAAACTATATCTAATCCGTAAATTTCGTCCGTACCTGTATAAAACTATACATTTACAATGGAAATTATTAATACCTGTCATCAGTGACATAAATTAAACATGTTGACTAAATAGTTATTATACTGAAATCATAAATTTGAAATGTTTTTGTGTCAAAAGTTCAACAGAAACTGTTTTATCATCATTTTTTCGCAGGAAAATTTAAGATTAAAAAAAAAATAAAAATTTCCCAAATTTATTATTTTAGTCAAATAACTATCTACTCAACGTGCTTATTTTTTGTTAATAATAACATGTATTGACTATTTCCGTTCTAAATATCTTTGCTCGTAGCTACTTTTACCAACATATATTTTTTACTCGGTTTTTTACGATTTAACAAAATACAGAAATGTATATTTTTTCACTCAGTAGTACAGGTAAGAACGAAAAGTTATTACTCTCTAAACTAAAACAGTTAAAACGAATTTAGGTGGCGATTCCTAGAAATAGGAATCATATTGACATCCAAATCAAATTTCTCATGTCAAAAAACCCCCAGACACCCATTTTCATCCAAATACTGACGTTACTTCAGAAATTATTTAGAAAAAATCATAATAAAAATGTAACTTCGACATCCTGTATCTTCGAAACTAAGCATTTCAGGACATACATTTATACGAACTTTTTTACTTATTTTTATCTGCAGAATATGATGTCGAAGTTTCCGGAATACAGTTCGAACCACCCTGTATACTATTTTGAAACTTTGTAATGTGACCACCTCGTAACTAGTATCCTCCTGAATAATTCGTTGGGTGATATGGAGTTTTTCATATAAAATCAATTATATTATTATACTAAATAATATATTTGAAATATATATAGAGTTAAAATCTTCACAAATATTATGAGCAAGGTTTGTATTACCACTTTAAGAATTGTACAGGGTGAGTGTTAAATAGGTGCAAATATTTGAGGGATGTTATATTTCGACCCAAGTAAAATGATAATTTTGTATTTTTCTGACATTTTTCGTCAAGTCTTAAAATACTTTTGTGCTGTTGGTTCATTCTCCTGAAATTTCTTGAGTTATTTTTGATAACTCTACAGGGTGGTCCGAATTGTATTCCGGAAACTTCGGTAGCATATTCTGCAGATAAAAATAAGTAAAAAAGGCTTTATAAATGTATGTCCTAAAATACTTAGTTTTGAAGATACAGGGTGTAGAAGTTTCATTTTTATTTCGTTTTTTTCCAAAAAATTTATGAAGTAACGTCAATATTGGAATGAAAATTTGTGTCTGGGAGTTTATCGACATGAGAAATTTGAAGATAAATGAAAGATGTTTAGATTGGAAAGTGCCCAAAAGGACAATGTAAACACTATTTGGTGCTATTCTTGCAACGGTCGCGACCCAAAGCTTTTGATAATTTCGGATCGGTGCGGCTTTTTCCGGAATTATGTCGCCAAATATTATTTATTCAAATTTATTATTATTTTCTTTTAATTTTATAAATAAAATACAGTGTGTTACATACAAGAAACTTTATTTTATATAAGAACATATATGTGAAATATTTATGACACATTGAAAACCGACGTTATGCCACGATCCACGAGGGTTTTCACAGTTCACAACACAGTTTTTTAGTTTTTAATGCCACTTTTTTAGAATTATCACAGGTTTGAGTAAATAAAATTTAAATTAAACTCACAAGATACCAATAATTACTTTGAGACTGGACGCTTTAAACACTTCGGTATTTTTACAATGAGCGCGGTTTAAATTTTGAAAGATCTTATAATTTTTGAAGATTCTGACTTTGACAAAGAGAAAGTTATTTCCGTTATTGTTAGCGGTTGTTCTTAGCAACCGCTAGAGCAGCGCCAAATCGCGTACAACGGTCGCGACCCAAAACAATTATATATATTTTGACGGACTTTCCAATCTATATTTATTTCCTTTATGATTTGATTTTGATGTCAATATGACTCCTACTTGTAGAGGGTGCCACCTACATATTTTTAACTGGTTTGAAGACTAATAACGTGCGTAAAAAAAACTATATCTAATCCGTAAATTTCGTCCGTACCTGTATAAAACTATACATTTACAATGGAAATTATTAATACCTGTCATCATTGACATAAATTAAACATGTTGACTAAATAGTTATTATACTGAAATCATAAATTTGAAATGTTTTTGTGCTAAAAGTTCAACAGAAACTGTTTTATCATCATTTTTTCGCAGGAAAATTTAAGATTAAAAAAAATAAAAATTTCCCAACTTTATTATTTTAGTCAAATAACTATCTACTCAACGTGCTTATTTTTTTGTTAATAATAACATGTATTGACTATTTCCGTTCTAAATATCTTTGCTCGTAGCTACTTTTACCAACATATATTTTTTACTCGATTTTTTACGATTTAACAAAATACTGAAATGTATATTTTTTCACTCAGTAGTACAGGTAAGTTATTACTCTCTAAATTACTCTCTAACGAAAAAAGTAAAAAAAATACTCTCTAACGAAAAGTTATTACTCTCTAAAACAGTTAAAACGCATTTAGGTGGCGATCCCTAGAAATAGGAATCATATTGACATCCAAATCAAATTTCTCATGTCAAAAAACCCCCAGACACCCATTTTCATCCAAATACTCACGTTACTTCAGAAATTATTTAGAAAAAATCATAATAAAAATGTAACTTCGACAACCTGTATCTTCGAAACTAAGCATTTCAGGACATACATTTATACGAACTTTTTTACTTATTTTTATCTGCAGAATATGCTGTCGAAGTTTCCGGAATACAGTTCGAACCACCCTGTATACTATTTTGAAACTTTGTAATGTGACCACCTCGTAACTAGTATCCTCCTGAATAATTCGTTGGGTGATATGGAGTTTTTCATATAAAAAATCAATTATATTATTATTCTACTAAATAATATATTGAAATATATATAGGTTAAATCTTCACCTGGCAAAGATAAGCAAACCAAGAAACAGGAAGAAAAGAAAATTGAACAAAAGAAACCATTATTGATGACGAGAAGAGAATTAACGGATCCTTTTGGATCGGACGACGAGGATGATCAGTCGACATTGACAGGACAACAAACAGGCAATCCACCAGATATTAATGGGGAAATACTCAACGGAATATCGGAAAATTCTGATAAAGATAAATCTGATGTATTTGCAGATTTACCCAAACCCAATCCAGTAAGTCCATTTCAAATTATTCTATTATAGCTTTTGTCACCTAATTGAGATAGTTTACTCGTCTTGGAACACAGATTTACAAAACTTAACTCATTATCAGGTAAACACCCACATAGACACATTTCTAAATACAGGGTTGTTCACCACATACGACACGGAGTATTGTAGCTAAATGATTAGATTTTTAGAAATTGTAAGTTTTGGGTTCGTTGAAGGACTATTAGAGCTACAATTTAAAAATATTGATACAGAGTGCCCAAAATAAATAAAAAATATCAAAGTTGTATTTTTTTAAATGGAACACCCTGTATATCATTACATTTTTAGTTTCTACGATTAAAATAAAGGTAAATTTGATTAAGGTTTATTACACTTAAACCTTACCGTTTTTGAAATATTTTCAATTTTGTGAAATTGCAGTAAAAATTTTAAGGCTTCATTTCTCCAAGAGTATCAAAGTTTTTAATACTAAATATTTACTGAAGTCTATTTATTGATCAGTTACTGTGTTGCAATAATAAAAATAATACTACCTCATACAGAGTGTCTAAAAATTTATTTTAAATTATTTCTAGCTTTAAACGGCAATAATTGATTTAATTTAAATGGAACGCCCTGAATATTTTAGGAGAATCAGATGCACAATTTAATTGTCTATCAAATTGTATTATACCATTTTTTATCTATCCCTTCAAGTTTTCGTAGAAAATACATTTTCTTATAATTTAGAACTCATTTATCAATATACCCCTGGAATATTAAAATTTTAGATTGTTTTTAAAGCAGCAAATGTACAAAATGTACAGGCTAGTTGTTGGGTTTTTGAAAGCCGTACGACGTACGATGCGTACAAGGCCTTAGCGCAGGACCTTGATCGCCGCCGGCGGGGAGCGCGGCGCTGGCAGAAGTCACGTAGGCCCACAGCGCAGCCGAAAAGCTTACAAAAACTTAGTATTGCCTGGCCTTTAAGGGGGAGTGCATCGCACTACCATTTTTCTGTTGTCGTGTTATTCAGTAAATTAGAAATAAAGACCATATTGACAAAGACACTCGATTTATTGTCTGTAGCTGTATATAAAAAGTAAACATCATTGAAAAAGACGCTCCACTAGTAACATTATTGTTTTTAGTAAAATGAGAATATTGCTAGCCCATTTGTATGCAAAAAGAATACTATATAAGTCTTTATAAAATAGTTTACCATTAATTAAATATACCACCATTATTTCCTCCCAAATACTAATTAATTACATACTTAATCGTTAATAAATTATTCTAAATAAATGTGGATTTGAATCAGAAATCCATATAATAATAAGTTATGAAAATGAATATCTTTGTTGTTACAAATAAACATTTGTCAAAAAATGAAATATCATTTTTAAGGTGTTACTTTTTACCACACTGTCTAATACACATACGAAATTCAGTTATTTAGTATTTGGAGCAATTATTATTAATCAACGCAAACAGTCAATTAATGTAGTTTGAATACTGGAATCATATTAATTGGTCCTTTTTAACAAATATTTAAACAGGTTTTTTTATTTTTTAATGAAATAAACAAACTATATCGACAATATTAGTATTTGTACTCTTTAAAAATTTGGTACATCTTTAAAAATAATCTAAAATGTCAATATTCCATGGGTATATTGATAAATGAGTTCTAAATTACAAGAAAATGCATTTTCTACGGAAACTTGAAAATATACGTAAAAAATGGTATAATACAATTTGATAGACAATTAAATTGTGCATCTGATTCTTATAAAATATACAGGGTGTTCCATTTAAATTAAACAAGTTATTGCCGTTTAAAGCTAGTAATTATTTAAAATAAAATTTTAGACACTCTGTATAAGGTAGCATAATTTTTATTATTGCAACACAATAACTGATCAATAAATAAACTTCAGTAAATATTTAGTATTAAAAACGTTGATACCCTTGGAGAAATGAAGCCTTAAAATTTTGACTGCAATTTCAGAAAATTGAAAATATTTCAAAAACGGTAAGGTTTAAGTGTGAATCAAATTTACCTTTATTTTAATCGTAGAAACTAAAAATGGAATAATATACAGGGTGTTCCATTTAAAAAAATACAACTTTGATATTTTTTATTTATTTGGGACACTCTGTATCTTGTAAAAATATTTTTAAATTGTAGTTATAATAGTCCTTCAACGAACCCAAAACTTACAATTTGTAAAAATTTAATCGTTTAGCTACAATACTTCGTGTCGTATGTGGTGAACAACCCTGTATATATTTTGTTTATAATATTGATTTAGACAAAATTCATAGAAAAAAAAACAAAGAATTAAAATGACATCAACTCATTGTCAAAATTCTTTTTCTTGATAGACTATATATTTATATGACAAAACTAAACATACAATAAAATAAATTATTAATTCTCTACAAAACTATACTTATGACACTTAATAATTACAAAAAAATAGTGGGCGATATCCCTAGAAAAGGAAACTATAATAAAACCACATAAACACGAAAGTAGAGACTTATCTAATCATTCCGGAGAGGTTTTTTCAGAAAAGCAAGGTTCAGTAGTTTTTAATTCGAGTTGATGATAATTTAAGTATATTTTTGATAAGGTTTGGCATAGAATTAAACTGTTTTTCATGCGTGTTGTGCAGCAAATTTTAATGCGCCACTCAGAGCAAAGAGAAAGGGCCAGAGTACTTCTAGAGCAAGCAAAGAGGGATAGTTCAAATCCAACGTCACCAACCAAGGTAAGCCAGCTTATGTATACAGGGTCGTGTCTCTTAAATAAGTGCAAGTATTTTACCTGGTGGTATATTTCGACCTCAGAAACACGCCCATGAGGTTTCTTTTGCAAAAAAAATTGAAAAAAAATACATTTTTCCTGGCAATTTTCATATTTTAAAAAAGTGTGCGTTTTTCGAGGTGTGTTGGAAATTAGTGATCCCAACATGATGAGAGTGTAGTGTAGTTAAGCTGAATATTGCAATTTTAGGTTAAAAATTATAATACTCCTTAAAACACTTTCATTTATTTAAGAGACACCCTATACGGGGCATGTGCTAACAAAAAAGCTTTTTAAGCTACTTTCAGTAATTTCAGTAACCATATTTTGCTTAACAAATTTAAAATACAATTTGTCTGGCGACAGAATATGTGATATATTATTGCTAATCACAAAAAAACTAAACAAAAATTAGTTTAATTTTAAATTGCAAAAATTCCCTTAGACAGAGAGAGAGAGAGAGATTTTAACTTTTGACCGAGCTTTTGACAGATAAGCATGTTGTTAAGGGATCGGGGGGTCCTTGTATGATAAAACCATTATTACACGACTAAAATTACTGTATCCCTACTTAATTATATGACAGAAATAATACAGTAACGATTAATTATTGATTTTGATCACTTTCGCTTGATCCCTTCCATTTTCACCGTATATTAATTCAAAGTCAGACTTTTCCCACCTTCGCTCTTTATATATTGGTAGATCTATAGCCATCTCTCAATCTCCCTAACTTCTATGTCTTTTCCGTGAAAATTTGATTAGGGGAATGTTCAAATTTCTTTTCCATTAGGGTTAAGCTTAATTTTCATGCATCCGTTGTCCGACGATACGATGATACGATATTAATTTTATTGGTTGAATTTAAAGGCTTCGATTGGTTAACCGTTTCTAACCAATCGAAGTCTTTATATTCAACCAATAAAATTAATATCGGACCATTGTATCAACGGATAACGGACGCATGAAAATTAAGCTTTAGTAGTTCCGTATATTATCGAGAGATGTTGCTAGACGGTAGCGGTGCGTGGAGTATCTTTTATTGTTCCACTTCATATTATCCCATTCACTTCGGAAGAACTATATCTCCTTTGACACAAACGATAAAGGCGGGTTGACACGGTCCCATAATTGTATTTGAACCAAGTGCTACCATATAACTGTGCTTATTGTAATCGCAAAACATTTTCCGATGCACGTCATCAATCATATCGATATTGACACTAAAGTCTATAAACCTGACTAAATGAAATTTTGGCAACAATGTTTAAATTTGTAGTATAATTTAAGATACTGAGCAGCTCTTCATTTTACTTTATAGAGCAAATTATTGTAACAGATCTTTTATTTAGATTAAAGCTGCTAAAATTAGTTTAAACCGAATTTTATTATCGCTATGTTGGTTACATTGCGCCGTGTTCAGCAGATTTGTCCTTTATTATTTGACAATTATTCTAGTGCCCAAGCAGCATTTGGACGTCGGGACAACTTTGTGTCACGCGACCAAACGTCGGGGCGCAACGTCGTGCCAACCCTAGTCTGCACTAGTTTGGAGAATAATTTTTGGATCGAAACGACGTTGGATACCGACGTTGGCTAGAAGCCTAATTTAGTACAAACTGCAACGTTGTTTAAAATCCTAATTCACAGAAATACAAAACTAATATGGCGTCTAAGTCGCGTTTTATCCTAAATTGGGATAATTATAGTAAAAATATTATTTTTATGATTTAGTTAGAGACATATGTCAGATGGCAGTGAAGGAAAACAAAACAAAAGTATTTAAGTGTGGAGGATGTTTGAAGATCATAATTATTCAACACTTTAACCGACTCTGTAACTCGTTACCCAAGGCAAAAAAGTTAAACGCAAACAACTTTACTGATAAATGTATTGTTTCTATTTTGAAAAATACTAATGGGCCTTAAAATTAAAGAAGTTTTAAAAATTTTCTTTAATTTTTTTTTTTAGTAAAATGAGAATAATTTATTCGCAGTCGAAAAAATTGTTTCCGCGTGTTTTTTAGGGTCAAATATTTCAAGTTAATGTATTCAAAAAGCAGTAATTGCTATTTTAGAAACGAAACATTTTCTTATTTAACAACATGACGGCTTTCACTTTGTTGTTTTGGAGATTAAGATGGAGTAGTTCGAGTAGTCGCATACTGGACTAATAAAGTCGCAGTTCGGCCTTAACAGGTAGTATACTAGTCGCAAGATTGCCTAATTTAGTCATCCTAGAGTCTAGCTTGTGCCGCCCTCTATAATCTAAATAAACGAGGGAGTGGATAAACTATCGGTAATATATGTCGATGTATATTTAAATTTAGTTTTATATGTACCTTTCTTATGTCCCATTTTAATTAAGTTTTTTTTTTTATAAAAACAAAAACAGCACTGAACTGTCTGACTGAACAGAACAACGAAGTGAAAATTTAAGATTTAAGGTTATGGTTCAATACAGTTGCAAAAAGGTAGTGACTCGTTAGAATAAGGAAATACGTAGTGAACGTAAGAATAAGGAAATTTAAACAACGTTGGAATTAGTAAAACAGACGACGTTTGCATAACGTTGGAATAGGTCCTGAAACTGACGTCGGAAAACTCTATATTGTCCAACGTTGTAACTACGTTGTCCGAATCACCTAAAGATCACTTAAGCAAAAAGGTTACAAGACAACGTTTATTCGACGTCGCAGAAGCTTCTACTTTGCTGTAGTACTAGTCCAACGTCGGCACAACGTTATAAAAACGTTTAAATTTATTTTAATACCCAAGGTAGGGAGCTAACTATTTTTTGTAACTAATCCAACGTTGTGTTTAGTAAACATGTGGTCGCAAGTCGTGAAAATGCTACTTGGGTGTCAGTCATTATTTTGTATAATATCGTGTTGTGAATCTTTATGAGTAATTCTCTTTTTTTTTGCCTATTTTCATAGTCTTCTTTTAAAAATTGCACTTTTAAGCACAAACAGTTCTTTTAAATACTAAATTTTCGAATTTTTGTATTGCATTTCTTGAAATTGTGTGTTGAAAGTAAAGAAAGCATTTAAGCATTTAAACAGTCGAAGCAAAGAGCTTCTAGCTTCCCTGTTTTTTTTACTATTTTGAACGAGAACGTGACAATAAAGATCCTTTATTACCCTTGACTGCAGTCAGAAAAGTAAGTTTGATTCATAAGCACATTATACCACTTAAAAGTTAGAAAGTTAGTTTTTATTAAATTCTGTGATTATTAGTTTTGCAATAATAGCACCCTCTTACTTGTTATTACCACTTATTGCGTTGTAAGATGTACATCAATAAATAAATAACCCATAATAACGCTTATAATATTCTTCATAATGGACTAGTTTTTGCCAATATGTAATAAGTAAAATAAGCTATAAAACAAATAAATCAATTAATCACTAAAATATTAGTTATTTAATTAAAAATAAAACGTAAAACTATTTAAACTTTAAAAAATTATATAATAAATATGTTGTTTGTCAATTTTAAATTAAGATTCATCTCATAAATCCATCACAATCTGGCAGCGCTGTCACCATCGCTTGTCACTCAAAGTTGATCACGTGCATCGGAAATTGTTTTGCGATTACCATATAATAATATCTTATGCTTATAATAATTACACTTGTCGCTGCTTGTATTATATCAACTGTCTTAACCAAGTCAAGAAGGTTTCCTAACATTCAAGTAAGTAAGCTGGCTGCCAATTTTCTTGATTGTTACGAAGCCTTCTAACTCGACTTGGTTAAAACAGTTGATACGATAGAAGTACAAGTGTACTTGGCTCAAGTACTATCGGACCCTGTCAATCGGGCTCAGTAGAGGTGGAACTTGCAGTAACTATTGATTAATATTTAATTAACATCTCTATAATCCATATTTTTCGGTTATGTAAGTTACATTCTGTCGCTTGTCAAACTATATCTCCATCCCATTAGATACACATAATATTCTTAGTAGAATTAGCTAAGAGCCATTTTATTTTCTTTATTGGTACAGTCAGAGGAAGAGCGGCAAAATCAGCTTCGTGAACGCGCGAGGCGGATGCTTGCTGATGCAAGACGAGGTTCAGGACCGACAACAGAAATTATTCGAGTAAGCCCGGATTCTTACAAGCCCTATATAGAGTCGGAGGATTTGAATTTTGAAAAGCACCCAAGCACAGGTTAGTTTTAAAAAGAATTTATAGTTGCAAGTACTGAAAAAAATAAAACTTATTAGACTCGGAGAGAAATGGAAATATATACTCGCAAAATAAAGGAGACGAATACTCAAGGAAGCAGAGTCCGATCGACAGTGTGGATAAGTTCGAGAGAATTACTCCAGACAAACTACCTGACGATCTAGGACTAAAGGAGGTATATATTTGTCTTGTTATATTTTTACTAGAAACGAAACTCATTTATTTTTATCATACAATGAACGCATTGAGTTGCTTTTGGTGTACTAGGCCTACTCATAGCTAGATTAGGGTTACTAGTTAATTTAGTTAATATACGAGTATGTATGTACTACAGTTAACTATTCCAAAACCTACTTTATCATCATATAATTTTGAATGAATTTATATATAATAAACACCATAATACTTATCCGTATGATTGAAAAAAAAACAAGTTGGGTGGGAAGTGACGATCGATAACATTTCCCATATAAATTTACATATAAAATGACAACGATTTTCATTTCATAGCCATCGCTGACGCCGTTTTTTTTTCGATCGTACGGTAATACTAGTTTTGCAAAATAGCCTAGTTTTGAAAAATATCTCTTTTGCAAAACTCTTTGTCTACATGCAGTTAGACATGATATTAGACAGATATACAGGGTATTCCAGGCAAAGAACTACAGTATCTAGATCGGAGATTATTTGTACATCGTTTCACAATGAGATCTATTGATTAAAAATATTTTCAATATGGCGGCACTTAATATCGGAAATATCGGAAGTTGATAAAATTGTGTAGGCTTTCACGACCGGTATTATGACTAATAACGGTTTTGCGGGCTGTTAGGCCGTGGTCAAGAGTCGTATCGGAAGTTGACAGCAACTTTCTTATCTTAAATGGGTGCCCCCATTTTTTTACATATTTAAATTCTCTTTAAAATTTTATGAATTTTGATATTAAACACTCTATACCCAACATTAACCGTTATTGAGAAAAAAATATTTAAAATTTTTGGACGAAAAAAACTGCCTGTCAAAAATATGTGTATAACCTTAACGTCAAATTTAGTGACAGATAGACTTAGACTATACAATTTTTTTTTCTTAATACAAACCTTCCAGTATGTCCGGAAATGCCGTCATATTGAAAATATTTTTAATCGATAGATCTCGTAAAATAATGATGTGCAAAAAATCTCCGATCTAGATATTGTGGTTCTCAAGAAACTTCTAATGCACGCTCAGCCTGGGACACCCTGTATACAAGGTTATTTGTAGATGTAGAGGATAGGCATAGACTTTCTCACTTAATAAGCCGCTACAAGATATTTACTTGTAGTAGCACAGATTAGGTATACTGTATGTATACAGATAAAAATCTTGCCCCTTAAGCTTGATTTTCATGCATCCGTTGTCCGACGATACGTTGATACGATATTAATTTCATTGGTTGTATTTAAACGCTTGGATTGGTTAACCGTTTCTAACCAATCGAAGTCTTTAAATTCAACCAATAAAATTAATATCGTATCATCGTATCGTCGGACAACGGATGCATGAAAATCAAGCTTAATTCGTGGTACGAAAATTGTTTTTTATGACGATGAGCAAACGAGTAAAATTTCCTGTGCGCAAAAATAAACTCGCGTTTAAACAGCGTAATAATTGGGCCAGTCAGGCACTGTGCACAATTTTAGTGGTCATAAGTGGGCGTGCTATGTGCGCAAACTAGTAATCTAACTAGTGCGCGTCTTGATTATATTGAGGGAGTAAAAAAAACTCCAAAACAAATCACGTGAATGGACGCCCCCTAAGCTGTGCCCCAAGTGTACTACTAATTCAGCTACAGATATATTTTTATTTCTTTTTGTAATTTTAGATGGGAATAGACGTTCATTCTCTGATAGACAAAGAAATGGAAGACCTAGAAAGGGAACAGCGCGCGATAGACGAACAGGCGGCCATTTTAGAAAAGAAACTCAGAGACGTTATGGAATCCAACAACAGTAATGGCGAAGAAGAGTCGTTAATGGCGCAGTGGTTCATGTTGGTGAATAAAAAGAACGCGCTCTTACGGCGACAGATGCAACTTAATATTTTGTAATACTAATAAAAAACGGCGATAGCCATATGTTTCATTAAAATTTCAATATTATAGAGAAAAGGAAGCCGACTACGAGACACGATACAAAGCTTTAAACGAGGAACTTCGAGAAATCGCGTCTATAGAGGATTGGAAAAAGACAGATGAACAAAGAAGTAGGGAACAAGTCCTTTTGGATGAATTAGTGCAGATTGTTAACAAAAGGGACGAATTGGTGCATCATTTAGACAGTCAGGAAAAAGCGTAAGTTTAATTCATTGTGTTATTATTGAACTTAAGTTAGTATTTTTAAATTTCATGTTGTGTAGTGAGTCCAGCGAGAGAATATTTGATTCTGACAGATTGGTATTGAAAAAACTAAAAAAAAGATAATGTACTTTTGAAATAAAATGATAAATAGTTGTTGTCATATATTCTTTTGATGGGCATACTATAGTTTTTTTTTATATTTAAATACCTGTGGTTACATGGAATTACGTTGTTAACTAATAATTTGTAAAACAATTTTAGCTATCATCTTTTCTTACTTCAGTGTCTTCAACCTGTAACCACCGATATGATTATAATACAGGGTGTCCCAGAAATAAGTGCAAGTTTTTTAAGGGGTGGTATGTCTCGATAAAAGAAACATATTTTCTCTTTATCGTTTTTTAATTAAGTCCAAAATAACGGAGTTATTGTACTTTGAAAATTTAAAAAAAAATATATTTTTTGCTAAAATTTTGAGAACCACTGGATCTTTTCTGGATTTTCTTTCTTGTAAATTTAATCTACTACCTATGTTGCCATATTATTAAGAAATTATGTTTTTTAAATAAAAACTAAAAAAAATTCCAAAAAATTCTGAAAAAAATGCGAAAAAAAACCTCATAGGCGTGTTTCTGGGGTTGAACTAAAATACTTGCACTTATTTCTAGGACACCCTGTATAATAATCCATAAATTTGTAGTTATGTTAAGGAAAGTATAATAATTTCTTTTAGTTTATACTTAAAATTATGGACCATTACCAATAAATTTATTCAATTTAATATTTTCTTTGCAGTATTGAAGATGACGAAATTATCGAACAAGATCTTTCACAAATAGAATTACCGGCTAAGGATACCAATTGTGTTATATCCTAAAACCACTAAACACATCGTGAAATTGCGCAATTTTCCAAGGAATCATACTCGAATGACGTCTTATACTTCTAACTGATGTGGTGCTTCTTGTGATATTTATTCATAATTTATTAGTTTCTATGAGAGTTGAACTTTTTGTTTTCCATATAATGGGAAATTGTGCATTTTCCTATCCTACTTCAGAGTTTTACTTTATTGAGGAAATTTATTTATTTTGGTGAAACAGCTAACGTCTATAAAAGCGATTAATTCATTAACAAGAACTTCTTACACGGTTCTATATTGTCGTATTTAGTAGATTATTATTAAGGCCGTGAAATCATGATTTGGTCTCATATTTGTTTATTTTGTTGCCAATCAGTCATAAAGTTTTGCTTGACAGTGATAGTTGACTGTTAAATTATTTTTTGAATTTCACAAGAAATAGATCTAATGTCAGTTTGGTTAGATTACAACCATGATCACATTTTTTATTCTCAGTTTACGGGTTTTGACTAGTAATATAATATACACCTCACTAAAACTAAATTGTATTGCTGTAACTAAAACTATACTTAATTTTTTTAATACATTAACACTAAATTATTAAACTAATATGGCTACATAAAACATTCAAGAGAAGCACAAAGTGGGGCGCTCATTTTTTTCAATTCGACTGTTAGCTGTAACGCTAGAATCTCGCAGTCTGAATGACGAACTCCAAATGAAACACTCCACATGCTGCCAACAATCTGCCAAATTTTATTGGCTGGCGGAGAATATCTGGTAGTGACGCCACTAGTTTTTCTAGTATCAATATCAAAGATGCTATAGCAGGGTGCACCAATTTTTTTTTAAATTTTAGTTACCGTGAAAATATTGCTCACGATGACAAAAAAAATTCTGGTTAAGTTTGAGCTTTTAATATGAATATTAAGAGGTCTCTTCGTGATTTTCTGGTTCCCATTTAAATAACACAGGAAATTTTATATTACTTTCTAACAAATCAGCCTGTTGTGAACGTCAATACATATTCTTGTAGGAAATTGAACGATCTTCAAAAAAAAGTCTGATATGATTTTTCATTTAATTGACTCGTTTGAAAGTTATTGGAGGTGTAGCAGATTTAGTTAATAAAAAAAATATTATCTAAAAAGCTATTGTCCCATGCGTCGGCAGCTTTTCATCAATGGAGCAGTCATGGGTTCGTTTGTATTTCATTGGAGAAAAATAATACAATTACAAATTACACTAAAAGTATTGGGCGCCAGCCAACATACAAAAAACACAGTCGTAGTTAAAAATAAATGACTGATCAGGATGATTCCTAATTGTTGTAATTAGCGATAATTAATGAATGATTATTGTAATTTCAATGTGTTACCAAAGAACACTTGACGAACTTTACGAAAAATAAGATATTTTATGTTTTTGCGCTATTAAAATATAAAAAAAATTACGGAAGTTATCATATAAAATTTCAAAAAATAAAAATAAAAAAAAATCCCCATGTTATTTATGTGGGAAATATAAAATCACGACCTCTTACAGCGCTTTCAGATGGAGCAGACCGTCGGCGACTTCGAGCAAGTACCATGAGAAATTATTCATATAAAATGAAGAATTTCACATGGGCGCGTATGCTTCGTCCGAGGGCTATCTTGAAAAAAAAAAACACGGCGGATGGTCCGCTCCATCTAAAAGCGCTGTTAATGTTATTAAGATCACAAACTTTACCAGAAGTTGATAACCGTGAATGATATTTCCACGGTAATAAAAAGAAAAAAAAAATTGTGCTCCTTTTACTATACAGTCAGTTGTCACTGTTAATAAAATGGCGGTGGATTGATAACAACAAAAAACAGTTAAAATCAAACTGTGATTTCAAAACAGGCTTAATACTATATATTATGATCTATAAAACACTTAATATATCATGAACCTGATCACCGAATTATTCGAAATTTTTACAACAATGTTGGCTGTAAACGTAAGCCATCCACGCGTAGTGCAATATTATTTCATATCCTGAGTGAAGCCAATTTTTGCCAAAAAAAATCGCTTTAGTTTTCGCAGACAAATTAGTACCTTAGCATATATATGTATAAGTTCTTCAACAATGATATATTTGGTCTTCCAACCAATTGAAAAACTACACGATTTGTTGAGAAGCGGTAGATTTTACAGGGTGTTATATATCTTCTTTTATATATATCGTTTAGTCCCCTGTTATACAAGAAACTAGAATCGCAATGTGTTATGTAAGCTTTACTTCGGTTGTAATTTTGATGTGACTTAGTTTTAGCTAGGAAAATAAAAAATAAGGATTACAGAATTTTTACAACGCCAACTCTATTTTTGCTTGTGATCCGACAACCTGTGCAACTGCAGAAAGTAAATATATTATATAATATATATATAGTATGTCGCAAAAACGTCACTTCTTTAATTACATTTTTTATTTGGTTATATTAAGAACAATTTTTAATTTCATAGTTTTTGATACATGCTGTATATCTCCGCAGTTGTACTCTAATGTAGTTTCCTAACCAATAAAAGAAATAAATGTAATTATAGAATAGAAAAATTTGTGTTGAAACCAAATTAAAAGTATATTTCTGATACATCTTGATCTTTTGATGTTGTCAAGCTAAGCTTTATGTGGTTTCTGTGTAATATAATGTTTTTTATATGTCTGTATATTTAATTTTCTGTTAAGTTAAACGACCTGGTACCTAAATGTAAATAAACTGTATATCTGATCATACTAAAATGGTTTTTTTTAATAGGCCTAAAAAACCAATAAAAAATAAATTATTAAATAAGTTGTATTAAGAATTAAAAGTGGTTTGTTAATTTATGGATGTCACTTAAATCTTCAAGTAGTTCTTCCAGTTTTGTTCCAGTTTTTTTTGATATCTGAAAAGAAATAAATTTATGGTTAGTGACGCATATGATCAAGAAAAAAACTTGGATTGGAAATGAGGATCATTGACATTTGCCGCATATTTTTAGATATAAAATTACAGCGATTTTCATTTCAATGCAACCCTGACGTCGTTTATTTCGATCTACGAAACGGTCTTTTTTCATATTTTAAAAATACATCTATACAGAGTGCGTCTCAAAAGTGGCCCCTATAACTTTTTTATTTTCTTAGATAAAAAAAAACAGATTTGGTATGTTAGTATATGACATAAATTAGGAATGATTGACGTATACATTTCTTTTCGACCACTTCCCCTTTCACGGGAAATAACTAAAATTTAAAATTTTTAAATTACGCCCTCTATATCTTTTTTACATTATTTGATAGAAAATGACACTATCTATCATTCTATCATATGTCAACTTTTGACTTTTTCGCTTAAAACAAAATTGTATTTTAAATGTCAATCTAGAGTGCCATGGTTGTGTTAAAAACACTAATTTTTAATCAAGCTCAGAGAAAATAGATTTGATCCTCTAACGTTTTTAGCGTCTTGACCCAGGGGGGTGACAGTGAAATAGGAAAATTGGAAACAGTCATTAGTGTCATTCCTGTTATCTGCTGACGACAAGTATGGCCGCCTAGACAAGGACAGCAATGTTTCTGTCTAACTATTGTCTAACTTCACAGTTTAGAATTGACAGATTTCAGAGACAACTTCAGATTTGTTCTAGAACAAGTTTCGACGCCATTTTAATTTTCTCCGTTTTGTTTTGTAAATTCGATTTGATATTTCGGCAGAAATTTATAAATATAAAGGTAATAAAGCATATAAAATATATATTACATGAAAAATCCTGGATAAAAAGATGTTTCTGCATTACTAGGTATGTCCCGTATATATTAAAAATAGGTAGTAAATAAACACTATTTCTGTATTTTTTAGATGCAAGAAAATTTTGTTATGTTTATGATCGGCGATTTTTTTGAAAATGGAAACAATTTACAGCAAGGTAAGATCATTTTTAACTATAGCCAACATTAGTTATCTCCAGTATGTGCGATTTATTGTCAATAAAGCAATAAATCTAACTGATACAATCTGACTGTTATCCGACTAAAAGACTCTTTTTGCTTCTTTTTGATTTATAAACCAGGTCTCTTTGGGAATAATGGACGCTTTTTTAAACAGTATATTTATATTTTATACCTATTGATATTTTTACATTGTTAATTTTAGTATCAAAAAATTGTTTTTCTGTTTTCAGGTTTTTGTATAAGGCTCCTGTTTTCATGTTCCTGTCCCTGATGGCTGTGAATACGTATATTTATTTACAAATTACTGTAAGTCATGCTTATACCTTACTAATTTACGTTAAAATTGCATATAGTTAAGTAATTGCGGTAGAAATCATTCAATTTTTTATTTTTTATTATTTAGTCACGTTGTCTCATATTTCAAATAAATATGTTTGACATAGAATAAATTTTTAGTAGAATGATTGTAAAGAACAATGATGAACATGATTTTTAATCATTTCTATTATTATTAACTATTAACTTATTGATACTTTTCTTGTGGTTCTAGAAAACTTTTTCAGAATAAATTTGTAGTTCTTTTCATAAAATTAATAATATTTTTTTATTTATAAACTAAAATAAATATTTACAGCTTACATTGTAGACATAGTGCAAAAGCCAAATTTAACGTTAACGGTGTAACGCTAACATGAATACAATAGCTCCCTACTAATAGCGATAGCACCTTAAATGTTTACATCTATGGATCAACTCAGGAAATACGTGAAAACCAATATGGCGCCGAAAAAGATGACGAAAGTGCCTAAGCTCCCGAATTGAAATATACTTGGGGTTTCGTGTCAAATTGTGAATATGAACAGCATATTGCAATTTCAAATAAACCATATTCGAAAATGTCAAAAGTTGACATATGATATGTCATTATATTCAAAGTGTCATTTTCTATCGAATAAAGTAACAAAATACCGAGAGTGTCATTTAAAAATCAAAAGTTGTAGTCATCTCCGGTGAAACAAATTTCTGTAAATTTCAGCCAAATAACTCAGTAATGAACATTAAATCAATTTATTGCGATATTTTGACACTATATTTTACTATTTTTTGTTCTCTTTCTGCTTTCAAAAAACATCTATACAACACACACAGACACATTATTTTTTCTTACCTCTATTTTTTCAGTTATAGAAAGCTGAATAAAGCTCCACACTAAGTCCCCATCTATGATACTTCTTGCAGGATTCGAAGATATTTTTCTGTAACTCTTGAAAGTTCTAAAATAATACGTACATATTATCAATAAACTAAATTAATATTAAAAAATTATGAATAGTCTACCTAAAAGCTTTTGGATTTAAGCCAGCTAAATGGGCACCATGCGATACCATAACATTTTGTAACATAAGTAACCTTCTGTAAGTTTTTTCAGGTACTGGCATTAAATAGCCCATCCCCCCATCCAGTGTCGCTATAAAAAAAAGTTAATAAAGCAAAAGATAAAAGATAAACTTATTTCTCTTACCAAACATAGTAATATGTCTCCTATCAGCGCCGCTCATATGTTTTTTGTTTTCGCCTAATTCTCCTAATTTACATTTTATCCTAAAGAAAGTCGTTACTGCCTGACCCAAATGAAAATCAGCCTTTTTTAAGAGCCTCTGCCCTAAAATTTACCATACCTGTAGAAATGATAAATAACAAAAAAAAAAAAGTATATTACCTCCTAAAGATTCTCTGGCTTCAGGTTGATACATGCATATAGCTAGGTTCTTTTCTTTATCAGACATTAAGAACCCTAGATTTGAGTTATCAATCATATACTCTGTTGCATATACTTCACAAGCTCTAAAATCCTGAAATAGTTCATTTTGATTACTTTGGTCATAATAAAACATTTTTTTTGTATTATTTATGCAATGCTTACTAGTAGAAATATATTAAAGGTAATTTTAACTTTAAAACATGAAAGAACTATATGTCTGTTTAGTTATTTATAGATTTATGTATAGTCTGTCTGGCGAAAGAATATATCTGATACAGACATAAAAATAACACACAATTGTCACTCTCATATTTATATATTCTATCGTTGGACAGACTGCTTTCACACAAAAGACAACTATTATTATATCATTCTTTTGTTCAGTAGACCCCATGATACAAAGAATACAAGGTATGATATTGCGCAGGTTGGTCAATACACAATCGTCACAGGTGATTAAACGGCACCATTGGTCGGCAAGCTCTGCGCGCCAATTCAAATTGTCAAACAGATTGTGTCATCTGTGAAATTTGATTGTGTCAAAATGTGAAAATAATTTTTCAAATGTCAAGCTCGATGTCAAAACATAACTTTTGGGGTTATGTCCTAATTCTTCCCTATTTTAGGTATTTTTTTATTAGTAGCAATTGAACAATATGGATATATTTGTTTGATGATAGGTAATAATCTGATAGCAATGATGATAGGTATTGATAATTTCGATTCCAAATATCTCGAGAACCATTACTCGTAGCGATTTTTACCAAGAGACCTTTTTTACGTAGAAAACTTCGTAAATGTAATAATTTTTTTACCTGGCTGATTTATACAGGTATGGACGAAAAGTTATTACTCTTCAAACCAGTTAAAAAAATATTTAGGTGGCGCCCTCTACAATTGACATCGAAATCAAATTTCTCATATCAAAAAACCTAGACACCAATTTTCATCCAAATATTGACGTTACTTCATAAATTATTTGGAAAAAATCGAAATAAAAATGAAACTTCTACACCCTGCATTTCCGAAACTAAGCATTTTAGGACATACATTTATATGAACTTTTTTACTTATTTTGATCTGCAGAATATGCTGCCGAAGTTTCCAGAATACAATTCGGACCACCCTGTATAGTACAAAAATTGTGTGTGCACTATGTGCGCATATCTGAAGTGAAACTTCTTACTAACAGCTATTAAATTGGAGGATTTAAAGGACATGTTTGAAAAACTGTAGTTTGAAATGTTGAAAAAGTAATAAATTAAAAAAATAACAAATAATTTGATTCACTTTCATAAAATTTGTATTAAAATGACCGTCTGAGGACTTCAATCGGGTACCTCTATCCACGTGCGGAGTTTTATTCCAATCGACCTATAATTATGAAAAATTCTGATAATTTCGTCCATTTAGACGCATCGCATTGGTTCGAAGCGTCGTATACAACTTTACAGGGTGGGACCGTGTGCACAATCAATTTTCTATGTTTCTTACGTCAAAACGAACTGTCAGTGACACTTGTCGTGCACGGTCAAGTTGGTCTTGGTCTAATCTATCGACATATCAAACTTCATTTAAATTGGACGATTTTTTTACGCCATAGATTGTACCTTTTTTACTGCCAGCGTGCGTAAAGAAGTTTCACTTCAAAAAATTAATTGGTGAAATTATAATGATTGCAATGTTATTTGTATAAGTTTTGAACATTTATATTAGTAGAAAGTTATAACAATAATTACTTACACGTGATACCATTGATAATGTTCTATACTCTTCTTGAAATCTTAACAAGGAAATTGACTGATACACATCAGATATGAGCAATAAGCTCTTAATAGTCAAAATTTGATGAGTGTAAACTTGGGTGTCTATGAAAGCTACTCCTATTAAATCATTATCTTTCAATTGCCAGATATATATCTAAAAAAAGTGTTTCTTACAAACAAACATTAAAAATAATAGTAGACTCACCTTTTGGCCTACAGCAGATACCAGAAAACCTTTGACTTGTGACAATGCTGTGACAGGGCCTTTTTGGTCCTTTGCATATATTTCTTTAAATTTATTTTTAGTCAGTGGCTGTCCAGGTTCTGGAACTACTTCAATCACATCATATATCAATATCTAAAATATATTTTTATAGATTTAAATTCGTTGTATTTTAGTGACATACCCTTCCTCTTGAAGTTATATCCTCTCCATAGTTATAATTTGTACCCACAGCTATATAACCCCTTAAACCTGACCTAGTTCCTTCATATTCCAAAGCAACATTTCTTAAACAAGTGACGTGCTCCCATTCATCCAAATCTATTTTGGTATTTGGAATAACATCCCATGAAACCGGTGAAAATAGTGTCAGAGTAAATTTTTCTTGATGAGGATATGGAAATCTAAATAAAGAAAATAATTATTCTATAGCTTCTTAAGTGGGCTCTTAATTCCTAAAAAATGCCTATACATATGTGGCGAATTCATCTCTCCAAAAAAAAATCCAATATGGGTATTTCGCCACTGCACTGCAAGAAAATCTACAAAATAAAATACTTATTTTTTGTAAACACTTCATACGTCTACAAGAAACGTCAACGGTTTCTTGTAGACGTATCTGTTTTTATAAAACCAAAGTGTTCTCGAATAGTTGAATTTAAATTATTTTAAACAGTTTTTTTCTTTATTCTTTGTATTTTTTTTGCTTCCGACGACGGAAAGAGATAAACTTTCCGAAACGTTAAGCATTTTTTTCTTTGTTAGGCAAATTTGTATAACTGTAAAATAACTTGTGACAAGCAGTTTCTGTTTAGGTTTAACGCAGAAGTGTTTACAAAAAATAACTATTTTATTTTGTAGATTTTCTTGCAGTGCAGTGGCGAAATACCCATATTGGACTTTTTATTCCTATTTTTAATATTCTATCTTAGTGTGTTTCTTTTTTGTAAAAAGAAACACAGTGTCTAATTTTTGTTGGTATTAAAACAAAAGTCGTAAAAATATTTAAACTGAAAAATATCAAAAAATGAGTTACGCCACTTTGTGATATCTATGGTGATACAGCAACGTTATTCGAGCTACATTGCTTTCGGTTTGCAGCAAGAACCGGACACATTTATACATTCCGTACATGTATACGGCACCTAGCACAATCCCATTGGTCAGATTTGAATTTTAAAGCAATTAAACTCTGAGTGCCATACCGAGTATGGAATGTAAGACAGTGCCAAGCGCACTTACGGAATGTACCTGGTAATTATGCTTGCAGCAGAAAGTAACCCCTGGCTATAGCTAATCTAGCAAGAGTAGCTGTGGCTCCGTGACTGAGGCCATCGCTTCGTGAACGAAAGATCCGTGATGGTTCAAATCTCACGCCAGACCATAACATTTTTTATTTTTTTTTACAACTGTTTTTATTTTTTTTAATAGCAATCAAAATACGGATTGCGTTGGTTTCACTCTTTTTAGTGGGATTAGACTGATTATTTGGTGGAGTTAGTTGCGTTGGTTAAGATGGTTATTTGGTGGGGTTGATTGCGTTGGTTAGGTTAGCTATTTGGAAGGGGTTGATTTGGATTTGGTTGGAATGCTCTCTAACAGAGCGTTAAAAGTAATGTCTAAGGTACATTCCGTAAGTGCATATGTCACTGTCCTACATTCCATACTCGCGTATGGCACTCGGAGTTTAATTGGTTTAAAATTCAAATCTGACCAATGGGATTGCTAGGTGCCGTATACATGTACGGAATGTATAAATGCGAACCGGACAGTTCTTAGCGCGGCCACCTCTTCAATTGTTTTTACATGCTGTAAAAAACTTTAGTCGGCTGCGACGTTCGGGATTTTTTGCAACAATTCGGTCATATTCATAGGCACAACTCTAAAGGTAGGCGGCCTCTAAAGCGAAACTAAACTACGCTAAGAATATAAAGAAAAACGGTAACTAAACGAAAATAAGTCTTATCGGCCACTGGAAACGATTTTTGCTGAGTAGTCAGCTAAGTTAGTTGCGTTTTCGTATTGTCTCTGCTATCATAGAATTCATTGCTGCGAAAAATTCGCTGGAACCTGTAACGAACTAAAACGAGCGAAACTAAACTGCGATTTGAATCTTCGTTCATATATTTTCGTTTAATTTCGCTCAAGTGACCGCTGTTGCATTTAAAAGTATGGAAGCTGATTTTTACAAATCTTATCTCCGCCTTAAATGCGCGTCGCGAAAAGATCATAGAATAATTTAACCATTACCTGTCTCCTTTATCTTCATGTGTTAATTCTTTATCTTCTCCATTGAATTTGTAATAAGAACTTGAAGGCTCAGCAATACTGGTGACCAGACAATAAGTCTTCGACTCTAAATGGTACGTAATGAAGTGAGGAGTGCATCTTAAAGGGACCTTCCTCACTGGCCAAGGTGCATCATAACTCAAGTGAGTTGGTAAAATACCTATCCTTAATTCAGACTAAAACAAAATACAGAGTGTCAAAAATAAATTATAAAAAATCAAAGTAAACTTACTTTTTGGTTGAAGTAAAGAAACCCTTCTGGACAATTAATATTATTAAATGGAGCAAAATTTATCACTTCACCATCTATAATCATCGGATGTACACGAAGTTCACCACGCTTTGTTAAAAATATCCAATATGGATTAGCACCACATATAAAAACACCACTATAACCTAAAATTGAATAGAAAAAAATCATTGAATTTATAAGAAAATATTTTATAGAAAAAAAAATTATAGAAATTCTACTGTCCAGTATAGTACCAACCTGCAATATTATCAAAATATCTCAGTTTAGAAATTCTATCTTGTACACTACTGTAATCCGTATTTTCATCACCCGTTTTCTCAATTATATTTGATTCATAAAAAATTTCATGTCTAACTCTTCTGAATCTAAGCTTCAAGTGACCTTTATGATATCTGAATACTTCATAGATATAAAGATCTTTCTCCAGTCGCACGAAAAATAAGGGTCTAGAACCGTTGTTTCCTAAACCAATCTGTAAAATAATAATGAATAAAAAAAAAGGAATTTACAGTTTTTTTTCAATTTTTAATATTATTAATTTAATTCTCTGAGAAACAACAAGAAATGCCCTTGAATCAGGGTTGGCATGATTTAAATCAAATGATTTAAATCAAATCATAATTTAAATCATGATTTAAATTGTGATTTAAATCAAGTGATTTTTTAAATTTTAATCATGTGATTTAAATAAAAAAATCAACTTTTTTAGAACTTTACAATATATCGAAAAATAACTGTAAAAGTTATAAAAATGTGTCCTAGAAAACTATAAAAAATATTTCTATAACATATATATCCTCTATCCATTCGTTAAATAAAATGTTACACTTGCTATTGTAACGTTTAAATACGTTTAATAAATCGAAAACAAATTGTAAATGTTATAAAACTATATAAAAAATGATTTGTATAACACATATACCTTAAAATGTTGGACCGATTTTTGAAGTAATTTCGTGTGATCCATTAGACTTCTAAATGGCAGGGATTTATTTTGAAATTTATGTACAAGTGACAAAAAAATGCTGTTCGAATACATTTCATTCGCAACCTCTAGTGCAGAAAAAGGTTCTTTTGATGTTAGGCTATATCTTCAAATCATTGTCAGAAAATATGCTGTTTTATATCTTTTTATTTTACACTTTGACAATAGATAATACTAATTTCATTCTCGACTTAAGACTATTTCCGAACAATAGTGTATTGTGAAGTAGTAAAAATTATACTTTTTTTGACCAAGTTGTACGTTTGACGGACTAGCGTAAACAGGGAGGCACAAAAGTACATTTTTACTCCGAGTAGAATATGTTATATTTTTACAAATTAAACGTTACAAATAATTTTTTAATCAATTCCAAACGTTGCAAATAATATAAAAAGTAATGCCTTGTAAGTAATCGAGTAACAATTTGTACCCTCGTTGAAATTGACGCTTAATATCAGTTTAATAATATATTTTTGTACTTTTATTGCTTAGACGAAAAAATTGCTTTACTTTTATGCCTAAGCGTTGAAATTACAAAAATTAATACCCTTGTGGTATTTCAAAAAACATTCTTTTGATCTGAAGCGAGCCACTTTTTTTGCAGAATATATTGGTGACCGATGTCTGGGAAAATGACACGCGCCGTAGAATTGTTAATGTTGTCAGTATTGGGCAGAGTTATGAAGATTTAGCCATTTAGGATAGGAATTTAATTGGAATTAAGTCCTAATTATTTGAAAAACCGATTTTAATAGTTTTCTATTAAAATCAAAAAAATCTGATTTAAATCAAAAAAATCTATTTTTTTTTATTTTTTAAAAACAATCATGATTTTTTCCAACCCTGCCTTGAATGGAACCCACAGGGACAACGGAAAAGAGAACGTGGGAAACAAACATGGTGCAGGACCGTAATGAATGAACTAACGAAGACAAAAACATCATGGCCGGCCGAGGGGTAAACCGCAGAGGAATTATGGTGTACACTATGAAGGAATTCTACAGGAATTCCAAGGAATTCCATAGGAATTACTAAGAATTCCATAGGAATTACTAAGAATTCCAATTATTTCCGTAAGAATTCCAATGAATTCCAAGGAATTCCTTAGAAATTTAGAGGAATTCCACAGGAATTAAGAGGAATTACAAGCAACTTTATAAAAAATTAACGAACATTAGTAAACCATGAATACTATAATAGGTAGTACTAAATTTAAAGAAAAACGTTTTGCAGGCGATTTTTTACTATCCGTTTTTCGTTTTCGCTTCCAAAATTTCCCAATATCAAATATCTACAGGTTAGATATTCTTTTAATTTAATATTGTACCCTCGATTATATATCTAAAATATTTTCCAATAGTACGGCCGAACCACCCCCGAGAGATCTACTTATAACGTTCCCTGATTTCGCCATTTTAAAGAAACCCTCATAAGATTTTTTTATTCAGTACTCCAGAAAGTGTAAAGTTGATTTTTTCATTTCCTCGGAATAATACCTAGGTATATACTATAGGGAAATTAATACAACTTTAGGTGCACTTCATCAATGATACCATGCGTAATCTTATGGAATTTACTGGTGATCGTATTATGACGTGCAACTGAAGTTTTATTAATTTCCTTTCCTATAGATACGAGTATAACTAGGTACCTATCATTTTCAAAAAATCCCGAGAAAATTAATTTTAATAAGTAAGTGCCGACATATTTCCAGTATTTTTACCTCATGATCCCCTATTGGTACTAAAATTTAACTAAAAAAACGTAAATCTCGTAATAGTACTTTTTATTGTTAGATCTAGTACTTATAGAGACATTAGACATTTATAAAAATCACCAGAAAATTCATAGCGGAACTGCGAAACCGAGGTGGCAACGCTGGTTCAGACTGAAAGAGTTAACGAGTTCGTACCAAGGAATTCCAAGGAAGACCTTGAATGATTGACCTTGACCTTGAAGACAAGGAATTCCAAGGAATTCCGAATGAATTACGAGGAATTCTGAGGAATTATTTGAGTTAAAGGAATTACGGTGTACACTTTTCCCTCTGCGGTTTACCCCTCGTGGCCGGCTAAGCTAAGAAAATTGCGGAAAACAGAACAAGATGGAAGGTTTTCACTGAATCATTCATTCGTTGATATTCATTTACTCTTTCATCGACGAACTAAACATGAACAACAAAAATTGATTTTTCATGTTTGTTTTGCAATTAGAACAGACCGCTTCCCGATAATATATCACTGTTATTCATTCCTATGGTCGAGAATACTTACAAATATATTTATATACACATATAATATACCGAGTGCGTCTCAAAAGTGGCTCACCCCCTATAACTTTTTTATTTTTTCAGATAAAAAAATGAGACTTATAATTTTGTATGTTACTATATGACATAAATTAGGATTGATTGACAATTATGGTATTAAATTGGTTTCGGTCACTTCCTGTTTCACCAGAAATGACTACAACTTTTGATTTTTAAATGGCACCCTGGGTATTTTTTTTACTGTATTCCATAGAAAATAACACTCTGAATAGAATGACATATCATTTTAACTTTTGACATTCTCGCTTAATTAAAAATCGTATTTTAAATTTCAATCTAGAAGTGCCATGGCTATGTTAAAAAAAATAGTTTTTATCAAGGAGCGTTGGAAAATAGATTTGATCGTCTAATGTTTTTAGTGTCTTGTCCTGGCTGGTTAAAAGGTGTCCAAATCCTATTTTTAATTATATTTCAATTTTTTCAAATGGAACGAGGGTGGCCCATTAGCGTATTTGGAAAAAGCATTTTTTACGAATAATTTGAGACCAGTCACTTAATATATTATATTACACAAATTACAAATTTTCGTTACGAACCGCAAGTTATAATTTCAAATAAACCATATGCGAAAATGTCAAAAGTTGACATATGATATGTCATTCTATTCAGAGTGTTATTTTCTATCGAATAAAGTAAAAAATACCGAGGGTGCCATTTAAAAATCACAAGTTGTAGTCATTTCCGGTGAAACAGGAAGTGACCGAAAACAACTGAATACGTCAATTAATCATAATTTATGTCATATACTAACATACAGAACGTTTTTTAACTGAAAAAATAAAAAAATTATAGGGGTGAGCCACTTTAGAGACGCACCCGGTATAGTATATTTTCTTTGATTTAGGTACCTATTTAGTTATTTTTGATTTTTGTTTTGTTGGATTAGTCTTTTACTTTATATTTTATTGTTTTTATATTTGCTATATTTATAGCGTTCTGCTTGGTTATAGATAGAAGTGGAAGAATGGCCGTAGGTTAAACTTCGCCCGCCAAAAATATATATACATATACATATATTGTATATTTATATTTCAATGTACGCTACTTTACAATAAAGACGTTTATTATTATTATTACTTACCATTGCAATTTCTTTAACTTCGTTATCTCGCTGAATCTGCGCCTCGTTTACATGTGGTATAGCATTCAACATCACCGATTCCAGAGCGTCAATAATTACTTTATGTCCGAAACACAAATTTTGCACGTAAAAACTAAGTTTGAAGTCGGGCAGAGAATAAATTTCCAAATTCGAATTCTCTCGCACCACAAATAACCAGTACGTCGATTTGTACGGAGTTAGATATTTCTTCCACCAGTTGTAAAATACTTTCGGTTTAGGTTGATGAAGGGCTGTAGGCATCTTAAAATCGCTATCTCCATATAATAAGTCGTCTTCGTTTTCCGTCTCCGTTTTCAGATCTTTTCCTTCGTGGATATAGTGCTGTGGTATATGAGTAAAATCGTCTGGTATTTTGTTGGTAAAGATACCCGAGGTATCTTTATACATGCATATCGTCGACACAGCTGGCGACTTAAAAATAAATCAATTATTAATACTCACACTCTATTGTATGAAAAGGTCTTACATTTGAAAGAGTGGATTTACTAATAACCAGTTTTGCAGCCCCGCGAGTTTCTCGTAGCATAAGAGTAATAACTTGTCCATCTGATGTCATTAAGGATATATAGGGATCGGCACTAAAATGTAAATGAAAAAAAATCGTAATATAGAAAAAGTTTAAACTCATAAAACGCTCCAATGCAGGTATTCTCAGTGGACAACCTCATGTTTGACTGCACCCACCCAACTCTAGTATATAACCACTTGATAATGGTCGGTGATACTTCTGACCGAAAAGTTGTGTAAGCAAAATAAATAAAGACAATGGAAGTTCGAAATTCTTTTAGTTTTAATACTGAATCATTGTCTACCACATTCAAACTAATTTGTATTTACCTTGAAACATGTACAATCGGTGAACCTAAATCCATAGGAACATGTTGTAGCTGTATAACACCTTGCAATAATCTGACTGACAAAGTAGTAACTTGAACTATAAATCTATTGTTGCCTAAATTTCCTGCAAACACAGTGGGATGTTGTGTGGTGAATCCAGTATTGTCTATTTCATTAATTTCTTGTCCAGTTTGCAGAACCTATAGAAATATCAAAGAAAAATAGTTAGGGTTAGGTTAAGTTAGGTTAGTATGTTTAACCCTTAACTGGTCCGGTAATAGATATGTATCATAAACGGTCCGGCGTAGTCTGTAGGACTACGCCTTCTAAAAAGTTTATTATATATTATATTATGTATTATTGTACTAATATAGACAAAAATTGGTTCAATTAATATAAACTTTAAGAAAATATAGTACAAAATAAAATAACATACATATAAATTCGAAAAAAATCAATTAGGTTTTTACTAAGCTCTAAAAAATAAAACCAAATTATTAACAGTCATTACAATATAGAAAGAAGTTTTTAATACTATATATATAAAAAATAAGTTGTAAAACTTGAGTTAAAAAAAAGTTTTTAGTTACAGCATGAGGCAAAGTTCAATGTTTTCCTAAACATGTTTTACAAAATGGATTCGTACATTCTAGGCATTAAAAATAATTAACTAGGACATAACATTGTCTTTAACTAGGATAAGAACTATAGGATAAGAATACCCAAGTAACATTTTAAGTTCCTTTAGGTTATATATTCTCAAGGTTAGTTATATAAAGGTTTAATAAATGTCTCATTGGTATCTTACAGTGTTTTGATTTATATAAGTGTAGCGTTGGTTACTTACATGCCCTAGACATTAAAGTACAGGTTTCTAATTTATATTATGAAGATGACATGACAGTCTCTATGTTAACTACTGTCTATGGTCTAGTTTATGTCTAGTTGACAGAATGTTGGTGATCCGTCAAGTTATTTTTAAATCATTATTTAAATAATTATTAATTCAGATATCCCAGATATTCCAGATTTGTCGGAAAGTTCAGTGATTTGTGTTTATAGTTTGTGTTTTTATTAGTTTGTGCATTCTGATACTTACAGTCGATCATCATTTTCGTGTTAGATACTAAACTTTTTTATTAAAGTCATTTTGACATTTTAGAAATAATAATTTATAAACCAAATAAAAAAATAGTTTAATCATAAATAACTAAGTACATAGTTGGTAATATATAGTATTTTTTAGTAACAGTTAATAGTAGTCTATAATATTTTTACTATATTATAATTTAGTTGTTAAATCAAAAAAAATAGGTGCTATGTGATCTATTGTTAGTGTTTAAAATGTATGTATTCATAATTTTAATTTTGTTTTAATTATGTTACACTTCTAGTGGTCTAATAAAATATAAAATGCGGTAAAAAAGTCTATATTTATTATTTTATATTTTACAAGGAATAATTTTGCGCTTGAATAACGTTACCGTTTTAATTAGCGTTAATAAGTAACGGAACGCTAAAATTATGTTATGCCAAAACTCTCCATTAGTTTCTTCCGGATCACCAGGTGGCTCTAAATGACGGACCCATTTGTTTTATATCAGTGTCCAATCTATCTCTAGTACGTGACATTAGTCTATGATTACTTATCACTAATAGTAACCTTAAAATGTTGTTTATCACTTTTCTTATAAAACTAGAGGTTCTTGTTACTAAAGGTTTCATAGTAAGGTTTTATAAAGGTGTTCACATCTATTTTATATAACTTCTGGTATTAGGAGTTAGAAAGGTACGCAAGATATACACTATACAATTAAAGGTGTTATTAAGAACCATTATGTAACCAATAACACTACAAGTTATATAATTGTTCCCTCAAATCGTTTATTTGCACCTTTCAAATGGTTGCATGCTTTATATAACCTGTAGTTGCCGAATATCAAACCTAATGACATAACCTCAAATTTTTAATATAATCAAAACAAATAATATAGTAGCAAGCAAAGCAATTCGGTATTATAATAAATAATAAAAAAAATAAACTGGACAAAACACAAAAATACATCTACGTTCAAAAGAAAGGTTCTTCAGAGTTTAAAAAAAATAGGAATAATCCAAACCTCATTTAAACAACATTTACCAATATTGAAAGCCAATATGCAAATTTACCATCCACAAGCAGAGATCAGGATCAACCTGAGGTATTTTTGTTGCCAAAACGGTCAAGAACAGGAATATGCCCGGTTAAGGCATTAAAGAATGCATAACATAAAAGAATGAGCTTTGCGCTTTAACATTACACATTCTGCACTTAAAGAGCTTTTTTCTATAGTCAATTCATTCATAACTGTTCTACCAAAGTAGCAAAGGACCCTAGAACTCGTTTGAAAATTCCTACCACTTTAAATACAGATCAAATTGAACCAAAACAGCAGAGACAGTATTATTTCAATTTTATGAGGTAATGTTTTGTTTTCTGCACATTTTCTGTCAAATTGCTGTAATGTCCAACTTCATTCGCAGGCAGTCGCTACAGTCAACACCTCGGGTTACATAAAGGTTTTCTGGGTGACTAAAAGTAGCCATAAACACCCCGGCATTTCTAATGGTGATTTGTATCACCTTTAGTTGTATAAAACACTAAAATTGGTGTTTTAAATAACCCAAACTCATTTACGCAACCTTAAGTAACCAAATTTATATAATGGTTGATGAGTATGTTATAGACCCTAAAGTAATATATAGCGCTTTAAATATAATGGACGCCATTATTATTGATGTCTTCATTTTTGGCTACAATGAGTATTTCTAAGATAACGTTGAAAAATGGTACAAAACTATATTTTGGCCAGTTGCCAGTTATTTCTATGTATTAAAAAAGTCGTATGTTCTATTATTTATATTAATAAATTTGACTTTCATTACAAAAATTTTACCATATTTTTTTTGTTTATAAAAAAATCTATTAAATAATTCTGCTTTTGGGGGCGTATGTATTTTTCGGAGGTAAAATTGATTTTCACACAGTAAATTTAATATCGCATATGTATTTAGTACTCTGGATAGGCACAATAGTTGTTATTAAGCCAGTAATTTCTATAGTCATTTGCATAACACAAACGCTTTTGTAGGCTATGACAGGGATGGCGTCATTTTGTCTCTTATGTTTCTGGTCTGGATTATCTCCGTAGGACAACTTGGAGCAATAAGATCATATCTGCTTTTTATGTTAAAAAAAGAGGCAAATATTAAAGTAGTTAGTCAGAAAGAAACAAGTATATTTTCAAAAAAAAGCGCATGCGCGATATTTCTATAGAGGTAGTCTCTGGGAACCTTCTCAACACCACTATATAACTATTATATACCCTTTTTCAGTTTTATAGCGGTAACTCGATAGGATATATAAAGGTGTTGAGAAAGTTTTCAGGACTTTGGTTGCACACTTTGAGTGTTAAGGGTTACCATAGGAACAGTTATAAAATGGACCGTTTAGGGCATATAAGTGTTATATAATGGTTACCAATAACTCACGACAACCATTCTAGATACGTTTAGGTTGTATAATATGGTGTTGGGAAGTTTCCTAACACACTTATAAAACAAAAAATGCTTCTTGGGTATCTCCGTGGGCATGTTCTGGTTGTACAGGAATTAGAAGTATTCTACCAATTGTAAAATGTATCTCTTATGGAATATTTGACATTGTCAAACGTATTTGTCTGGCAGATTATACTGTCACTGTCGCAGTCGTCATCATATCATTTTAATAGAGTTTCTTCATAACTAGAGTCGCACTCTTTTCGACGGTCCGGCCATATTTTACAAGAGTTTGTCACACACAAAATCTTACACAAACGATCCGGCGTCGTCTGAGAGACTACGGCTTAAGTAACTTCTGCCAGAACTTCTAAAAAACTAATCCAGTTTGGGTATAAATATGGCTATCAGTTGTTGACCGAGAGGGGGAGGATTAGCTGGAACGCCGATCCTGTAGGCGCTCCCAGTAACTAATGAGAATGAGTTAATTATTTGGCGTTGTCTGTCAGACGACGCCGGACCAGTTAAGGGTTAAACATTCCGCATAAACTTTTCAATAACTCAATGCCATAAAAATTCCCATTCCTAGCGAATTTATTTTACACTGTGCAGAAAATATACTATATCAATATCTACTCACCATGGTACTATCTTCTTGGCTCAGTATCAAAAATGCATGCCTCTCTTCCCCACTGCGAATCGTCCACATATTGGAACAACCAGGTAAAGTAAATGTGGTGACAATTTGCGGTTTAATAGACCTCTGTAGTACACACAATGCTCCATTCTTACCATATCCAGCAGTGGTAACTAATTCCAAATTTAAGTCAGGATTATTATTGAATTCCTCACTTAAAAACGCAGGCTCTCCCACAGATATGTTACCGCAAGGTCCAATGTTTAATAAAGAATCACATACTTCAAAAATATAGCTTGTGATTTGCACACCAGCTTGTTTCTGGTTACCATATACTTCTAGTTCTTCAGGATCTCTGATATCTATAATAAATAGTGATGTTGGTAGCGAATATTTCCACTCGAATTTTGCAGGAAATTTCAGAAATTTCCGAAATATTCAGTCCCAAAATCGCAAAAATCGCAAAAATCCGAATTTTGCAAGAAATTTCTTTTCAAAATTCAAGACATTGAGCAAAAATTTAACGAAAGTGTATCAAGTATGCCGATTCTTAAGTCAGAAGAAAAAGAATGCTTCTCCGCCTTACAAAATAAAAAACCTATGGCTTTTGAACCAATGCATTTTGCCGGGAATCTCTTGGACCCCTGTTTCCTGGGAGAGAACCTTAACAATGAAGAACACATAGCCACTATGGAATTTATCAACAATATCACCAACAATCATCCTCAATTTGTCAATAATAAGCCATTTTTACAGATGTAACAAATTATTGCGCCAAATCGGGTTTATGGGCTCTCGACTACGTTTGGATGTCAGTTAAAAATATAGACTGTCTAAGTTGGTGGCAAGCAATGTGTAAAAATACTCAATTGAAATATTTAGCTGTTGCTCTGCTGTCTTTACCAACGTCATCTGCAGCCACAGAGAGAAGTTTCAGTACTTACAGTTTTATCCATACTAAAAAAAGGAATCGCTTAACTGCACAAAGAGCCGGTAAAATAATGTTCGTAGCTCACATCAATAAATTATTACTACAAAAACAAAAAGTGGATATGGAGCATGATATTCAACATGAAATTCCTCCCGAACCACTAGAACTCGTGGAGGTAGATGTCCATCCTTCAGAATCAGAACCAGGTGATACATCAAATATATGTATCTGATTTGGAAATAGAAACTGACGAAGATAGTACTACTACTACTATAATTCCCTATGAAGATGGGACCAGTTCGGCGCCTGATATTCCGGAATAGAATAATTCAGTTATTTATGTTTTACGTTTTTTAAATTTATATTTCGTGCTTTTTTGTTTTTTTTTTAAATTCATAGTCATAGTTCGTGGTTTATCAAATGGCTATCTAATTTATTTCTTTATTGTATTGACAAAAAATATGTAAAATTATAAAATTTCCTAATATTTCATAAATTTCCGAAAGTTTCAGAAATTTCCTGCAACAATCAAAAATTTCTGAAATATTAACATCACTAATAATAAATTAGTCATTATTAAGTAGTGTTACTTTTAAAACTTCTAGAATAGAAAAAAAGGAAATAACGATTTTCTATCTTATTTTTTGTCTTATGTTTTAATGTAGGATGCTCCAAAGTAAAGAATAGACCAGGACTGCAGAGCAAACGGCCCTGTTTTGCGAATCGACGGTTCAGTTGATCCATGAGGACGAGTTTAGATACTTGCAATCTCTAATGCTATAAAATAATATTTCGAACTATTTCGAGCAGCACTGCATTACGCCGAGGAGGCGTTTACCGGCAAAATATTGATGACGCTCCTCGCCTTTTTTTTAGTTGTGACTATCTATACTAGATAGTAGACTAGACCCTGTCCCCCCTACAACAGGAAGATCTCCATGTATGATGAGTTATAGACTGTATGATGAGTTATAACTCAAGAAACGGGGACACAATAGATTTACTTTGAGTGTTGAACTTAGTTGTTAGAATGCTTAAGAACTTATTTTGGAAATGAACGAAAATTTACAATCAGTAACTTTTTTAAATTGCATTCTGAATTTGCTCTTTTTTCTTACTGCTCTCGAGAAAATGATGAATTTTAGGAACAAAAAGAAACAAATTGAGAACAAACTGGTATTCAGAACAAGTTATCCTTCTTTTTTTGAGCATATTTAGACTAAAAAAGTATCTATCCACACGACATACTGCAATCTGCAAATTATGGCAAATGGGTAGCGGTAGCTAAATCTAAATAACAAAGGTATATATTACTACTACCTATTATCCCTACATAGAATACTGTAGGGAATCCCCAAAATGGGGAATCAAATGTATTAAAAGGAGATAAAAGTTGGGTTGATACCATGTTGATATATTTCTTTTATGCGTTGTTGCCGGATTTTGCATCAAAATTTCAAACCGTATAAGTAGGCATTTACAAAAAATGTTGCATCTAGGGTTATACTTTATATAGAAACTCTAAAATTTCATAAAAACTCTAACTCTGTCTACAAATTCATTTACCCAATATGTATGTATAAAAAACATTTTAAAAACTCGTGTCTTAATAGTTGCTTAGTAAAAATTATTTTTTTTTAAAAAGGTACCTACGATTTTTGCTATATTTCTGAAACTAGAATTTCATAAACATTTCATAAACTACGTCTACAAATTGATTGATCCAATAATATGCATAAAAAACATTTACAATTAAATATACATATTTACAGTTAAATATAAAGAATCACTTTATTGTACTTCGTAATATCACACGTTTGAACTCATACATGCTCTTAAAAGGGAACATTCTCTCATCGCAGATGTAAACATTCTTTCTATTACACTACTATTTTCAAGTAAAGTAGCATCTACACCTATAATACCGGGTGCGTCTCAAAAGTGGTTCACCCCTATAACTTTTTATTTTTTTAGTTAAAAGAACGAGATTTGGTATGTTAGTATATGACATAAATTAGGATTAGGGAATGCAATCCCGCAAATGCTGGATCCCGCTGCGATTCCGCGGCATCAAAGTTGCGGGATTTACCGTGCGGGATCTGCGGGATTGACACATTATTACTGGGTAACGGAATACTTAAATCCCCTTACGCCTTGGCCATTAAAAGTAAGTGAAACAAACACGTTAGTTGTTAGATTTCTTTCTGGCGTATGTGCGTAAGCAGCGTAAGTGAAGAAAAGTGTTTAACTAGTACTTGTGGACAATTTCGTCAAATAAACTGCCGGACATAATTATCGGGACAAGCAAAATTTTAAGGTAAATTTAAAGTTGAATATCTCTTGAACTAAAAAAGATTTTGGGATGTGGTTGGGACCAGGTTTTAAATGCATCTATTATGACTAAGATGCTATGTGGTTTTCGAAAATATATTTAGCGGAATTATCGTATACAGGGTGTTTTACAAGAGTGTGAAAATTAGGTCAAGAATCTTTTTTTCCGCAAATTTACAATTCTTAAAAAATTGAAATTTTTACCAAGTACGACAGTACGACTAATCTGTATTGAAATTAGAAAAAAAAATACGACGTTTTTTCGAATATGCATTTTTAGTCATACGTATGGTCCTAAATGGTACAAAAAGCTTTGTACATTCTGCATATGCCAAAAAATTATTGATATAGAGTGTATCTAAAAGCAGATAACTAACACAAGTTAAAAAAAAACTTCAACATCAGAATAATATTTTTATTTATAAAATAAGTAGATAAGTTATAATAAATAAGTTTATTTAATATTAAATATATTCTTTGAACACCTTGTATACATCAGTCCAAATTTCTGTACAGCTAGTATAAGATACACGCTATATCAATATATTGTGGGCCTATGCAAAATGTACAATGCCTTTTGTACCATTTAGGACCAAATATATGACTATAAATGCATATTTTTCGAAAAAACCTCGTATTATCCTTAAAACAAAAATTTAAAAAAAAAGACCAAATTGTTTTTTTTCCAATTTCAATACAGAATAGTCGTACATAGTTAAAATTTCGATTAATTGCATAAAACCATTATATTAGCAAGTTTAATAGGTTAAGTACAAAGAGGAGCATTTATTGTTTACAATCCCGCAATTTTGCGGATCCCGCGGGATTGATTGCTTTAATCCCGCGGGTTTGCGGGATTGAGATTTTGGTGCGGGATTGCATTCCCTAATTAGGATTGATTGACGTATTCAATTGTTTTCGGTCACTTCCGGTTTCACCGGAAATGACTACAACATTTGATTTTTACATGGCACCCGCCCCCGTATTTTTTTACTTTATTCCATAGAAAATGTCACTCTGAAATGAATGACATATCATATGTCAACTTTTGACACTTTTGTGTGGTATCAAATTATTCGTAAAAAAATGCTTTTTCCAAATATGCTAATGAGCCACCCTCGTTCCATTTGAAAAAATTGAGATATGATTAAAAATACGACTTGAGCATTTTCTAACTGGCCAGGACAAGACACTAAAAACATTAGATGATCAAATCTATTTTTCCAAGGCTCCTTGATGAAGAATTAGTCTTTTTAACTTTGCCATGACCCTCTATATTGAATTTTAAAATACAATTTTTTATTAAGCGAGAATGTCAAAAGTTGACATATGATATGTCATTCTATTCAGAATGTTATTTTCTATCGAATAAAGTAGAAAAATTCCGAGAGTGCTATTTAAAAATCAAAAGTTGTAGTCATTTCCGGTGAAACAGGAAGTGACCAAAAACAATTGAATACCCCAATCAATCCTAATTTATGTCATATAATAACATACCAATTTTCGTTTTTTTATCTGAAAAAATAAAAAAGTTATAGGGGTGTGCCACTTTTGATACGCACCCGGTATAGTTGTAATAAATTCATAAAAACACATAATATGCACCTTAAATAAAACATATAAGACATTTTTGTAAACATACCCATTACATCACTCGCAATGCAATCAGTCAAAGAATCTAATACTTTTTCTCCTTTCTCAGTAAGTGCATCAGTTCTGGCTTTTTTTGATAACGGTTCCTCTGACTCATCTAAACTTATAACCTCATTAGCTTTTTCAGTAAATCTCAACAATAAGGAATTTCCTAAACGTGAACCCAAAAACAAAAAGTTATTTTCACATATACACACCTAGAAAAAATATATTTACTATATATATATAATCAGCAAAGAAATTCTACATACACATGTTGTCAATACACTGGCCGCAGCTTTTTCAAAATGAAAATTTCGTACATATCTCATATTATCAGCTAAGAGAGTTAGAACATATAACTCTCCACCTCTTAGTGATAAAACTAAAGTATCATCTTCTAAAAATCCAATTTGGGCACAATCAAAAGTTATTTTTACATCATCTTGTGGTTCTAAAAGACACAAGCAATTTTTTATAATTCTAAAAAGAAAATATTTATCAACAACTTACTGAGCGGAAAGTTTGAACAACTTTCAGCAATACTGTTTACTGATACACCATACGGAGGTATACTTTGATTTAGATATATTAAAGCATTAACTGAAAATATCAAAGTACCTCCCAGAGGTTTCTTAATCGGTACTGCTTTAGTACAATCAAAAGGTAAATTAGCTACACTCCAAATAATAGGATGAACTTTTTGCTGTAAATTTAATGAGATTGCTGCCATTGCACATGTATCAGTTCTAACAGCAACTCTCCTGTAATTGGTATATAAGTATCGATAAAACATATGTCTTAAATAATAAATGATGAAACATACCCTGAAAAAGTTTTCAGAGGTTCATATAAAATAAGCAATGTTGGTTCATAATAGCCATCCAAAAATTGTATATCTATAATATTATCAATTTTGTCTATAAAATCTTTTAATAAAATCATATACGAAGCTAAAATAGGAGATTTTCCAGATGAATTTGAAGTGATCATTGGTTTAATATCAGTATCAGTATCATCAATTGATGTTTCTCTACGAAATGGTAATACGACTAGCTTCTTCCCAAAAACAGTCATAATAGCACACCTATTCTCTGGATCAGCCCGCACTAAAGGTACATGATGAAAATGAGTCCACCCATCCTTGAACAAATAAAAGTAAATTTAAAAAACAAAAAAATATTAATGTACCTACCTTCATCTCCTCTTCTTCAAAATAATGTAGACTTAATGTTTTAAGTTCATGGAGTTCTGGATCATATTCTACGACTGATAATTTTGCATCACAAAATGCTAAGAGCAAGGAATCTCTAGCTGAATTTGCTAACGTTACACTTTGTAAAGAGACTATATTCCCAAATAACTGATACTGGGCCACACACTCAAGTTTCGATTTTGGAGGAAAAAATTCTAAAAGTTAACACGTTATATGCAGATTCAATTATTTTACATATTCTAAACTAACCTGAATATTTCTCATGTTTCGACTTAGCCTCAACATCGGGAATTAATCTAAAAACTTTAAGAATGTTTGCTCCTGCCGTAACAAGACTTTTCTCAGTTTTATTGAAGAAAAAACAACTAATTGCGTGTTCAACACCGGTAGCCTGATGAGTCTGTTTACAAATTGAAAACATGATAATAGCACCGCGTAAACAAGCAATTAAACAACTAGAACATAATATAGATCACTATTACTATATTATAATCAAAAATATTTTATTTAATTATAAGGATTTTAACTTTTCAAAACAGTTCACTTTCCATAACCTTAATCAAACAATTTATTTACTTCCTACTTGCCACAGAACACCGAGTTAAGGATATGACATAGAATAAATATTTAGTTTGTTTGAATCATAGATATCGAATCTCTGGTTTTTGCTTTCTTTATTTAAGCCTTGATTTAAGCCTAGAGCTATTCTTTGAGCTATCATACTCCTTCCCTAATTTGGTAATACCCCTAATTTTTATATTTAAAGGGGGTACCTTCACCATTCAACGATATTCTTTTCAAAGTTTTATTAAAGATTTTTTTAAATGGCTAAAGAATACAAGGACGCGTAACGCTGTAAAATTGGCTGTAAATATGTGATGCAGAGATATAGAGGTAATGTCTATATCTCTGATGTGATGTTAAAGGACGCCATTTTTTTGGTGCCATACAAAGAGTCACGAAGAGTTGAAGAACAATTTTAGCTATAATATTTTAAATACATAGGTTATTGTAATGTACTGGTGTACTAAACTTTGTAATTTTGTATACACTTTAACTGTTCTTGGTATAAGCTTTTATTACAATGCTGGGTATACCCAATGCTGATTTGTCCACAAGTAAGTACAGTTTTTTAAATGTGGAACATAAAAAAACTTGTATACCTATTACCTTTTATCATTAGCCCTGTATATTATTGCATTTTTGGCTTCCTCGCCACTTTACATAATCCTATGATATTATTAAATATGTTTCGATAGATTCAGAGATATTAATAAATAAATTTAAAAAAAAGTCGTGTTTTCATCCTTTCCAAAAAATATTAAAAATACAACAAATGTTCTGAAATCTAAATATATATATACTATACTAAATATTTACTATTGTTGTTCTGTACATACTTTGCTATAAATAACTACACAGGGTGTTCCAAAATTCTATGCCAAACTTTCTAAAATATAAAATAATTTTCCTTGGTTTGTTAAATTGAACACCCTCTATCCTGTATATTATTCCTTTGTTAGATGGAGAATTGAAAAATTAATATTTTTCAAAATTTAAGTAGGTACTTAAATTTTTTAACGGTTTGGCAAATATTCGCGTTTTGTTACATATGACTCTTTCAACGATGAAATATCAGACTAATATCAACACAAGATACACATATTTTGAAATATTTTAAATATAAAAAATGTGCATCTGTTAATTCTCCATCTAACAATGAACATACAGGATGTTCTATTAAAAAAAATAAAGAAAACTTATTTTATATTTCAGAAACTTTGGCATAGAATTTTGAACACCCTGTTTAGTTCAAGATTGCGATATTTATAGCAAAGTAAGTACAGACCAATAATAGTAAATATTTAGTATAGTTTTGATTTTAGAACATATTTCTTGTGTTTTTAATATTTTTTTTTTAAATATACTTCTTTTTTTTATTTATTATTTATTAATATTTTTGAAACTATCGAAACATAATATCTTTAGGATTAACCCAATCTATAATAATAATATCTTAGGTAAAGTGATCAGAAAGAAAGCCAAAAATACAGGGTGTTATTCCATTTAAAAAGAATCATCCCGATTTACCCACACTTTTTTAAGCCACCCTGTAGAGTTAGAATGATAACAGCACAGCCATTTGAATTCTTTTCTACTGTCAATAATATATGAAAAAACTTGTAATCAACTTAGAAATTCATATTATATAATATATCCTGTGTTCTTAAAACTAAAAAAAACCTTTCTTGATATTACAGGGTTGGTATAGAAATCAGTGCGACTCCCTGCAAATAAAGGGCTATTTCAAAAAAAGGGCAGATTTGGGAAAGCTGATTTTTTTATACGTGTATCAACATATCTTAGAGATTTTAATTTTAATAAATTAAAAGCGGAACTCCGTGGAACTCCCCACCAAGCAAAAAACCTCACATTACATTTGTAACATTGCAGTCAATCCCCAAACAGTTTGCTATGTAATGTTAATTTCTAAACGTTGTGTTGTGATTGATGAAACCTTGCTACAGAAACATTGTCTTTGAATGGTGATTAAAACGTTTTTTTCTGCAACATTGCAACAAAGATTCAAATGAAAGATCCGCGCAAGTTAATAATAATTAATAATATAACAAATATACTATAAGATAAAAGAAAAAAACGGCGTCTAGTTGGCTTGGAAATGAATATCGATGACATTCCCCATATAATTTTACATATAAAATATATAAAATGACAGCGATTTTCTTTTCATAGCCATCGTTGACGCATTTTTTTGATCATACGGTATAAGTTAGAAGTTAGGTTAGGTTAATGCAGTTGTTTTTTTTTCATATACGTATTACTTTTTACAAATATACTCAGGGTTCCCTATTTAACCCCATGTACAATTTCTGTGCCGTAAGAAAAAGACAACATAACCCAACTCCATATTAAAACTGCATAAGTCTATTTCACCCGGATATGGATTGAACTGCGATTGCGCCAAACTCCGATTGATTGTTGTTTTAGTTCTGTTTGGATTACTTTTTATTTGTGCGCGTAAAAGTGTGGTTTTGTTTAGTTTATTGTTTCCAACTATTTTTTGATATTTTTCCAACTCCCATGATAATGTGTTATAAATAATAAAAATATAAATAAAATTGAAGGTTAGCGCACAGAATATACTAACGAAAAGAAACCCAAGTTCCTTGTAATAAATCGGTTCCATTTTCGTAACGCCATCTCTCGACATAGCTGACATTATAAGGGCTTGCCAAGGGGTGCGGGGAATTGGGAAATACACTTTTTATTTTAATTATATTTTATTCCCTATTTGCAATTTTATTTTTTAAAACATATTATGTGAAACAAATCCGCATAATATGTCTTAAAATAAAATTACAAACTTGAAACTAAAAGAATTAAATAATCTGAAAATCTACAAAGTTTATTGATAAAAAAAAGTTAGGCTATGCAAATTGATAAATATATTAAATATAACATCTTTGGTTCATAACATTGTTAAACAAACATTAACAAATCATAACATATCAGATCATAGAACTAAAAAGTTACTATTACATTAAAACAGGTGATACAATACTTCAAAATTAATTTTAACATAATATCAAAATCGAAAATCAAACTGCAAACACAACCACACTTATCACGTAAGAAATTAACACACACTTCCACGGCAAAATGTCCAAGAAAGACTGCATAATCATTCACCTGATTGGTCCTGGTGAACTGTCGTAGCTCAACGTCGTATTGTCGGTAAGCAAAATCCCTTTCCAAAAACTTTTGACGATCAGCGCCGCGTCCGTCATAATTGGGAAAGTTTTTGCTGGAACCATTTTTCGATATTTTTCCAACTCCCATGATAATGTTATAAATAATAAAAATATAAATAAAATGAAGGTTAGGGAAATGTCAGTCAACCACTTCCTTTAAAAACATCGACCAATGAAAACTTCTTCAGGTGAGGCATGCTCAGTTAAATGAATATCCGGGTGAAATAGACTTATGCAGAATTCCATATTGTTCTTTCACTGTTTGGGCTTCACTTTTTGGAGATTAGGCTGAGTATATTTGTAAAAAGTAATACGTATATGTTTTTTTACGTTTTTGGTATCACGTTTTATGCTTTTCGAATGATATTTTAATGAATGTAAATGTAAGTATAATTTTATTATCATGTGTGTTTTAATAATGCTTAGCTATGAATAAGTATAACAAATTTTGTTTAGTTTGTTTATAAGCTAAATTTTGCTTTAGGTTAGCTTTTAGCCAACTGAAAATTGAAGTAGATAAAACCAGGATACGAGTATATCAATCTAATGATAAAATCACAAATAATATTCAGTATTAATTATTCTCAATAATATTTTTTAATGATGTTTTAAGGATATGACATAGAATAAATATTTAGTTTGTTTGAATCATAGATATCGAATCTCTGGTTTTTGCTTTCTTTATTAAGCCTAGAGCTATTCTTTGAGCTATCATACTCCTTCGCCATTCAACGATATTTTTTTCAAAGTTCTATTAAAGATTTTTTTTAAATGGCTAAAGAATACAAGGACGCGTAACGCTGTAAATATGTGATGCAGAGATATAGAGGTAATGTCTATATCTCTGATGTGATGTTAAAGGACGCCATTTTAATGCACGTATGTATAATTTGATTATCATGAGATAATAGTGTTTTAATAATGCTTAGCTATGAATAAGTATAACAAATTTTGTTTAGTTTGTTTATAAGCTAAATTTTGCTTTAGGTTAGCTTTTAGCCAACTGAAAATTGAAGTAGATAAAACCAGGATACGAGTATATCAATCTAATGATAAAATCACAAATAATATTCAGTATTAATTATTCTCAATAATATTTTTTAATGATCATTTGAGATTTTTAAAATAAGGACATAAAGGGGCCTCAAAGATTACTGTCACAAGAGGTAAGTTACTCATTGTTTTATTTATTACAACTGATTGTATTTATTTTTACTACTTTAGAAATGATTGGATATAGATTTCAAAACTTTACCGAAGAGGAATTTGAAACCATGAATAAGACAATTCAACATGCGAAGGCAAAATATGAAAGATTCAAAAAATCAATTAAAATATAAGTTTGCCTTTTTACTTTATTTGTACATATATTTAATGTTATACTTTCCTTTTGTATTTTATAATAAGAAATATATATGTTTATACTGTACCTATATATATTTTGTATTATTTCAGACATTCAACTTTAAGATTTTTTTAGAAATTCGACTCAGAGGTCGGAGTTGTGTAATTCCTTATTTAATGAGCAACCGAAAAGATCAGTAAGTTCTCAGTACTCGACTGTATTTTTGATATTTTTGAAACAAGTAAGTGATAAACATTGCCTGGAAACTTATATGGTGAAATTTTGAGTGGTAGGAAAAATAATTTTTAGAGGTTACTAGTTTATTTGGTTGCCTGTGATATGCATATACAGGGTGTTTTCTAATTAATCTAAAAAATAAAAAATCGTTAGAAAACGGCTTAAGGCAGGCTCTTAATAAATATATTTATTTTTTTTCTCGGCAACCGTTTGATGAACAAGAAAAACTCAAAAGATCAATTTTGTTGAAAAAGGATGACCAGTCAAGAAAAAAATATATTTTCTTTAAAAAAGCAGTAGTGTACCATTTGTGTTAAGCAAAATATCGATTTTTTTTTTAATTTTTAACACCCTGTAGATCAGAAAGGAAGTACTTTAGACCTAATGGTTATATCAAAATTGTTTTAAGAACAAATGAGAAATCACACCACAATTTTTTAGACTAATTAGAAAACACCCTGTATATTGTCAACTTGACAATGATTGTTGATAAATCAAAAAATACCTTTTCTGTGAAAAAAGCTCGATTTTCGCAGGAAAATTTTTGGTTTTTATTGAATTTGGGCCTGCGTCTGCAAATATCGGTATGTTTTTTAATATTCTATCTATCCAAATTTTAAATATCATAGTCAGAAATAGTTTTATTATTTATTAACTGTAAAAATGGTATACTTATAAGTTTTATCAAATATTGTGATTTACTTCTACCTTGTAGTCAAAATTTATATTTAATAAACTGTAAAATATATATATTCCTATGTTTTATTAAAATTAGTTACTCTGATATACTAATATATCAGTGTAACTTTAAAACTAAATCCGCTGAAATCAAAATATAAACATAAAAAATATTTACAGCAGAAAAGGCGAAGGCGCTGGGTTAAACGTAGTCTCTACTAAGAACACGGAGGGGCGCTTTGACCAAAAATTTTACTATTAAGTTTCATATCTATCTTAATAGAAGATTATTTTCTTTTATATATGGTGATAAATTTCCAATTTTTATTTGTTTTTTTCTTTGAAGTGACACTATCGCGATTTATCGAAAAAGATTCTAAAATAGTTGGTTGTGTAGCGTGCGGTAGATCTCGGCAAAAATTGAGTGAAATAATGGAACAACTTTTCGCTAGTAAGTGACTGTATAATATACATACCTACGTGTAGTAAACCGATCATTTATGAAATTCGCTTAAATTAACTAAATTATATATTTTTCTTGCATTTTAGCTTTTATTTATTACTTGTCAAAGATTAGATGTCAAAGAATTTAGATCCGTTAATTTGACTTACCTGCTTCAGTAGCGTATCGGATGTTTGTGTTAATAAATACTTATTATAACTTATCTATTTTGATTAGAATTATATATTTTTATAACAATTTTAATAACTACCAACATTTATTCACAACGTAAAATAAAACAACAAATTATTGAGTCTACCTCACGTCTACCCTACATCATAGTTTTACATTTTTTAAATAAAATTAGAACGACACTGATAAACCGGAATTAAAGTCGGCCATATTTGAGGCCCATCGCGGTGTACCTAAGATTTTTGATATGCTCCTTCCTAAGTCTTCTTATTCAAAGGTTTTTTTTCAATTTGCTTGACAAATTCGACTTTCTTGGTAGGGATATATTTACACCGAGCATTTTTAATTTTTCTAAGTCAATGGATATAGAGATATGCATATTTTTATCAATATTGTTTGTTTTTCGTCAATACAATATTAATAAAAGTATATTATACCTATCTGAAAGTCTACAATTTAATACCCATTAATGTTTCTGTTGATTATAACCTATTACTGATGTATTATTTTTAACATAAAATTGCTAATGTTCGTAAAAAAACTTTTTCATTAATTGATAAGTAAATATTAAAAAATCATTTCTATGTATACTCTCCTATAAATGAAATGTTTTTTATTTCGAACATTATCTATTTTTTGCTATATTATTTTGACAATAAGTCAGTTAATAAGTTATAACAAAATAGAAAGTTTAATGGACCATAAGTTTTGAAACATAGGTACAATATAATTTTACCAATATTGTATTGACGTAAAATTAATAATATTGCTAATAAATCTCAAATTAGTACTTTCTTGAACGTTACATTAGCAACGTTTCAATAATATTGTGAAATCTTCTCACGAGGTTGTGACAAGGTTTCAATAAACTTGCATCAACATTTTTTTCAACCTTGCACTGCAATGTTATTTGGCGGAAGATTAAGCTAACCTGCCACCTTGCATAAACCTCCCTACAATGAAAAAAGCAATGTTACACCTTGCTTTGCGAAGTTTTGGCAATGTTCCAGCAATACATTTTGCTTGTTGGGTTATTACTATATAACTCATTATGAAAAGAAAATTGAGACAGTGAGTGGATGAACATTCGAAAAAAAAATTGTAATTTCGATTTTCTTCAAGCTAAACATAGCATTTTGCCGTGTGTGCGATGGCTATCTTCTCCGCTCCATCAGAAAGCGCTGCGCTGTAAACGTGCGAATGCTATTTCATGTTTTCATCAAAGCCGAGCGAGTGCTATGGCGGAATCTGGAAAACCTGGGTACCTATTTTTATTACTAGCGGTTATTTATTTACTTTGTGAAAGGAATAGTTTAGGTCTGTAAAAATTAATAACTATTACATAATATGTCGTTTATTTCAGTTTTTATTTACTTTTACTATTTTTCACATAATAATATCATGGTCTTGTAATTTCCATAATAAAGGTACGAATGTCGCTGGGATTTAATGTTATTTCTAGATTATTTATATCATCTTTGATAGTTGCCTTTGTATTATCGCTTCTCTCGTCAATCCAGGCGTTTTTAACTACACCTGCATATTTGGAATTAGTACTGTCATGTTTAATAAGCAATTCTTCCAAAGTACTGTTGGTATTGAATTTTAGACGATTACTGTCTTTCAACCATTGGTTTCCACCCAAAGTGGTTTCTTCTAACGACACTATTTGGAATCCAGTAAAGAGATCCTAAAAAATGCAATGAAAATATATGTATATTGACAATGTATCAGCTATATATTTTCCTTGTTTAATTCATATAAAATTACTTCAGATCGACTTATTTATACACAAATCGAATTTAAAAATTGATCTGGTAATCTAAAAGCATATCTTAGGGCACTACCCTATAATGATTTTAGATTACGAAAGTAACCTTAACCATATCGCGCACTTATGCGAAGCGCGGCGCGGCGAAGTGCGGCGAAAAACCGTGCAGCGGAATAAATTTATGTTATACAGGGTGTCCCAGAAATAAGTGCAAGTATTTTAAGGGGTGGTAGATCTCGATAAAAGAAACATATTTTCTCTTTATCGTTTTTCAAATAACGGAGTTATTTTACTTTGAAAATTTCCAAAGAAAAATATTTTTTGCTAAAATTTTGAAAACCACTGGATATTTTCTGGATTTTCTTTCTTGTAAATTTAATCTAATACCTATGTTGCCATATTATCAAGAAATTATGTTTTTTAACTAAAAACTAAAAAATTTTCGCGAAAAAAACTCATAGACGTTTTTCTGGGACTGAACTATACTACCAGTTAAAATACTTGCACTTATTTCTGGGACACCCTGTATAATATGTGCGTCCGCTGACTCAAGCGAAGCAACCGCTTGCTCCAGCCGACGAGAGTTCAAACCATCTCCTCAAATCTTTTAGCCATGAGTTCTGGCGTATTCCTACTGATCTTTTCCCTTGCACTTTGCCCTCTATTATGAGGCGCAGTATTTTGTATCTATCACCTCTCATCACATGACCCAGGTATTGCATTTTTCTTTCCTTGATGGTGTTCCGTGTCTCTTTTTGTTTCTGCATGCGCTGCAGTACTTCATCGTTGGTGATCCTTTGTACCCATGAGATTCGCAGCTTCCGTCTGTACACATACATTTCGAAGGCTTCTATTCTCTTTTCGGTCTGTGAATTTAGCGTCCAGCTCTCACATCCATTAGTAAGTAATCACATCCCAGTAATGAGAAGACTTAAGCATTTGACCATTCGAGATCTGAGATCCGCACGAGGTCTCGTCTTGTAAAAAATTATTTCATACTCACGAAGATTTTTCTCGCTTGCTCAATTCTTGAAAATATTTCTCTTTTCGGGTCGCACTGACTATTGATGTTAGCTCCTAAATACTTTATTGAGGTCACTTGTTCGATTGTTTGTCTCTTGACACGCAGGTGTGCATTTATTGGAGTCTTAGAAAAGACCAATAGTTTGGTCTTGGAGACATTGAGATGCAGTCCAAACATCTCACTATAGTGGACTACGGAATCTATTATGCTTTGCAGTTCTTGTATATCGTTGGCTATTATAACCGTATCATCGGCATATCTGATATTGTTTATTGGGATTCCATTGAACTTGATTTCCGCCCTGGATTCGATCCAGTGCTTCTCTAAATATAGTCTCCGATTACAGGTTAAACAGGAGCGGAGACAAAACGCAACCCTGTCGAACACCCCGTCTGATTTGTATATCTTCCGATGTTGACTGTTTCATCTCAACTACCGTAGTTTGATGTCAATGAAGTTCTGATATGAAACGTAGGTCTTGTTCATCAACTCCGGTTGTTCTTAAAATTTTGATCTGATGATTAACACAGTCGAACGCCTTACGATAGTCTATGAAGCATGCAAATTCATTCATATTCATGTCTCTACACCTCTGTGTCATTACATTTAGGGAGAAGAGTGCTTCACGCGTTCCGAGTCCGTTTCTGAAGAACTGGGTGTTGTCCATCTGATTTTCGCACTTCTTGTAGATTCGCGTGTGAATGATTCTAAGAAAGGTTTTGAGGACATGGAACATAAGGCTTATCATCCGATAGTCATCACATTGTGAGGCGTTGGCTTTCTTTGGCAGGGTTACGAATGCTGATTTAAGCCAATCTGACGGTATTTTGCTTGAGCTATATATAATTTGTTAAATAATAATGATTCTACGATTAATGTATTACTAATTGGAATTTATAATAATGATTCTACGATTAATGTAGTACTGATTGGAATTTATGATGTGTTTAGTCAAGAACCAGTTTGTTTTTTTTTGAATTTGTTTCTTGAAATTTAATTATTGAGATCATGGATGATGAAACATTAATTTTGATTATACAGCAAACATTTCTACCAATGTACAAACTACTTAATTTAGAATAAAGAAAAGATATACCCATTTAAGGAAACATGCATTACATAAAATAATATTCTCTATTTCTCTATTAATTATTCTCTATTAATTTTATTTAGACACTATTAAAAACTTGCCTGAGACAAACTCAAAGTCTTTTCTTAACGCCAATTGGGCAGCGAAATCTAGAAGTTTGACGCTCTATATTTGGTTTTAACAAAAAAAGAAGTTCAGCAAATTTTTCGTGGGCCGTTCTATAATACTTGAAAAATTTTCTTTCGCCTTCCTGTTTTCGTGTTCCTCACATCTGAATGAAGGTGTATTTTCCATACGTATTTCTTTTTATATTAATGTTATTAATCCAAGATTTTCTCTTTTTGTTCTCACGCATTTCTTTTTCTTTAGCTATTGTATATAAAATAAGAAAATCTCGCTCTGAATTGTTGCTGGAACTTGAGGACATAATGAAGTTTTAATACACCTTTCTCAAACCGTTACAGAGATAATACTAAAATTGAAAGGGTCAGCTCAAAACAACTTTAAATACCAACCGCGTACGAAAAAACCTAAGCGCATAAATTAGCGCGCCTATCAAAAATTCGCTGCGCTTGGTCGCACCGCGCTTCGCACAAGTGCAAGACATGCTTTAGGCAACCTTAGAGTAAAATAGCGGATTATTTAGAGTTTAAATGGAGTAGCTGCATCTAAAGAAGCCACTGTGTCATTAATCTGAAAGATGGTGAACACCTTTTCTTGAAGTTCTGAGACGTTCCGCGCAAAATAATTTCGAAAAATGATTTATAGCGTTAGACGATCTAGTGGCTCTATTCGTGACCACAGCTAGCATCTTCAAATGTTACTCGCTACCCCGAGAAAAATCTATACGCAAAGTTGCAAATGATGTTGAGAATAGGTACACAGCTACGTCGAAACACCGGAACAAACATAGATTCTTTTTTGTAATTTTTGTGTATGTCGTTTCTCAAAATCATATCTGATATCCGCTGGACACAATGTAAAGTGTGAGTTGAAATTGTTGAATCTGTTTTTTCTTCTTATACCTTAAGTTTTACAAGAACTGGCTGTGATAAAGCAACGTCTTCGTCATTATCAAAGACATGCTCAATTCTGAGAAGAAACGTTGAATCTCTCCATGGTTCCAAAGTGAGTATTTGAACGTTTTTAGGCAGTCCACTGGTTAACCCAGAATACTAAAACAAAGAAATATTTTTAACTCTATACATCGAGTTTAATACTCCCTTTATACCTCCATAACATATTTAGATTTGTAATCGTCAGAACTGCCTTCCAGTGGTGTAACAAATGTCCAGGTGTCAAGTAATCTTCTTTGTGCAATATCTTTTTCTATTGCAGAAACTGAATCGCCTAAAACATGTTAAATAAATGTATTAATAAAAGAAAATTGGAATATGTTCATATTTATGTTGACATCATGTTGAGGCAGATAAAGCTTTATCGCCGAAAATATAAAGTAGGAGTAGGCGTCAAACTCGTATTTATATGTTTTAAGCAACTTGGTTTCTGATACACAAGGCGTTTTAATTTTTTTCAAAAAATAATAAAAATGTGTTTTTTACTCACCATTTTCGTTATTTATATATCCCACTGTTACAAAGTGTGAACCTCTAATTACTAAACCAGCATCAAACGCAGTTTCATTTAAAGCTTCTCCAACTCCAAATGAGTCATCATGCAAACAGTTTCTATGAATCTGAAGAAGATAATTGGATTATATTACGCAATGTATGTTATACAATTATAAAAGTTTTTTTATTATACAGGGCCCGGCAATAGTGCGTCGGGCATCTGTAGCTCCTAGAATAAAAAACTTGAGAATTTTGTTTAAGTGCAAACCTAAAGTATGTACCAGGATGTATTTCAGGATAATATTTCAACTTCTATAGGGTGGCTCAAAAAAGTGTGAGTGGATCTGGATGATTTTTTTTAAATGGAACACCCTGTATATTATTGCATTTTTGGCTTCCTTTCAGATCACTTTACATAACCCTAAGATATGAATAAATATATTTCGATAGTTTCAGAGATATTAAAAAATAAATCAAAAATATATTTTTTTCAGCCCTTCTTAAAAAAAACTATTAAAAACACAGGAACTGTTCTGAAATCAAAACTATATTAGGCATTTACTTTAGATGGTTTGTTCTTACTTTGCTATACATATGGTAATCGGAAATCACACAGGATGTTCAATATTCTACGCCAAACTTTCTAAAATATAAAATATTTTTTCTTTGTTTTTTTAAATGGAACACCCTGTATATTATTTTTTTATTAGATGGAGAGTTAAAAAATGAACATTTTTTGTATTTAGAGTATTTCAAAATGTTTAACGGTTTCGCAGATACACGCAGTATTATTTCATATGGCGCTTTCAATGGTAAAATACTAGAGAAAAATCATTGGGTGGCTTTGATAAAAATTTACTGTAGAAAATGCCATATGAAATATAAAACCGCAAATATCTGCGAAACCGTTAAAAATTTTGAAATACTCTAAATACAAAAAATGTTCATTTTTAATTTCTTCGTGTATTGAAAAAATAATATACAGGGTGTTCCATTAAAAAAAAACGAAGAAAAATTATTTTATATTTTAGAAAGTTTGGCGTAGAATTTTGAACATCCTATATGATTTACGATCTTCATATCTATAGCAAAGTAAGTACAGACCATCTAAAGTAAATACCTAATATAGTTTTGATTTCACAACAGTTCTTGTATTTTTAATAATTTTTTTTAAGAAGGGCTGAAAAATATATATTTTTGATTTGTTTTTTAATATCTCTGAAACTATCAAAATATATTTATTCATATCTTAGGGTTATGTAAAGTGATCTGTAAGGAAGCCAAAAATGCAATAATATACATGGTGTTCCATTTAAAAAAAAATCATCCAGGTCCACTCACACTTTTTTGAGCCACCCTATAGAAGTTAAAATATTTTCCTGATATACATCCTGGTACATACTTTAGGTTCGCACTTAAACAAAATTCTCAAGTTTTTTATTCTAGGAGCTACAGATGCCCGACGCACTACTGCCGGACCCTGTATTCCTCTATATTTGTTACATAATGCAGTTTACCATTATTTCAATTTCTCCATTATTTAAACTACTTCCTCCTTGTGCTCTGTCAGTTAAAACAGCAAGTTCGATCCCCTGGTCCTCATCTCTGATAGAAATTTTTGACGTAATCGGATAGTAATTTCCCGAAGCAAATTCTGAATTGTTTAATTGCCAAGTAGGTCTAAAATCTCTAACGCGCTTCAACATCTCTTTACCATTGGAATCTGTATAGAATGTTCCATTGGTAGGTATACTGGTGCTGTATCTTGATACAACTTCAATTCCATTTGTTCCACTAAAACGTTAATTTATTTTATTTGTTAATTTCTTATAATTTTATTACCATATCTTTGAACTTAAAATTTAAATTGACTTGAGAAATATGGTTAAAGGACTTTATATCCTCATAATATCGTCGCATCTATCTACATAATAGTGGAGAATTTTTTATTTTCATAATTTTATGCAATGGAGGATAATCGATACACAGTATGATAGAATAAGATTAACATTCAAGTGTTTTATAAAGTATAGTAGTGGGCTATGGACAGAGTTAACAATCCTAATATAACTTTTCCTTCTGATAGAGTGCTAGGATTGAGATACAATCTAATACTATATCGGGTGTTCCATTTAAAATAAATAATCAATCTATTAATACTGTGTAAAATTTCACTAAGTTAATACTGTCCTAAATTTTCAGTGATTTTCTAGATATACTTTTTCATATTGCTAATTGCTATATCAATTTCAGTAAGCAGGATTGATTGACATATTGAATTAAGAACTAGTTTCGGTCACTTCCTCTTTTACCGGAAATGATACAACTTTTATCTAGAGTTCAATAACAACAGTAAACGTAGCGAAATATTGACTCGAAATTCAAGTATGTGTTACCAAAATTATGTGAAAAACATGTTTTTTTGGAAGTTAGTGGCTAATGAGCCACTAATAAGACACAATAAACATCATACGATCAAATATATTTTTGTAAAGGCCCACATTAAAAATTGGTGGTTTCAACACTCATTAAAAATGGCAAAAAATTGGCACACACTGAAATTTAAAATACCATTTTTTTGTAATTGAAAATGTCAAAGTTGACATATCATATGCCATTCTATTCAGAATGTCACTTTCTCTAAAATAAAAAAAATATCGAAGGTATCATTTGAAAATAAAAAGTTGTAGTCCTTTCCGTTCATACAGAATATGTCAATTAATTCTGATTTATGTCATATACTAAGATATAGTATTTTCGAAGTCAATTGAAGGGGTGGCTGCAATAACCAGGCAGCTCCATTTTTTTTGTGGGAAATCGAAAAAGAGCTATTCGGTTCTTACTGCAAACACAGAGCAGGGCAGCTCTAACTAACGTCGCCATTTATGTACTGTTATATTGAGAGAACGGATTGTTGCAGGAAACGATCGGCCAATTTTTTTAAAGGGTAATTCATTAAAAATCACATTTTGGAAAAAAGTGGAGCTGCCTGGTTATTGCAGCCATCCCTTCAATTGGAAATACTAGTGGCAACAATGGTACAGTAGTGTCAACAAAGACCGTGCCGACAGAGACAGTGCCGCCATTAAGAGTCATAATCTATTCCACCTGACTTCAGAACGACTATGCCAAATACTTTTTTTATCTGAAAGAATAAAAAAGATAATATAGGGGTGAGCCAGTTACGAAAAACCGGGATATGATGAGTAGTAGTGATAGTAGTGAGTAGTAAGTACTTACTTGGTGGGTATCGGTCCAATAACCCAATCAAATTCAATATAGTTTTCCACTTTGTTGATTCTAATTATCTGGCTCACATACTCGTTAAATATTTGTCTAGCCTCGGAAACCAGAGCCCCTTGGTAGAAGACAACAGAAGCGTTTTCCGAAACTGTCGTAATGTTACCGTCAGGCCTGAAGACGTAGGCTCCAGATGATCTGTTTTCCGACTTACCGTTGTTGCCAACAAAGCCGCTATAGTAATAGAAATTTTGGCTGAGGTAAAGTGTTACGTTGTTTAAAATTAGTTTCGTGATAAGGCCTGAATCCGCATCGACAGAGAAAGAGCCATTAGTTGCCTAAAAAGAATTTAAATTTAAGAATTAGTGTAGTTGGTGACATACCGCATGCTAAAATTAAACATATTCATTTAATAGGTCTTTAAGAATATATTAATGAATAGACACAAAATTAGACTATTGACTTCAGTGATGCATGGTATGAATTTTTTGTTTGAATATTTGTTTGTATCTAGAATGCTCTTGGAGGATATTGTTATAGTTATTTAACCTTTAACGGCTAACGTGCAATGGGAACATAAGGACAAAAATAAGTATTTTTATCAGAAGCATTTATTCATAAATTACTTAGAGGATAAAGAAACTGAAAAAAAGGAACACATATTAATAAATATATTCTAGGAAATGTAAACCTTTTGCTTATTAGACACCCGAGCTGGTTTAAACTCTCTGTTCCCTTTCCCCTGGTTCTCAAAACCTACAATATTACACGACCACTATTATAAAATAAATTGAACTTGATATTCATATCATCAATACATAGAACACAATATCGATTAAGTTCATCCGGTTCATCGAAACTTTCAACTTTTCTTTTTCTAGAGTCTCAAATACACTAAGATTTTCTAAGCCATATTTGATATCGATGTCATATTCATTTTCTTAATATCTCTTGGTCTCTGGACGTGGAAGGCAAAATAGATTTGTCAAGAGCGTCTTGTATATCTTTGGCCCGGGAAAGTATATCGCCAAACATTTATATTTAAATTCATCAGTTACTTTTCTTCCTTTAGCTGATTTGTTAATTTGTGCAATTTGAATAACAAAATTTGCTACGTAGATAAATCCATTGATGGACATAATTTGTACGTATGTACAAATACATGTGTATATTGTTCAATAGATATTTTATTATTTAGTTCAATAGATATTTATACTTTATTAGGTAGGGTATTTCTTTACTTCTTGTTTGTAACTCCTGGCATGTTTTTTAATTTTAATTGTCTATTCTCTACAGTTAAATGTTTAATTGATTTTTTCATTTTTACTTTTCGAGGAGTATGTGCGGTTAACGATTCATTTTTGTTTAGACAAAAGTATTGTGTAAATAAAATTGAGTTTCAGTCAATTACAGTATTTTTTTAATACGACCCTGTCTATCAATAGTTTATGTTCTGTGAAATTTTTTGATACGTTTTAATCCGGCCCTGTCTCGGCATCCATAATGTTGTTGTCAAGGTAAAATTTTATAGAAATTTTAAACCATGGGATCTAGGCAGAGTTAGCCTGCCGTGTGATTTATATGCCGTGTCAATACAGTGTATACTCTGTACCTATGCTGTTATACATCGTTCTATCTTGTGATATGAATCATACCTAATGGCTATGAGCAGAACTTATGACTGAGAAAAATCAAAGATTTCACTTGATTTAAATAAGAACAATCCTCGGATTGTCATGGGGTTTTTAACAGGACACTGTCTCCTCAACGAACACCTCAGTAGAGTGAAGCTGAGAAACAAAGGCGAATGCAGGTTCTGTGGGCAAAATAGGGAAACATCAGAACACGTCATACTAGCGCCGAGACGACAACCGTTCGTGCCATAAACGGCTGATGTCGGAGATGGAGAACTGGCGTCTGTGGAGCTGTCTCAGATACTGGCTTTTGTCAAAGCCCTGAGATTGTATGATGAGTTATAACTCGTTATTACTCAAGAAAGGGGGCACACAGTAGATCTGTAAGATTGCGGTGATTAATCCTTTCCCAAATATTTTACATTCTTCTTCCACAATAGCTATGGATTTGAGCTATGGGCATATAGGTTGGTTTGCGTATTGGATATTCTAACGATGAAGCTGAACTAATGATATTAATTAAATAATAAATTATTTACAACTACTTTTATTATACTATATTGCTAGTGATCATGACAAATTTTATCATAAACTTTATAAGTGGCAGTTATAGGCGCAAACATCTATAATCAGGAAATGAAAATGGAAATTGTAAATAATGCCAATCTATACACAAATTTAAACACTTTTATCGTCTACTGAATGTTAATAGAATTTTTAAAGTTTAAAGAAATAATATTTGATAGACAATGGTTTGTGTTCTGCAATGTCCATGTATATTTATTTGTAATTTTAATGACGTAAATTTTTTTGAATTGATTTGTATTGTATGATATTTTTTTATTATTTGTATATTTTTTGTGCTTTTGTTTCTTTTGTAAATGCTTTGTCGATGAAGCTATTTTGGCTTTTTGTACAATAAAGCAAAATTATTTATTTATTATCTTACGTGAATGGTAGATGCACCAGTGCGGATTTTGGATGCTACAATTCTCGAGTCGGACGAATTATCTAAAGTTACTATGAACGATTTCCATCCTAATGGCGGAATGTTACTTGCAACGAAATACAGATCGTTTGTGGCATTGCTATCTCTTCCAGGAATATTCTTTACAAAATCAGCAACTTCTAACAGTTCATAGTCATACGAATTCCCTGCAAATTTGTTAGGTACCATAAAAAATGAAAATACTGCGAGTAATCTTAAATTACCTTCTTTGTCGACAATACTGTAAGCGTTTCCTCTGACTGGTAAATTTACGAGTTTGTCTACAGATCTGCTTAGGGGATTGTAAACAGTAACGACAAAATTGTCAGAGTTTTCAGTTACTGCGCATTGACTTATGTTAGCTAATGGACATGTGGTCAATGGTAGAAAGGTTTCTTGGTCTTCAGTGGGTTGGATTAGTTTACTTAAAAAAACAAGTAGCAGTTAGTAAAGAATCCAGTATCTATACAAAATACCTACTTATTAGGTATGTTTATCTTATATATCGTGTGTTTAAACTCTGGTTATTTATTATTCTTCGATGGTTCTAAAATTTGCTTGTCTTCTGTACAAAAAATACTTAAATACTATTTTAATCAAAATTTATTTAAGAAAAAAGGTCAAAATTAAGAATACATTAAGTCATATAATTTCAAAATTTTAAGTTTCTTTATTTGTAGTTGTATGTTATATATGTAGGTAACAACCTCTATCTTAATATCAGTTTATACTTTATGATGAAATTAGTTTTTGCAAACCTACTGGAAGAAAATTTTGATAGAAAAACTGCTACTTTGATAACATCTTCTCTACTTTTATCATAAAAGTACAACATCTTTTGTATTGTAATTGGGAAAGTATCTACAAAATCCAGGACAATAATTACTTATAGTTGTAATCAACTTTGCGGATCTCGCACCCTTCAAATAAGGACATCCTCAACATGTTGGATACGCAATGGAATCTGTTGAATACTGTAAAGAGCAGAAATGCATTGTACTACATCACAAAATACAGGAAAAAGTGGAAGGCTTTAACTATCCTGGATACGCAGTATCAGATAATGGTCTAATCTCACGTTGAAGAAATATTTCGTACGGCAGCCGATAAAGAAAGGTTCCAACAGATCGTAAACATGACGATAACTGACATCTGAAGACAGACAAGGCACCAGAAGAAGAAGAAATATATAATCAGTATACAGCGATTTGTGGTATGATTGAATCTTTAAGCTAGATATTTCCCTATGAAAGCTTTAAATGACCAATTTATCTAAAACATTGAATGAACTGTCTTTATATTTGAGAACAGAATACATATACAATTCCTATACACCTATACAGTACGGTATCATGTTATAAAAAGAAATAAATTGCATTGACAACATTGACTTAAATATAACTTTCAGCTTCACTTCAATGAAGAGATACATGAAATAAAATATCTTCTTGAACTGATATTGTGTTAAATTTCCATAATTGAAGTTCGAACTACTTTAAAATTTAAAACGGTTGTGCTTATATTGCAGACCAAGGCATTCACCGGTGCCGGAATGATGAAGACAAACTTGTGAATACTTGTGGACAACCCGGGCTTTCGACCACTCAATGATTTGTTGCTAAATTGGTATACGTATTTATAGTAATATCTTTTATTTTTCGTTTCTTTAAACTTACTTTAGTGCTGAATAAGTTATTTCTTCGCATCCACTGATAGCCCTTTCCAACTGTCTTGAATAATCATTTGCCACATGCTGTTTTTCTGTGCCAGCAACGGCATCGTGATGTTGCATAATGCCCATCACTTCTCTCAAGTTATCTAAGCTTTTATTATCATCCGCTCCTAAACCAGCCAACGAATATAGTTGTTTACATACCTACAAATAAAATTCTGTAAATACGAGCTGTTATTTTATTATAATTGGTACATACTTGCAAGAAATTGTTTCCTATTCTTTCGTAACGTTTTATTGCTGGTCTGGAGATGAAGTAGCCGGTCCAGTAAGAGTGTTCGTCAGAGGCGTAAGGGAAGAAGTCGTCTTGCTTCAACAGCCAGGTTCTGTCCTTGGTTTCGTCGTTGATGGCTTTGACGTAGCAGGACGGAGTTGAATATATTAAGTTATACAGAGATCCGTTTTCTTGACGTTTATTTACATAACTAAAAGTAAGTCAAAACAAAATTTATGAAAGTTGGGACAGGAAATGCGAAACACGAAGTATATGGGCGGAACAAAAGTATCAGAGGCGTGGAAAACGATTAAAAATATTCGACGAGAAAACAAGCAATCTGCTCATATAGATATGATAAATATGGAAAAATGGCAAGATTATGATAAGACCTAATTCACAGAAGACAGAGAACACTTCAAAGAACCAACAGAAGAAATTAAAATACAGGTGGGTACAGAAAACATAAATATAAGTGAAACAGAAAAAGCTGTTAGGAATATGAAATGTGGCAAAGCCTCGGAACCAGAAAACATATTTACAACAAATCATACTACTTTAACAGATGACTCATACAAGGAGATAATATTCCTACAAACTGGAAGATATCATATATTAGTTCCATCCATAAAAAAGGAGATGTATGTGGAAATTACAGAGTTATTAGTGTCACAAATGCAATGGGAAGGTTGTATGGTAGAATTCTGAAATCGAGAATTGAAATGGAGAGCCAAGAACTAGAGAAGCAAAGTGGTTTGCGCGCAGGAAGATTGAGCTTAGATAATATTTTCACCTTGCAACAAGTCATTGAAAAGAGAAAGAGCTCGAAATTTACCCACCCATCTGATTTTTATCGATATTCAAAAAGCATACGTTACGGTACCCATAGCAAAACTTTTTAAAACTCTGACGAAAATCCGCCTAAACAAGGTATACATCTGCGAAATCCATAACATTTATAAAAAGGTAACAAATGCCGTAAAAATTGGCAAAAATATATCAGAACCCTTTAATATCTCGAAAAGACTTAACTTCGGTCGTTGCTTGTCGCCCAATTTGTTTAAAATCTATAGCAAGGAGGCTCTGGATATATGGAGACGTAAGTGCTCAGGAATGGGGATACAGCTTCGTAATAATTGCTTAACAACCTTGTTGTTCGCCGATGATCAGGTTATAGTTGCTAATGATGAGGAAGATATTAACTATATGCTCAGAAAATTGGAGTACGCAGAATGGGGATTGAAAATGAACATGACAAAAACAGAACATCTAAAAATGGTTGACGATGGACAAATTAACCGGAACTTAGAACTTAGCAATATAAAACAATGCGAAGAGTACAAATATTTAGGAACTATAATATCTCAAAAAGGAACATCTAACAGGGACATTCAACATAGAACACAGCAAGGGCAGAAATGTATCCGAATTCTAAGTTCAGTATTTTGGTCGAATAAAATAAAATTAAAAACAAAAATGACAATCTACAAATTGATAGTAGAGCCAATTTATCGTAAAGGTCAGATTATGCTGGCAATTAATAAAAAAAACAGCAAAAGAGTGGACATTGTGGAAATGGATTTCTTGAGAAGAGCGTGTCAGATATCAAGAACAGAACATATTCGAAATGAAGATAAAAAAAGGAAGACAGGAAAGGTATACACAACTATCGAAGATCATAGAAACAAGACAACTTCTCTGGTATGGACATGTGTTGAAAGCTGAATGGAGGAAGACCAATGATATCATGGGAAGAAGGAACTAGAAGAATAATGAGTGATAGGACCATTAGAGATGACGAAAAGGACAGAGAAAAATAACGATCGAAATGCGGGATGCGGCAGAGGCTGTAGGACCACCGCTATATATATATATATATATATATATATATATATATATATATATATATATATATATATATATATATATATATATATATATATATATATATATATATATATATATATATATATATATATATATACAATATAAGTCAAAACAAAATTGGGACATTTATAACTGATGATGCTATAGAGAATGATTTTGACTGGAACGGGCAGACTAATTAGATGATAACATGCTGAAATTCTTGGTAGAGAATAGTTGTGTAATGTGTAAGAAATTATTTGAATTAGTACTGTCTATTAAGTGTTTCTGATTTGGTAGCCCGTTCGATTCTACAAATTTCTGGAGCTACAAATAAACAAAAACAAAATGCTTTGGAAAGAAAATAGATATATAGAAGGCTACTGGGTATAGTTCAAATTCCTCTGAAGCTTTTGAATTATATTCCAATGAACATATTCATTGAAGAAATTTGTCTCCATTTATTATAACCCTGATGGTTCTAATATACAATTTTAATTTTTCGTTTTTAGTAGTAATAATCTTCAGAGATCTTCTTTCAGAAAATATTTAGATTCGATATGTTAGAAGTTACATTATCAGTTAATTGCTTCATTTCGGGTATCGACTATTGATAAATTAAGAAACCAAAGTATTAGTACAGTTCTACAGTTTATTCAGTACCCAGCGGGATAAGTATCTGCATATTTTCAATAGTTCGTGTAGTATCTGCTGAGAAGTATCTACTTTTCAAATTTATGTACATTTGACAAGAATATTTATACTTCAAAGTAAGTCGCTGAAAAATATCTGCCGAAATGGGTATTGAATATTCCGTAAAATTGGTTCAGTTTCCTTATTCAGTTCAATCTTTCTTCTATTTATCAATTTATTATTTCCTTACTATATCAGTTTATCCAAGTTTATAAACCAGGCTTCTGCATCTTGATAATTAAAATCATCACCCATAGTAATCAGAATGTTACTAGTGTTATAAATTTGAGTTGCCCCATCTACGTATTTGATGAAGTCATTCACCTTAAAAGAGAAATAATTATTGTTTTTTGATATTAATTTCTATATAGATTTATTACAATTTTTTAGGTATACATATGTTTGACAATTCTGTTGTATCTGTTCATGTTTATATCACCTTTTTTGGTTAATATTTAAGTAGCCTTTGAAGCTTATTGAAAATGTATGTGACACCTTGAATTTTATCACGTTATAAAAAACTATTTTTAAGAATATTTTTTTGTAAACATAATTGCAATAAATCTAAACCATATTTCAGCTCAGAAAGTGCTTCTATATTTGCAGAGAATATAATATTTTTATACTATTAATTTAATATATCAAATCTATGTAAAAATATTATTATCATTATTTAAACAAATATTATTATGTTTGTTTAATCATTCAACATTTTTGTTTATTTAGTCATTCAGTAATTCATTTATTCACATATTTTTTAATATCTTTTATTTGAAATTTAAAGAAGGTATCCATTTTTCTCAAAGAGACCTAATTTGTAAATTATAAAGAAAAAAGACTCAAAGTCTCGGTCTAATGTACACTTAAGACCCAGCTTGAGACTGAGTATTTTATTATTTTAATCTTTTATTTGCCTTTTAAGTTTATCTATAGGCTAATCATTAGATACCTAGATGAATAATAAATTTATGTGTGAGTATTAATAAATTAAATTATGAATATGTAAAGTTTATAAGTATTTCTATTTTTTAAGTAAGCTTTTTATTTTTATTTTTATTTTTTAAAAAGGTCTTTTGTACTAAACCATCACTCTTACGGAAACTGTCTGTAGGTATTATACTGCAATAAAATTTAGGTCATAACAAAGTATTGAGGTAGTTCTATATATGCAAATCTAACATGGAGTTGGAGAGATTTAGTAGCCCTATATGTACTACCAAGGTACTACTATTGTAAATAAACTAGATTAATACTACAAAATCTAGAGAGCAGTTTTGACAATCTATAGATAATTAATATTTTTATGTTTCAAGACTGTTTGGTCAAACTTGGTCTAAAATTGATATATTAAAGGCTTATAAATAAACATACCCTGTCATCAACATTATATTCAAAACTGTCTGGATCATCAATAAAAGGCAAGTCAGAACACAATAAATCGAAACAAAAGCCTGGAGGAGGACTGTATCTGTTGTATAAAACACCAGTGAAAATATCAGAAGACTCTCCTGAAAAATATTATCACAACAATAAAATTAAAGCAAATTTACACAGGTTACCATACAATCTCACATTTTACACCAAAACACCTTATTTCGAACTCTGGATGCAAGTTTCAAGGTTCGATGATGATGCTAGTTAGCGATATGGTTAGCGAAACGTGAGTCCATATTTCAAAATATGGTGTTTTGGTGTATTGGGGTTAATTAGTGTTATTTTGCTGTTTTGATACCAAAGGTCCAACCTAAACTGAATTAATAGAAACCATAGTTAAATGTAAGTTCTGTACCTAAACTTTTGCTGCCTCTCCATACAAATTCGGGTGATTTAGTTTTCCATCGGAAAGCTTTGTCTTGGTAGTCGATTCTTCCTAGGAGGAACCCGTCGAAACCTAGTTGAGCGAAAATATTGGCCATTTCTTTGCTGTGACCAAATGGATCAATCTGCCAACCAATTTTAGGCCTTCCACAGGCTCCAAAAGTGTCATTAAGTTTTCTAAAATAAAGAAATACTTGTTATTGGCAGCAAGAACAGCTATTGAATCATCAGTATGAAGAAGAAATTATTTAACAGGTTAAAGGAGGATGAGCACTGAATCGACTCGGACCGGTCGACTCAGTTAAGAGTTGTCGGCAGGTTTTGGTATGCATAGAAATAAATGTAATCTATCGCACTGCATCGAACCAGTCTTACTATTATTGACATACAGCTTTGCATTCACGTACTTTGTATATTTAAAAATCGCAATTGGGTGAGTAAAATGAAATAAAACCCTTAAGCTGCTTGAAACACAAAATGTAAATATTCCACTAATACAATTAAATGAAATCATAAATAACGAAAAAACAATGTGTCGAAGATCTACTTAGTCATTATAATTCAATATAATGAAAATCTATGAAATAAAGTGGACAGGTTTAGGGACCAAGAAAAGAAAAAATCTTAATGTTTGAAAGGTTACAGACAAGGATCAATACCAGGGACTCAGATAACCAGCAATCTTAACCGCATGCGAACTTTAGTTGAAAATAGCCATAAAAAGACGAAAATTTATACAAAAACATCAGTAACTTTTCAAAACAAACAGTTTTTAATTTCTATTTCCTAAACCTGCAAAAGTAATTTCATATCTATCATAAGGACGCAAATCAACCACAGTAATAACTAGAATAATACTACTAAGTAAAAACGCAAAAAGGTTATAGAAAATCGACAAAGATAAAAGGGACCAACACTAAAAACAGTATAGGACCTAATAAACTGGCTAACGTTTATAGAAACAACAACCTCTACAGCCATATTGGCGTAGAATGTAGAACGTAGAGTTAAATCTTTACAAAAATGACTTGACTTGAAATAAAATGACTTAAGTCGGAGACTTAAGACTAAAATCATTTGAACTTTATGTCGAATTTGACTTAAGATTTAAATTTTAAAAACGACTTAAAACTTAAGTCTTTTTAAAACTGACTTGTTGCAGCTCTTTCGTCTGATCGCGACCAAATTTGGTAGGTAGGTTACGTTACGTGAGTTGGATACGACGTTTTGTTTACATCTCCATCAGGGTGGGACTAAGGATTTGATATTGAAGAAAAATGTGGGTCTATTTCGGCATAATTGTGGACGGGCTACAGGATGACGCCCTCGACGTTTCGAACCGATGCCTCTAGATGGACGAAATCAGGATTCTTCTTAATTATGGGTCGATTGGAACTAATCTTGGCACGTGGATAAAGGTACTCGAATGGAGTCCTCAGACGGACAGATAGACAGGAGGACACACGGTCATTTTAATACAAATTTTGTGAATGTGAATCAAATTTTTTATTAGTTTTTAATTTATTATCTTTTCAACATTTCAAACTGCACTTTTTCAAACGTTCGTTCGTTTTTTCATCATTCAAATCCTTCAATTTTATAACTGTTAGTAAGAAGTTTTACTTCAAATATGCTCATATAGTACACACACAATTTTTTTAATAAATTTTGTTAGTTGAATTTGATTTAATTATCCACACGGAACACATCAAAAACGCAACACTATTATAGCATTACCTTAATCCCCACGCCATTTGGTCTATGATTGAGTGGTAGTGAGTAGCAGCTTCGTCGTTCATACTCCATCCACCACCGATAAACTCTAGACAACCATGGTTGACGTAATTTTTGACTTCTTCCTGCATACTCTCGCTTTGCTTGATCCACCATTTCCAGAAAAATGCAGTTTCCACGTAGATAAACCTGCAAGTACGTACTAGAAGCTAATGGTTTATTAAATACCATTGTGTTACCTTCTATCTTTGTTTCTCTTCAATGAGTCCATTACAGTTTCTATAATATATTGCACACCAGCTTTTTGTGTATTAGAGTTGCCTGAAATAAATTATCTTAGTCAGTAATTATACTATCAATGAGTAAGTGTACTTTTTGTTTCTCACCTTTAAAATAAATTACCTATTATTATATTACTGTTCTAAATCGAGATAAAAGTGTATTTGAAAAAACATATATATATATTAGTTTGAAACAAAACTAATTTTTTAAGGTATGGGTAACGAGTTTGAAACTGAAACTAATACCAGAAATATATTGATATAAAATATTAGGCAGTATAAATTATCATTCATTGATCTTTTATCTCCCAGAGCCTCAAAAAAAATGAGCCTATTCAAAATCAGTTTTGTACCTTATTGTTAGTAAAATTTCTACCCCAATGGAACACCGTCCAAATTTGCAAAATGTGATTTTCTTTTATATTCCATCATGTGCAATTCTAGACTTTAAATTGTTTCATTTTCTAATAAACTTACTTCCATAATAATACTGATCAACTGTTTTTAGCCAACCAACATCGTCGTGAGTGTGAGGAACAATGTGAACGTTTATAAAACCGTCTTTGACTGGATGACAAGACTGAAACAAAGTATTGAAGTTGATATTCTATTTAGAACTTATAATATTATATTTATACCTCATATCCACATATTGCTTCTGATACAGGATCATAGTTTTTTGATGGAAAACTGTACAGTCCCACGAATAATAGGAGTACATTAAATAATATTAGTTGGAAATGCATCTTTAAGTAGACCTGTAAAATATTATTAACAGTGACATATTGTTGGTTCTTTTTATATTTTGTGTTGAGCTAATATTTATTTAACTTTAAACAAAACTATTTTAAACTCATGGTATTAATATCACCGTAAATTCTCAACAGAGTTTTTAATTTTTATCATTAAATTTTTTAAGTATAGCTGCTTCAATAAAATGCATAGTAGTCCAGAAAATAAGAACACGAAAAGACTCAAGTCTCAAGTTTTAGGCTGATTGTACCTTTTGCGAGTTTTGGGTTTTTATCCAAAGAGGACTCCGCATCACTGAGAGATGGTGCAGGACTGTCGGGCTGAGTATTAACTAGATAAAACCGCGGTAGTGCCATTCTCCAGAGAGCAAAGTTTGAAAAACTTGAAAAGAATCCATCTAGATGGAAAGGAAATACTGCCATCACAGAAAGTGAAATATCTGGGAATAACCCTGGATCGGAAACTTCTCTGAAACAGGCATATTAAGAACATTACCAGCAAAGCCACAAAGGCTCTCATGATATGCAGAAGACTGGCGGGAAATAGGTGGAGCTGCTCCCATAACACTTTGCGCTGGATGTATACCATGATAGTAAGACCCATGATTACTTATGGAGCAGTTGCTTGGTATACAAAACTAGAGCAACGTACAGCAAGGCAAAACCTGTGCAAAATACAGAGACTGGCATGTGTCTGCATCACAGGTGCTATGAGAACATGTCCAACAGCGGCAATGGAGGTCATTCTAGACCTAACACCACTGCATATTGTCGTCGGTAGTTATGCCAATGCGACAGTGATTAGAATGGTCATTGACGGAAACAGTAATGGGAGAATTTTCAGGTCTGGAACACCCTCAAAAAGAAAATTCCACTTCTCCTACTGCCAGTGGATGAGATACAAAGAATTTACAACTTTGAGAAACACCTCACTGTAGTATTGAGTAACAAAAAGATTGGAAGAAAGAAACGCTTACTCAGCATATAAAAGACCATACCATAACGTGGTATACTGATGCTTCCAAAACCAAAGCAGGGAGAGGGATAGGAGTATTTGGGTCGAAAACTAAATATTCCGAACCAATGGGCACCTATCCCAGTATCCCTCAGGCAGAAATTTACGCTATCGAAAGATGCGTACAATTTATCTTAGATAGAAACTATCGAAAACAGGAAATTGCCATCCTATCCGATAATCAAGCAGCACTTAACGCTATCAACTCGGTAACCATCAATTCGAAGTTGGTCAAAGAATGCCTAGAGAAGCTCAACAAATTAGGCAAAGAAAATAAAGTCCTCCTACTTTGGGTGCCTGCTCACCAAGGGATAGAAAGGCAGTTCGCAACCAGAACTGTTCTGATTTCCAAACGGGAACCAACTGAAAGCGGAACTGAAGAATCTGGAAGACTCCATCCGTAACTTAGAATGAGTGTCCTCCAACGGTCTAAGACACTCGAAAATGTTCCTCAGAACTTACGACAGAGAAAAATCAAAGGTTTTCCTTGATTTAAGTAAAAACAATCTTCGGATTGTCACGGGATTTCTAACAGGACACTGTCTCCTCAACGAATACCTCAGTAGGCTGAAGCTGAGAAACAACGGCGAATGCAGATTCTGTGGGGAAAATGGAGAAACACCAGAACACCTTATCACTGAGTGCGCCGAGACGACGACCATTCGTGCCATGAACTTAGGTACGAATATGGAGAGCGGGCCTCTGTGTAGCCCTCTCAGATACTGGCTTTTGTAAAGGCCCGGAGACTGTATGATGAGTTATAACTCAAGAAAGGGGAACACACAATAGATCTATAAGGTCGCGGTGATTAACTTTCCTCCTAAACATTCTACATTCTACGGCTAAATATGGCTCGAAAGGTCCTCAGCCCAAAAATGTTCAGATTTTTACAAACTTGTCAAGATTTTTTTAAAGTTGTTTTTAGAATCCCTTTAAGCAACTCCGAAAGTTTGAAGTATTTATTTAAGCTTAAGCACATTTTAATAAAAAAAACTTTCGTGAATGTATTTTTTTCCGCTTTTTTGGAATTTCCGGAAAGTGTCATAAGCAATAGAAAATTGCATAATAACCTTACAAGTAACAAACATCAATGACGAGTTAGAAATCAATGATAAAAGTTCAAAATTACTTGAAATATCACTTCGTTTGAAATATCAGCATCCAAGGGACATCCTACGCCTCTTGATGGTCTAGGGGCTGTGGAACATGATTTATAAAATTGTATATGGCAATGCTTGCGATACCTGGCACCCGCACAAAAAAAAATTGACAAATAAGCTATTATTAGTGAATACGTTTGTAAAAATTTGAAAATTTTTGGATCAAGGAATGGTTTGCCGGGTTTTTTATTATTATAAAATATGACAAAATTCAAACAACTTCCAAAACGTGATAGCTGTTGCTTCTACCTTGAAATGAACTTCGTATTGTCAAAAAATATTAAATTTTAGCCGAGTTATTAAAATATTTGTCCTATCAATCAATGATACGCTTATTATGAAATCTAAATCCGGAGCGTTAAGACTTGGAGAGAAAATTCAGGGATCTTTGAGGTGTAATATCCCGAAAACTACCAGTCCTACGTAAAAAATGATAAGGACCATTTTTGTATGTTATTATTTACATTTTTTACTCCAAGAAAAAAATTGCAAATTGTATATTTTGGCAGATATTGGCAAAAAACTGATTTTTTTGGCTAAAGCTGGCCGAGTACAGTATTACAACTTTTTCCCTAAAACTACTCCCCAGAAGGTACACAATCCGCCTGAAAAGTCCCGGTCGACTGTGGTTTCAACCTTCCTTTACTGGACTATAGTTTCAAGCATTTTTAAAGTGTAATTATTAAATAATAATTAACAACAGAATATCCGCTATTAGTAAACAGTAAATAATGCTAAATGGGGACTATAAATAATGCTAAATGTCAAGTAGAAATAAGTCAAAATCTGCAAGGCAGTAAAGTAAATAAAATAAATATTGACATAAATGCATTAAAATTATTCATTCACCATAATTTTTTACATTTAAATGTATTTTTCCTTTTACAATTTTATACTTACATGAATGAATTCAAGTATTTAATGAAACAACTACTTTGTAGCTAAATTAGACAAACAGGTGCTGATTTTGTTCTGAACAATCCTTAAATAATTTTTAAAACACTTGAAAAGTTTATCAGTCAATTAGACTACAGAAGATCATGTTGATTGATGAACATTTAAATACTACAAAAATATTGTTGTTTATATTTCATTCAGAATAAAATCCCCTTATGTTTATCTATTCATCTTTGTTACGTAGAATATATATTGACTCTGATTAAAAACGGATTTTGTCTTTTATTGAGTGTTTGTATCTAGGGACCGCTACAATCTTGATTAAACTCATTTTTAATGTATGTATGATTTAAATAAACTATAGAAATAAAAAAAACGAGTTTTAAACCAGCAACATTTATTTAATAAACAACTTATATTATAAAAGAGAAACTTTGAATTTATCTATACCGGATGCGTCTCAAAAGTGATTAGGTTTTGAGATGCCCCTATAACTTTTTTATTTTTTCAGATAAAAAAATGAGATTTAGTATGTTAATATATGACATAAATTAGTATTGATTGATGTTTTGGTCACTTTGTTTTGTCACACAATTGTTTTTGGTCACTTACCGGAAATGGCTACAACTTTTGATTTTTAAATGACACCCTCGGTATTTCTTTACTTTATTCGATAGAAAATGACACTCTGAATATAATGACATATCATATGCTTTTGACATTTTCGCTTACAAAAAAATTGTATTTTAAATTTCAATCTAGAGCGCCATGGCTATGTTAAAAACACCAATTTTTAATCAAGGAACCTTGGGAAAATAGATTTGATCATCTAATGTTTTTCGTGTCTTGTCCTAGCCGGTTAAAAAATGCCCAAATCGTTGTTTTAATCATATCTCGGTATTTCGAGTCAAATTTTCGTTATGAAATGCATGTTACAATTTCAAATAAACCATATGCGAAAATGTCAAAAGTTGACATATGTCATTCTATTTAGAGAGTACCCATTTGAAAATCAATAGTTGTAGTAATTCTTAAACAGAAAGTGACCAAAAACAAATGAATACGTCAATCATTCCTAATTTATGTCATATACTAACATACCAAATCTCGTTGTTTTATCTGAAAAAATAAAAAAACTTATAGGGGTGAGCCACTTTCAAGACGCACCCGGTATATACTACTTCCTGTAATTCAAGCCTTTAATTTTTATCTCTAATATTATTTTTTAATTTAATTAGATAGTTTATACGGAGTAAAAGACGAAAGAGTCTAATAAAGAAAACTATCTTAATCGAATAAATATTTTAGGTTATACATATTTATTTATGTTTATTTATATTTTTTATATTTTTATAAATATTTAATGCTATGATATATTTCAGTTAATTATCTATTTTTGATATATAAAATGATTTGTTCTGTCTTGCAGCGTAATGAACGAAAATTGAGAGATTTAATGAGAAAATTAATATTGCATTATTTTCTCTTTACATTATATTATATTATTGATTGTTTCGTTGTTTCCTGATTTTTACTTTAGTTGAACTTTTCCTACTTCTTGTCTTCATTTTCACAAATTTCTTTATTTTTTGAATTAAGATAGGTATAGAAATAGTATCATAAAAATTGAATATGTTAAATGATATGAGGTGTTGTCTAATGTGCGTTAATTTGCATTGTTTTTGTTTTTAATATAATAAACGTTTCAAGAGTTGATAAGTAAAACACCTGATTTGATTTTTAATATGCATTTATAATTCTATGCCGTAGTTACACAATTCAAAATCTTCTAATACCAATAATAAAAGTACGAATATCACTAGGATTCAAAGTTATTTCGAGCCCGTCTAAGTTATCTTTTAATGTCGACTTTTGTTTGATTTTTGGTGTTTCTATCCATGTATTCTTAACAACATTTGCATATTCAATATTCGTATTATAATCTTCATAAAGGAGTTGCTCCAATGTGCTGTTGGTTCTAAATTTCAATCGATCACTATCTTTAAGCCATTGATTTGCACCTAAAGTTGTTTCCTCCAAAGATACAATGTCGAAACCTGTAAACAATTCCTGAAATTGTCGTTTAGAAATATGAATATAGGAATTACAAGTTTAAGTAGATATCACGGCGCTTACCGTTAAGTTTACCAAAGCGGGTTGAGATAGAAGGGAATCTTCGTCATAATCAAATAAGTGTTCTAACCTAAAAAGGAAAGTAGAGTCCTTCCACGGTTCTAGAGTGAGTATTTGGACATTTTTAGGTAACGCACTACGTAATCCAGAGTACTAGAATCAAACAATAGAAATATATGTCTATTTAAACTTTTTTTTTATTAAAAAACCCTTTACCTCCATAATATATTTGGATTTATATTCATCTGCGTTACCCTCAAGAGGTGTAACAAAAGTCCAGGTATCTAATAGCTTCCTTTGTGCAATATCTTTGGCTATTGCCGAAATTGAGTTACCTGCATCAAAATTAGTTGCAAAAAGTAATTATTATAATTATATACCACAAGTTACCGTTTTGGTCGTTCAAGTTACCCACAGTAAGAAAATGGGATCCTCTGATAACTAATCCTTTATCGAAAGCTGTTTCATTTAAAGCTTCTCCAACGCCAAATCCGTCATCGTGAAGACAGTTTCTATGAATCTAAAAATTTTATAGGAATATTATTTTTGTCATCTAAAGGTGCGTCCACACCGGCTGCGCAAATCATTTTTTTAACATATACTTTTGTGAGCGCTAAAAAAATACACTTCAAAAGTAGCGGCGCAGCCAGTATGAAAGCACCTTTACACAATAGGCAATATAGGACAAATAATATTGTTTAAAAAATGCGTCCATCGATCCCAAAAAGACCTGGTTTATAAATATAAAAGCCAAAGCAACAAGACTCTAGAAATATAGACCGAGACTTAGAGTCTTATTGCTAGGGCTTTTATATAAATAATATTATGCTGGATACTGATTGTTATGGTTCTGAACACACGTATTATATTAAAAATTTATCTGACCAGTCAGAGTTAGTCGAAACGTTGTCTTAAAATAATATATCTTAGAAAATTATTATTTTTGGCTAATGTAGCTACTTATAAACTACACAATTCTTCAGATTTTATTCCTCAGGTTACTGTCTTTATTAAGAAACAAAAATTTTTTATACAGTAAGCAACGTATTTTATGTTTTCTAAACTGTTTCTGACAGCTTTTGCTAAATGTACATATTTTATTTTGTAAGTAAATGCTCACTAGCCCTTTACCTACAAAGACATTTACCTAATCTACAACTTTTATTAAAATATTTTCATATAATTATTATTATACCATTATTTCGATTTCTCCATCATTCAAACTGCCTCCTCCTTGAGCTCTGTCATTTAGTACTGCTAATTCTATACCTTGCACCTCATCTCTAATAGCGATTTTTGCTGTTATTGGGTAATAATTACCAGCCGCTGGTTCTGAATTGTTCAGTTGCCAGGTTGGTCTGTAATCTCTGACTCTTTTCAGCATTTCCTTTCCGTTTGAGTCAGTGTAAAAGACAGAATCCGTTGCTAACTTAGTTGAGTATCTCGTTACTACTTCTATTCCATTGGGACCACTAAAATATTATATTTGATGGTATACTCTTTAGTTAAAATCTGTTTCATAATACCTAGCAGGTATCGGTCCAATAACCCAATCGAACTCAATGTAGTTTTCAATTTTGTTGACTCTGACGGTTTGACTGATGTACTCGTTAAAATTCTGCCTTGCTTCTGATACTAGGGAACCTTCAAATAAATTAAGTTCGGCTGTATCATTAGTTTTGTTAATGTTCCCGTCAGGCCTGAAAACGTAAGCTCCCGATGATCTTTTTTCAGAATCTCCATTATCTGCCACGAAGCCCTTGTAATAGTAGAAGTTTTGATTTAGAGCAACTGATATATTATTTAGTGACATTTTTTCTACTAATCCTGTGTCATCATTAATAACGAATGATGCGGTGGAATCCTAGAAAATTAAGAACACATATTTTAATAATCTGCTTAAAAAAATAAACAGGTACTTACATCAACTGTTAGAAAACTAGCTGATTTAGTTGAGTGTACTGGTTTTAAACTAGACGAATTGTCTAAGGAAATTATAAAGGATTTCCATCCAAGAGCAGGTACATTTTTTGCCACAAAATAGAGATCGTAATTTGCACTGCTGTTTCTGCCGGGAATATTCTTTACAAAATCTGGTATTGGTAAAAGTTCATTTACGTATGTATTTCCTAAATGAAGTAAATATTTTAAATCAAATTTTATGGTTTATTAAAAATTTTACCTTGTTTATCTGTTACATTATAGCCTTCTCCCTTTACAGGTAACTTTACTAATTTATCTACAGATCTGCTTAAAGGATTATAAAGAGTAACCACAAAGATATCAGCATTTTCTGTTGTAACACATTGACTTATATTTGCTAACGGGCAAGTTTTTAATGGAACTGTATTAGTATATCCACTTTCTGATTTCGATGTTTCATTATTGAATAATTTACTACAAAATATACAAAGTTCAGTTTGAAATTGATATTAATATATTTTCTTTACTTTAATGCAGTATTTGTTATGTTTTCACATCCGTCGATTGCTCTTTGCAACTGTCTAGCATAATCCTTGGCAACGTGTTGTTTCTCTGTTCCAGACACAGCATCGTGATGTTGCAACACACCCATTACTTCCCTCAAGTTGTCTAAGCTTGTGCTCTCACCTACGTTTGCTAAGGCAGAAAGTTGTTTACAAACCTAAAAACCAAAAACGTAACTGACGTAACTAACGAACGACGACTAAGAAATACTTGAAGGAAATTGTTGCCGAGTCTTTCAAATCGTTTGACAGCTGGTCTAGATGTAAAATATCCGGTCCAATATGAGTGCTTGTCTGATCCGTATGGGAAAAAATCGTCATCTTTAAGTACCCAGTTTTTGTCCTGAGTTTCGTTGTTTACAGCTTTTACATAACACGATGGAGTGGAATATATTAAATTGAATTTTGATCCGCTCTCTTGGCGTTTGTTAACGTAACTGAAATAATGAAATTCGTTTATTAAAAAGTTTTTACATAAATAATGGTTTTTACTAGATAAGTTTGTCCAAATTGACGAACCAAGCTTCTGCATCTTGGTAATTAAAGTCGCCACCCATGGTCATAATGTAGTTGCTTGTAGTATAAATTTGAGTGGAATCATTTACGTATTTAAGAAATTCATCAACCTAGAATTAATTGATCATTTATTTTGTAAAGTATAATTTTACGAATATGATATTGATTTTATTTTGTTCTTTTCCATAAAACAGTATAGTTTTAAATCTGTCGCTACAAACAATAAATTAAGAAATCAAGATAGTTGTGTCAAAATAGGATAAACATGTTTTGTTATTTTCTAATTTCTTTATAAAGAACTCCTTTAGCAGAACGAAAAATGTCACGAATATCATTGAAAAAATGCTCAGAAGAATCTTTTCTCTAAGATGTATAGAAGATATCTTTTCAGTTGGTGTGGTGAGTAGATAAATTTTGTACTCATTTTGTTTGTGTGTCCAATACACGAACTGGAATATAATAAACCTGATATGTACCCTGTCGTCTACGTTATATTCGAAGCTGTCTGGATCGTCGATGAAGGGCAAATCGTTACAAAGAATGTCAAAGCAGAATCCTGAAGGAGGCCCATATTCTTTGTATAAAACACCAGTGAAGATATCGCTTGATTCGCCTAGAAAATAATAACAAGTAATTTTTTGGTAAATATTTGATTATCTCTATCTTTCTGCATCTATTTCGTTTAATATTTAATTATAATGTAGATTGTTTAATATCGTATGCTTAAATTATACTCTTCAATTATGGATGGATTTAATACAACAAGTATTTCAAATTATGCTGGAGATTTTGTTTTTGTGTTAGGTAACATTCATTGGTCTTACCTAAACTTTTACTACCTCTCCAAACTACTTCGGGTGTTTTAGTTTTCCATCTGTATTCTTTGTCTTGATAATCGATTCTACCTACAAGGTAACCGTCAAAACCCAGCTGGGCAAAAATATTAGCCATTTCTTTGCTGTGGCCGAATGGATCAATCTGCCATCCGATTTTCGGTCTTCCACATGAACCAAAAGTGTCATTAAGTCTCCTATTGTATTACAAAAAAAATTAAAAGAAAATTATTAGCATTAAAATTTTAGGATGCATTACTATGTAATGCGGAGTTGCGCCAATTATGGATATTTTAACAACGAAATCTTGATAGAATAATTCCGTTATGGTATTATTTTTATTTATCATCTTATTACCTTAGACCCCAAGTCATTTGGTCGATAATAGAATGATAATGTGTAGCAGCTTCATCGTTCATACTCCATCCTCCACTAATAAATTCCAGTTGTCCATTATTAACGTAATTTATGACTTCTTGTTTCATGCTGTCACTTTGTTTAATCCACCATTTCCAGAAAAATGCAGTTTCTACATAGATAAACCTTAAAAAATATTTAAAATTAGTACAATTTTTAAATTTTTCGGCTCTAATACTTTCTATCAGCATTTCTCTTTAACGAATCCATTACAGTTTGTAGAATATACTGGACACCAGCTTTTTGGGTATTCGAGTTACCTAAACATTATTTGAATCATTGTTTATATAATTAATAAAATTGATTTGTACAGAAACAATAACTACTCACTCCCATAGTAATACTGATCAACTGTTTTTAACCAACCAACGTCATCGTGGGTGTGTGCTACTATATGAATATTAGTGTAACCTTCTTTAACTGGTGTGCATGACTAAAAATATGTTTTCAAGTTTTAGCTGAATTACTACTTACTATGAAGTTAATAAAGGCAGTTACCTGGTATCCACAGTTTGCTTCAGAGAGCTTTCGATTGTTTTCAGATGGAAAACCTTCTGTTCCTGCTAATAGCAGGACAAATGTAATTATTGCTGGTTTGTCATACATTATTAAAGTACCCTACAAAGATATATATTTAATTTAGGCTCTCATCACTCTAATAATATTTTAATAATCAAATAATGCCAATAAGTTAGAATCTCTTATAAAAAAAACCGCGTCAATTTTGACTAGGTCAATCTTTAAACGTTATTTACTGAAAATTGACTAAAAACTCTTGTAAAAATTAACACTAATTATAAAAATATTAAAAAAGGTTCGAACGTATCCAGATACAGAAATCTATTTCCAAAAAGAAAAAAATTAATAATTTTAGTCTAAACAATTAAAATTCTTTTTTACTCGATATGAAAATAAATAACAATCATCTTAAGGCTACTGTCAATTTAAGCGCCCTTAATAACTAAAGAAGAATATGGGCCAAGTAATGATGTCGAGGGCTTGACCTCCCCAAAATTACCATCGATTTTTATTCCCCAGCCGTCTTTCACGGCGTTTATTTTTTCGACGTATTTGTTGAGTATTTTAGAATCTTAATAGTGACTTTGGCCAAAAGAAACGAAAAAAAAAATTTTTTTTTTAGATTCGAATAAAAACAAAAATCTTTAATATAGTTTAATTACTTACATGCAGAAATAATATATTATAAATAACTGATTAGTGTCCCGTCTATATATCAAGTACGATCGATTTAAAATATTTTCAAGATTATTTGGATAGCTTTCTACCTATCTAGAAAAAAAACACTTGAGTAGTAATCGAGACTCCTGACCAACAAAATGTGGTATTGATTGATGGTGTTATTTTTTTCATAATCACATTGCAATGAATAAATTGAATTCTTTATTTAGATAAGTAATAGTATTTGCTTTTTTTAGATAATATATTATGTATGACTATATTTCATTGATATTTCTGTATATCGTTATCTCATCATAATTCATTTTAATTTTTTATAATAACTGACTTTAAGAAAAATAAACTTAAATTATGACGACATTTAAAACAGATTTATTTATTTAGATTTGAAATGTATTAGGTTCTAGGTATGGTTCTAGGCATATTGAAAAGAACATTTCTACAAGCGTCAGTAAAAATGTAATTTTTAACGCATGCTGTCAGTGCCTAAAATGTGACATTATGTCACTGATGGTAAAAGTCATTTACTTTTAGCACTGGTGCTAAAAGTAAGTCACGTGATTTACTTTTAACACTGAAGCGATAACAATTACCCTTGCAACCATAAACTTCATAATTAATTTGATTTCAGAATGACATATTATGAATTATTCATTAACGTAAAAAGTAATAATATCTTGATATATCCGAGCATAAACTTGTTTGTAGAAAAATAGTGTATGATATGTGTGCTAAAAGTGATTTTATATTGTTCGAAGGGATGGAACCCTCCGCCATCGGCATCGTGTTCCGAGCTTCCCTTCTCACAAAATAAAATAACAATTTTAACAATTATATCATAAATAACTATTAAGTTTATTGGACGGGGACTTTAATATTAATGCATTAGTTTACGAATACAAAGAAAGCAGGTTGCCTGCTTGCTGGTAACAATAAGCGTTTATAAGCGCCAACGCGCCAATAATTAAATGCGCTTTTAAACACACCCGCACACAGAGAAAACTGATCGGCGCTTGTTGTCAAATGAATTTTTAATTCTTGGTCCCTGGTTGTCGCTGCCGAGTGTGCATTCTTTCGCATTGATAATAGATATAGAATTATTAATTTCAGTCATTTTGCAATGAAACGCAGGTTTTGCCTAATCGCAATTTAATTTTTCCCAAGATATAGTTGAATATCAGAAAGGCCATTCTCATGTATTGAAAAAAACGCTCTTGTAGTTGCGCTTGAAATAAATGGTGATATTCACCTTAAACTTTTCGTTATCAATTCATTGGATGGATATCTTGATTCGTACCATTCTTATTGCAAATTTATTTTCCAATAATAAAAACTCTTCATCTGAAGATGCAGCAGATGTCTTTGTAATGTAGAAGTTGTTTCTAAACTGGCCGAAAACCAGCGTTCATTGTGTCCTATTGAGATGACTTGTAGGCGCTGGTTTTCGGCGCCAGAAATAAACGCTGATTAACCAGCTTTTTTTGTTTGAAACCGAAACCATAATATGCACACCCAGCGCAGACAATAAGCGACCAAGAATTTCGTTCCGGTAAAAAGTCGGCGCTGGCAACAAGTTTTTTCTTTGTACCGGTGTGTTTAAAAGCGCATTTAATTATTGGTGCTTTTTTTACATTCATTGGGTACTATTTAGACGACTTGTAGGCGCTGGTTTTCGGCTCTGGTAATAAGCACTTATAACCAGCTTTCTTTGTATTCGTACTCCTAGGCTTCACTCACAGTGGACGAAGATACGCGCGGTGTCCGAATGTGCAACCTTGCTTATACCTGCGTTGAGATCGCATAGTGACTGGGATAAAAAGTTGGGAGCAGCAGTTGCAGGAATAGTTCAAATGTCGGTTCAGGACATATTTTCTCTAGAAAATACTTTTTTACGACCGTGGATCATTTGCAAAAGAAGAATGAGGGTATGAGTGAATGATATACTAAAAAAAGGAATTAATTTGGTGAATTTCAACATACCATAAACACATTCAATTCCGTTCACGAACTCATCCCTATCCATTATCATTTTAAAGAGAAACCCATCAAGAAATGTGTGAAAATGTCGCAAATGTATGCTTGTATACCCGTGAATCAACCTGCAGCTACTGTGATAATTGCATTGAAATAAGTGGTTTGCAAAGGTTGCCCAAAGACGCGTGTCCTACAACTCGTATGTTGACGCTTCTACTGTGCGGCCGGCTTTATATGTATAGCGATCTGTTATATCAGAGGACGTCTGATATTTAAATGAAAGAACATTTCTACTTTACTATAAGCTGAAAGTATTTTTAATGAATTAAATTTTACTATTTAGTTTCTTGTATACCATTAGATAATCATTTTTCTATTTTTATAAATAATAAGCATAAAAAAATAAAAACAAATGATTCATTGCTTCATTATTAACTTCTTCACATAACTCAAAGCAGGAACATAAATTTAAATATATTGTACATACAGATTTGAATTGTGAGCCATCACGCACTTAGCTAGTAGACCGTGTATTCAATTTTATTCTTAAACCTTCAGTTTATGTTCCAGTTGATTGTTTTTAGAATAATAATTCTTTATCTTATTTTAATTAAGTAAATATTGTTTTCAATTGTCTGTATAGGTTTAAGACTAGTTTTTATTTTTATTATTTTAAGATTTAAAAATGATATCGAAAATATGAGTTACAATCATTTTGATATAAGTTAATATTTCCAGTATGTTTTAGATTATTTAATTCCTTTAATTCTGTGTATAAATATACAAAGATTACTTGATAGAGGATTACTGTTTTATGCTGAACAAAAAAATAGACAGTAAGGATTAACTGAAATGATTTGGACTTGGTACAAATGTCATGCTTGTCATTGTGCATGTTTTTTTAGAATGAGCAAAAATCGCAATATTAAGCTTCGAACTGCCTTTTCGTATAACTTAATAAAACATGTGTGATAAATAAAACAGTAGAGTGTATTTCTATTATGCATTTATAATAATTTTATGCCAGTGTTTCAATTCAACCTAATTCAAAATCTTTTAATACCAATAATAAAAGTACGAATATCACTAGGATTCAAAGAAATTTCGAGCTCGTCCAAATTATCTTTTAATGTGGGCTGTGGTTTGGTTTTTGATCCCTCTATCCATGCGTTCTTCACAACGGTTGCATACTCAATATTAGTATTATAATCTTCATTAAGGAGCTGTTCCAATGTGCTGTTGGTTTTAAATTTCAACCGATCGCTATCTTTTAGCCACTGATTTGCACCTAAAGTTGTTTCCTCCAAAGACACAATTTCAAAACCTGTAAACAAGTCCTAAAAGTGTCGAGTTAATATGGTAGTTATGGGATTAAGTTAATATCACTGCGCTTACTGTTAAGTTTACTAAGGCCGATTGAGATAGTACGGAATCCTCGTCATAATCAAATAAATGTTCTAACCTAAGAAGGAAAGTAGAGTCCTTCCAGGGTTCTAGAGTGAGTATTTGGACATTTTTAGGTAATGCTTTACCTAATCCAGAGTACTAGAAAAAAATAAACAAAATTTAGATTTATTTAAATATCCGTTTATTAAGAAACCTTTACCTCCATAATATATTTAGATTTATATTCATCAGCATTACCTTCAAGAGGTGTAACAAAAGTCCAGGAATCTAATAGCTTCTTTTGAGCAATATCTTTTGCAATTGCCGATATTGAGTTACCTGTATCGAAATAAATGTAAAAAGTTATTATCATAAAAATATAAGAATATTACCGTTTTGATCGTTTATGTTGCCGACAGTAAGAAAATGGGAACCTCTGATAACTAACCCTTTGTCGAAAGCTGTTTCGTTTAAAGATTCTCCAACACCAAATCCGTCATCGTGAAGACAGTTTCTATGTATCTGAAAATTATATATTATTTTTGTTATCCAATATGATAAGTTACATAGTTTTATTATGAGGGATACTGATTGTGGTTCTCACTGATAAACTCATTATTAATATATTAAAGTTTTATCTGGCCATGCATTTATTGGCGAAATACCCATAGGACTTTTAGGAATCCGCCACATAGGTATAGATATTTTTCATGCATATTTAAACGTTGTCTTAAATTAAAATAGTGCCATTTAAACAATGAAGCTATCTACGAACTATCAGCATTTTTTAGAATTAGTTACTGTCTTTGTTAAAAAGCAAATTAGCCTCTGCAAGCAATGTACAATATATTTTCTGTATTATTTCTGCTAACATCTTTAAAAATTGATGCATATTGTAAAATATCTCTGTCTTCAAAAGTCATAGATAAATTCCCCACTTTCATACATTACTAAAATATTTACTTCTAGGTAATAGATATATAGGGTGTTTCAAAAAACATGTGCCATCTCTCGTGGGGAAATTCCTCACGTAAAAATAAGATTTATTTTTCATATCAACATAGGTCCGATTCTACTTTGTTTCGTAGCTACAGGGTGTTAAAGTCTTAATAATCTTTCGATATATTATAATTTTCTTCCAAGTACTTTCAGTGATTCGAATGAAATTTTGAGGGTAAAAGTTACTATAAGTGCAACATATTTTAATGCTGAAAAAGTGTCAATAAATTTATCAGGGACGTGCATATGGGTTATCACTGGAATATTTTTCCAAAAAAAAATGTGCGCCACTGACTTTTTTTCTTTTGATATCAAGATTGTGTAGGCCGTTTAATACCAATTAAAAATTATCTCTTAATATTTTGTCGAAATTTGATGATATAAACGCAATTTTATTAATCACAATTTAATAAAATTAAAATCAAAATAAAATTAATAAATTATATATTTTACCCAGTTTATTATTAAATATTATTATTATTAGTTATTATTAGGTACTATTAGTCCAACCTACAACAATTTCAAATAAAAAATTAATGGTATTTAAGATATTACAAAAAAACTATTTTTTTTTAACTTCCTGTAATTATAAAACTATACATTTCCATTCCCATGTTTATAAGAACTCATGTTTATAAGAACTTTTTTTCGTATTTTTTGACGAGGAATCAATGAGTATTTATTTAAAGCTTTCACAAGTTAATGATATTAACATTTTTTAAAGGTTGCTATTAGACCTGAATCCAGGTAAATTAATAAAATTGCGTTTATCTCATTAAGGAGATCGAAATCGCCAAAATATCAAGAGACAACTTTTAATCGGCATTAAACTGTTTACAATATTTAGTTAAAAAGAGAAACGAAAGCAAGTGGCGTACATGATTTTTTTAGAAAAATATTGCAGGGATAACCCTGATATGCACGTCCCTGGTGAATATGTCGACACTTTTTTAGCTTTGAAATATGTCGTATTTATAGTAACATTTACCCTTAACATTTCATTGGAATCACTAAAAGCATTTGGAAGAAAACTAGAATAAACCGAAAAAATATTAAGACTTTAACACCCTGTAGCTACGAAACAAAGCAGAATCGGACCTATATTGATATGAAAAATAAATCCTATTTTTACGTGAGGAATATCCCCACGAGAGATGGCACATGTTTTTTGAAACACCCTGTATATCATATAATTCATTTATTATAGAGATTTCATTTTGTGTTTCATGAAGATTTTAGAATTAACCATTATAGTACCATTATTTCGATTTCCCCATCGTTTAAGCTGCTTCCTCCTTGAGCTCTGTCATTTAGTACTGCTACTTCTATACCTTGCACTTCATCTCTAATAGCAATTTTCGATGTTATTGGGTAATAATTACCAGACGCTGGCTCTGAATTATCCAGTTCCCATGTCGGCCTGTAATCTCTCACTCTTTTCAGCATTTCCTTTCCATTTGAATCAGTGTAAAATACAGAATCCGTTGCTAACTTTGTTGAATATTTTGTTACTACTTCTATGCCATTTGGACCACTAAAACATTATATTTGATGACATACGCTTTTAAAATGCAATCTCTTTATTTTATAATATTACCTAGTAGGTATCGGGCCAACGACCCACTCGAACTCTATATAGTTTTCAATTTTGTTGACTCTAACAGTTTGACTGATGTACTCGTTAAAATTCTGTCTTGCTTCTGACAATAGAGAACCTTCAAATATAGCAACTTCAGCTGTATCATTAGTTATTTTAATACTCCCGTCAGGTCTGAAAATGTAAGCTCCTGATGATCTTCTATCAGAATTACCATTATCTGCCACGAAGCCTTTGTAATGGAAGAAGTTTTGAGCTAGAGCAACTGACAAGTTATTTATTGATACTTCCTCTACTAACCCTGTGTCATCATTAACAACGAATGATGTGGTGGAACCCTAAATAATTAGGAATATATACCTTAGTTATCTGAGTAGAATACTATAAATATTCTTACGTTAACTTTTAAAGAACCAGGAGATTTAGTGGAGTGTAATGGTTTTAAACTTGAAGAATTGTCTAAGGAAATTATAAAGGATTTCCATCCAAGTGCAGGTAAATTTTCTGCTACAAAGTACAGATCGTTAGTTGCACTGCTGTTTCTGCCAGGAATATTTTTAACAAAATCGGGAATTGGTAAAAGTTCGTTGACATACGAATTTCCTAAATAAACAAAATACTTGCTATTAAGAGTATTGGTTCAATAACAATGTTACCTTCTTTATCAGTTACATTGTAGCCTTCTCCTTTTACGGGGAGCCTTACTAATTTATCTACAGGTCTGCTCAAAGGATTATAAACGGTCACTACAAAATTATCTGCGTTTTCTGTTGTAGCACACTGACTTACATTTGCTAACGGGCAAGTTTTTAATGGAACTGAATTAGTATAAATACTCTCTGATTCTAAGGTTTCATTATTAATTAGCTTACTGTAAAATATACATACAGTTATGTTCGATGTTTATACCGAATGATCTTAAAAAAAACGGCTGGGCCGGTTAGCTGCGAAGTGACGATCAATGACATCTGCCATATAAAATGACAGCGATCTTCAATTCATAGCCATCGCTGACGCCGTTTTTCTTTTCGATCATATCAATAGATATATATTTTTTTACTTTAAAGCGGTATATGTTACATTTTCACATTCATCAATTGCTTTTTGCAACTGTCTAGCGTAATCCTTGGTAACGTGCTGTTTCTCGGTTCCAGACACAGCATCGTGATGCTGCAATACACCCATTATTTCTCTCAAATTGTCTAAACTTTTGCTCTCGCCTAAGCCTGCTAATGCCGAAAGCTGTTTGCAAACCTAAGGACCGAGAACAACGAGTATTATATACAGTTCAAATGTTATGTGACAAGACATCATGTATAAATACCTGAAGAAAATTGTTCCCGAGTCTTTCAAATCGCTTGAGAGCTGGTCTAGAAGTAAAATATCCCGTCCAATAAGAATGCTTGTCTGATCCATATGGAAAAAAATCGTCATCTTTTAGAACCCATTCTCTGTCTTGGGTTTCGTTGTTTACTGCTTTTACATAACACGATGGAGTGGAATAAATTAAATTGAATTTTGACCCACTTTCTTGGCGTTTGTTAACATAACTAAATATTAAAATATGTTTACTAGAAATGACTCACATAAATAAACTATAGTCTCGTACTAGATAAGTTTGTCCAAGTTAATGAACCAATTTTCTGCGTTTTGGTAATAGAAGTCAGCACCCATGGGCATAATATAGTTGCTTGTAGTGTAAATTTGAGTGGACTGGTTTACATATTTAAGAAAGTCATCTACCTGAAATATATTTAAAAAAAAATATTTTTATGAACAATATCAACCAAGTACAAGTAAAGCAAGCTTGTTTTGTTACAACACTCTCTTTGATTTAATATTCTCCTAGGTCAGATCTCTATCAAAAACTCGCTATTAAGAGCTAAATATTAGATCTTTTGGATTTGTATTCTACCCTGAATCACTATCTTTATTATATTATATAAAGAATATTATTGAAAACCTGTTGAGAAACGTGTTTTTAAAAAAATATCTGGAAGATCTATTTTATGTTCTTTGATTGCAGACACAAACTGAAAATATAATAATTAATCTGTACCCTATCATCCACGTTGTATTCGAAGCTATCTGGATCATCAATGAAGGGTGTGTCATTACAGAGAATGTCGAAGCAGAATCCTGAAGGGGCTTTATATCCATTGTATAAGACACCAGTAAATATATCGCTGGATTCTCCTACAAAATAATAACTGACAAGAAGTAATTTTTAGAGAATCTCTTTTGTCTTTCTGCCGATTTGGTTTTATGGTTTAACTAATATTTAAATTTTAGTGTAGTTTTTTTTTAATATAATTCTGTTGTAAGTTTTGAGGTTTTATATTATATTGATTCATCTTACCTAAACTTTTGCTACCTCTCCAAACGACTTCCGGTGTTTTAGTTTTCCATCTGTATTCCTTGTCTTGATAATCGATTCTACCTACAAGGTAACCATCAAATCCCAGCTGGGCGAAAATATTAGCCATCTCTTTGCTGTGACCGAATGGATCGATCTGCCATCCGATTTTAGGCCTTCCACAAGCACCGAAAGTATCATTAAGTCTCCTATAATATTATTTAAAAAAACGTGAATAGTTTTACGTAAACTGTAAAAGACGCTTAACTTGGTGATTCTATTTAGGTATGTTTTTCTTCTAGTATATGATTATAAAATGATTAAACGCTCAGTTTAGGTTTCGAAAAGGGCTGGCTTATTTTAAACGCCAAATTTTAATTTCTGAATTGAACAATCTAATAAAATTTTGAACTTGGTTTAAACCTGGACCCACCCTGAACCGGGTATGAACAACCTTAGTGCATTATTACATAATACAGACTTGTGCCAAGTTAACACTGCTATTTTAAAAAAGTAGGCTCTGTTAGGCGAAGCAAGGCAATGTAACATAATGTATGTTTTGTACGCAGATGTTTATGTTGAAACGAGTGAAACGATACTTTCTGCGTACAAATTCGTTAAGTTTGTTGGTAATACCATTGCTTTTATCGTTTATCACAGCTCCGACATAAATTTACCAATTTAATTTTAACAAAATAAGGCATTTTTATTATGTTATTTTCGTTTTTAAAACTCGTTACCTTAGACCCCAAGTCATTTGGTCGATAATAGAATGATAATGTGTAGCAGCTTCATCGTTCATACTCCATCCTCCACTTATAAATTCCAGCTGTCCATTATTAACGTAATCTATGACTTCTTGTTTCATGTTGTCACTTTGTTTGATCCACCATTTCCAGAAAAATGCGGTTTCTACATAAATAAATCTTGAAAAAATATTTCTCCAGTTAGATTATCATATTTATTAAACGAGAAATGTATAGGATTTATTACTTTCTATTCGAATTTCTGTTCAGTGAATCCATTACAGTAGGTAGGATATACTGAGCACCGGCTTTTTGGGTATTGGAGTTACCTAAAAATTATTTCAATTATTTTTTGTATATAACTAATGTGTAACTACTCACTTCCATAGTAAGACTGATCAACTGTTTTTAACCAACCAACATCATCATGGGTGTGTGCTACTATATGAATATTAGTATAACCATTTTTAATTGGTGTACATGACTAAAATATGTTTACGTGTTTTAGTTGAATTATTATAAAATTTAAAAAAAAGTTACCTCGTAACCACAGTTTGCTTCAGAGAGTTTTGGATTGTTTTCAGACGGAAAACCTTCTGTTCCTGCCAATAGCAGGAAAAGAGCAAAAATTCTTTGTCTTTGTTTTTCATACATTATTAAACAATCCTACAAAGCCAAATCTATACTCACTCTAATACATTATAATCTCAATAGCGACTTTAGCTAAAAGAAGAGGAACAAAGTTAGTTAAATAAATTGTAAGATTACTGAATATTTGAATTAAGCTTAATTACTCACTTGCAGAAATAATATGTTATAAATAACTGATTAGTATCCGTCTATATATCAAGTATGTCAATTTCAAAACATGTTTAAGATGATTTGAATAGATTTTTAATATCTAGAAAAAAAAACACTTAAGTGATCGAGACTCCTGACCAACAAATCCTGTTGATTGATGGTGTTTTTTTATCCAAACTTTTATATTGCAATAAATAAATTAATTGAGTTTTTATATTTAGATAAATAATATTGTTTGCTTTCTATCAGATAAGTATTTGTATATTTCATTAATGTTTTCTGTATATTGTTATCTCAACTTAATTCAGGTTTATTTTTCTATTACTTATTTAAGGCTGTATATGGAGTGATTTGACATTGCTTTATTATTATAAGGGTTCAACTTTCGTTGAGCTGAAATCTGTTATATAAAAAATGACTTTATATATACGTTCTAGAAGGCGTTAGGAGTACAAATATACAAAAATTTTCCTGCGGAAATGCGTCATTTTCATTTTTCAGACTTTAGTATAGCCGAAATCTGTTACATCAAAACTAGTCTTCGGGGTGTGTTTTTGACATTTTTCTAAACATAAAAACACAAAAAAGTGTCTAACGGAAATTTTTTATCTTTATTTTACATAAAAAAAAATCTTTGACTTTAGAATATCCGAAATCAGTTACATGAAAAATGAACTTATATTTGTTTTATACGAACCTTTACGAGCAAAGAAATACAAAAAAAATTCTGCGGAAATGTGTTAATGTCATTTTTGTGCACTTTGTTTTTCATACATTTTTCAATTTATATAGAAGCTTACGGGACCCGGGAGCGAATAGGGGTGCTGGGTGGGGAAAACATCTTTCGGAGGAATAACAATTCTTGTAGAATAGATAACATAGGTTCTTGTAAACTATAAGTACCTCGGAATGTTGCACTTATTCTTGTTTTTTATTAAAGCGTTACGTAAATAGGGCTGATTCAAAACAAAAAATCATTGGATCATGCAGTTTTCTTTTATATTTTAATAATTAACTGTGATTTTGCAAAAGTATTATTAGATTGGTTAGGATTTGGGTTGCTTTGGTTAGCTTTTCTTTGTGGAAGCTGTGGTTTTTATATTTTAATAATTAACTATGATTTTGTAAAAATATTATTAGATTTATTATTATATCCATTGGTTAGCATTTTAGACACTTTTAAATTATTTTTTTTTTGGTTCAAAAGTGCTTCATCCAAGGATTTTTTTCTTTTAAACTGTTCTATAAGCATAGGACTTTCTGGCAAAAATTTATTTGCTAAATTCGTGGGTACTTGTACTTTACCAGACCCGATAATAAAATAAGGAACAAACAGAAAATGAAGCATTTCCGCAGGAAATTTTTTATTTTCCTGAGTTTGTAAAAAAAAAAATATATTTGTTTTTTTATATAACTAATTTCAGCTATTCTAAAGTCTAATAAATTTCCTTAGAAAATGAAAACAGCTTATTTCCACAAGAAAATTTTTGTGTTTATATGTTCAGAAAAAGATTAAAAATAAAACGCAAAATATATTTTTTTATAGCAGATTTCAGTTATTCTAGAGTGCGAAATTTGGAAATTACGCATTTCCGCAGGAAAATTTGTGTTTTCCGTGGTTCACAGTAGCTTTTTAAAGACAATTTTTTTTCTAATAACTGATTTCAGCTAAACGAAAGTTGACCCATTATAAGTATTGAGAAGTTATATATTTAAAATTTATTATACATGGAAAACAATAATGCACTATATTAGAAGAACCTGATATAATAGAAGATTTACGATATAATTTAACTGGAATAAAATTTCTCTTTTACTGAGCTGAAAATTATTTCTCATTTATTTTTTCTTTATTCCTTCTTCTATTGTGACAGATATGTAGTAGTAGTATTTTTCAAATTCCTATTGTTGTTGGTTCTTTTCCTCAAATTCATTATTTTATACAATGTAGATTCATTTCTAATACTATCAATGTTTTTTAATAACAAATGTAACAAAATATATAAAAATTGTTGGCATTGTCTATAATTTATTTTTACAAAAAAGGCTGAAACATAAATTTAATTATATCGCAAATACACCATATTGAATTTTAAGTATAATAGGTTCATTTTGTTACAGCAGGTATTAATTTACTTCACAAACCTTGAGTTGTTTCCTAGTACTATATTCCTAGCACTATAATCTTATTTTTATTAAGTAAATCTTTTTTTATTGTAATAGATTTAAGACTTTGACTAGTTTTTTTTACTTATTTATTTAAAGAGATTATATAGTGATATTGATTGCAATTAAAAAAAAAACTTAGAACATCATAACTTTTTTTGAACACTCTGTTTGCAACAAAATATCTTTAGAATATGCAACATTATAGAATAGACCGTGCAACATTTGTATATAACTTTTTTTCATATCCTTTGTTAACAGGATATGAAAAAAAGTTTCTGTTGAAAGAGCCATGTGTTATAATACCACAAATATCGTTAAAAATTTAGAAAACACTTTAAATACAAAATATGTTTATTTTTTAAATATGCCATCTAAAAGAAAATTGACATAAAGGGTGTTGCATTCATAATTATAAATATACATATATTTATAATTAATTTATTTTTGTTTCCTAAAATATTAGATTAAAAGAAAATATGTAAAAGTGGGTTCTGTGATATTAGACTTTATCACATTAATGGGCCACCCTGTACGTATACTATAATGATACCGTGTTATTACTGAAAAGTGACAAAAACAATTTATTTGAAGCTTTACCATCATAACCATCGCCTCCATGAAGACAACTTTTGACACTCATTAGCCATATGATTAAAGATTGCAACTCCAGTAACTGTTTCTTGATCATTAGTTGATATTAATTATAAAAAAAAGTTAAACCAGCAAGTACTAAGAAACTACTAAAATAACTTTTCTTAGTATTTGTAAATCGAATGGTAGTAGTCGTCCGGGATTTTTTTAATTCCGGATTTGGGTAAAGTGTCCCGTATTCTGGAAACTCAGTATACTATCCCGGAAAGCGTCAATCAAATTATAAAATAAACTGTTTTAAAGTTCCCAAAGCTAATACACACTTACGCTTATTATTATTTCATTACATTTTTCGATTTAGCTTAGCGATACAGGGTGGTCCGAACTATATTCCGGAAACTTCGGCAGCATATTCTGCAGTTAAAAATAAGTAAAAAAGTTCGTATGAATGTATGTACAGGGTGTAGGTCACTCATTATTATTTCACCTTATTCACTTCATATTATTCCCCACTTTTGTTTCGATTGTATCCAAATAATTTCTGAAGTAACGTTAATATTTGGATGAAAATTGGTGTCTGGGAGTTTTTTGATATGAGAAATTTGATTTTGATGTCAATATGTCTCCTACTTGTAGGGGACACCACCTGCATATTTTCTAACTGGTTAAAAATATACAGTTTCGGTGAGTTTCGTTATTTTTTTACGTAAAAAAGGTCTCTGTGTAAAAATCGCTACGAGAAATGGTTCTCGAGATATTTGCAATCGAAATTATCTATACCTGTCGTCATTGACATAAATTAAACATGTTGACTGAATAGTTATTGACTGAAATCACAAATTTTAAATGTTTTTGTGTCAAAAGTTCAACAGAAACTGTTAAAACATTTTTTCGAAGAAAAAATTATGATTAATTTAAAAAAGTAAAAAGTTCCCAAATTTATCATTTCAGTCAAATAACTATCTACTCAAAATGCTTATTTTTGTCACATATATTGACTATTTCCATTCTAAAAATCTTGGGAACGGTTGCTCCTAGCGATTTTTACCAAGAGACCTTTTTATGTAAAAAATAATGATAATATATATTGTTTACCCAGTAGTTTTATACAGGTACGGACAAAAAGTGATTACGCTTCAATACAGTTAAAACACATATAGATGGCGCCCCCTACAAATAGGAGTCATATTGACATCAAAATCAAATTACTCATGTCAAAAAACTCCCAGACATTAATTTTCATCTAAATATTGACGTTACATCAGAAATTATTTGGAAAAAAATCTAAATAAAAATGAAATTTTACACCCTGTATCACTGAAACTAAGCATTTTAGGACATACATTTATACGAATTTTTTTATTTATTTTTATCTGCAGAATATGCTGCCGAACTTTCAGGAATACAGTTCGGACCATCCTGTATAACTACTTTCGTTTTTCGAGAGCGTCGTTTTTCCTTGCTCTCGTTTTTTTGCCCTCGAATTTAACGAAATTTAACGTAAAAATATTGCAATCCTAACTTGCAGTGAAAAATTGCTTACCGTGAATTTTCCAATTTTTTTAATGGTGTTTAAGCTTAACATGAAAAATTTCGAACTTGAAGGTGTGAATATTTTTCCTAGTGAAGTTTCAGTGATTTGATGTTCCAAACAATACTGAAATGCATGAATTAACTAAAATGATTTTGGGTAGTTGGGTTATATCATCATGCTTCTACTACTTTGAGTATACCCTCTAAAATGAACATACCATTTAGTAGTTTATTATTACAATTGACTTTGTGATGTAATAAAAAATTATAAGTTGACAAATAAAACAGTCGAATGAATTTCTAATATGCATTTATAATTTTATGCCATTATACATAATTCAAAATCTTCTAATACCAATAATGAAAGTACGAATATCACTAGGATTCAAAGTTATTTGAAGATCGTCCAAATTATCTTGTAATATTGACTGTGGTGTGATTTTTGACCTTTCCATCCAGGCGTTCTTGACTACATTTGCATACTCTATATTAGTATTATAATCTTCATATACGAGTTGTTCCAATGTGCTGTTTGTTTTAAATTTTAATCTGTTGCTATCTCTCAGCCATTGGTTTGCACCTAATGTTGTTTCTTCTAAAGATAAAATTTCGAAGCCAGTAAACAAATCCTAAAATTGTCGTGTTAATACAGGATTTACGAAATTAAATCAATATTACTACGCTTACTGTTAAGTTAACTAAAGCTGGTTGAGATAGAATAGAGTCTTCGTCATAATCAAATAAGTGTTCTAACCTAAGAAGTAAACTAGAATCTTTCCAGGGTTCCAAGGTGAGTATTTGAACATTTTTAGGCAAAGCACTACGCAATCCAGAGTACTGGAATTAAAATATATAAATGTATATTTCTTTGATTATGTCTTTAAGAAAAAATATGTACCTCCATAATATATTTGGATTTGTACTCATCCACATTATCTTGAAGGGGTGTAATAAAAGTCCAACTGTCCAATAGTTTCTTTTGTGCAATATCTTTTGTTATTGCAGAAATCGAGTTACCTATGTCGAAATACAATATCTGTCAGAAATCTTTAAACTAAATAACTAACAAAACATTATCTTTAATAAATAATATTGATCTACCTTACCATTTTCATCGCTCAAGTTGCCAACAGTTAGAAAATGGGAACCTCTGACTACTAATCCTTTCTCGAAAGCTTTCTCGTTTAGAGATTCGGAAACACCAAAACCGTCATCGTGATGACAGAGTCGATGAATCTGAAAAAGTTATATCATTTCCTTGTGTCAGTATAAGTAGAATAAAGAATATCATGATGAATATTCACGAATCGAACTTTTTAACTGTCGAAAATATTTGTTTTAATACAGTAATCTTTCTATTGATATTCGAGAAGTTGTTTTGAAATAATCATTTTAGACAATGACTCTGTCTATGAATCATTGGAATTAGTTAAATTAGGATTAGCCATTGACAATATTAAAGACCAAATAATATACAATCTTCTAAAAATATATGTGTGTGTGTGTATATGTGCGTGTTTGATATAGCAAAATACTTAAAATAGAAAAGTTATAATAAGAAAAGTATTTAATAACACCAACATTAGATAACTTAGCTGGGAAACTTAAATGGAAACGACAGTTCATTAGAAATAGTTTTTCCTCCAACCACCAGTATGCCGAAAATTCCAAAACTGTCAATATCAAAATGAAAATGCCAAAATTTGATTTTTAAACACGATACGCTTTTGTTGTGATTTTGCGGTTTGATTTCGTTTTGATCTTTCGAAATATTGTAAAGTATATTCCTAACTTTAGATTTTTTGCCAGTCTTCTGTTTTAGACAATATTTTGTAATAATGGTGGGCCAATCTGTGTTTTTGTATAGACTCTTATTTTTTTTTTGTCATAGAGATTAATTGTTGCACACCGATTTTGCGAATGATACAATTACAATGGTAAGTAAATTAAATATACCCATTAATATAGATTTTTTTTTCAATTAATATGATAATAATAGCTCCCGTATATAGCGTTTAACACCTTGGGAGTAGCAAGGTACAGCTTGCCATGCTAGAGCCGTTCGGTATACAAGGAAGGTAATGTGGCTAGCACTACGCTTCAACCGCCTATTATTCAAGTACTCATTTAAGGCTGAGTTGACCTAGGTACCCAAACTATTTTTATTTTAATAAAAATAGTCGGCTGATGAAATACCGGGTGTGGGATTCGAACCCACTACCTTGAGATTGGTAGACGAGAGCCTGTACCTCTACACCACCGGGCACTTTTTTTTCGATTAATACTTGTGAATAAATGCTCCTTTGCTAGTAGATATTTAAAAAAAAATCGGTACATGTAAGGAATTATGGACGCGCGTTGCGCTTTGTTAGCATAACCAGGAGATGTTTAAAATTGATTGAATTTGTTTGTTTTTATTATTTCATGTCTCAAACGGAAACAAACTCTGAGATTCTTGCCTATACAAAAATTAAATAGCTCTTTCCAATTAACTTCAAATGGAAGAAAATTATGTAAAAGAGCCTGCGATTTGCAGAAAACTGACAATAGATTAAATTGTTCAACCTAATTCTAAAGCTTCTAAACCTAAAAAGCACATAAATTGCTCTTACATGTCTAAATTTATTTTAAATCAACAAAAACAATCCCTTCCTCTCCGTTTCCTTCTCATTTTTTCCTTCAACCACCAGGTAGCGCACTTGTATAAAAAAAACAAAATTGTAATGTATTATAAGTTGCCTATCTATTTAATATGATAAGTTTTTTATCTCTAATTATATAACATACTAATTGATAAGACAAACTAACGTATCTTTATTATTTTTGAAAAGCAGCAAATAAAAGGGAAAAAGCAAGAAAGAATATGGTCGCGTTCATCAGGACGTAGCGCTACCGCAGCGATCACTAATTTTCTGCTGAACGCGCCGATTAGTTGTGAGCGCTCTGGGATCAGCCGCCATTTTTTCCATCAGATTTAAAATACGCTACGCTACCGATGCATGATGGATTAAACGTCACATACGCCAAATGTCACAAAATGTTTTGGAAAACGAAAACAAAGCATTTTGTTTATTGTTCTCGGTTCACTAATCCCCTCGATTTGTGCCAAAAATGGGTGAAAACAATTTAATATGCATTACTTATGATTTTGATCTAAAAAGCACGTTCAGCAGGACAACCAATCGATGGTACATCGCTCACTGATCAACTTGTCCTGATGAACGCGACCTATGTAATTAGTTAATTTCATAAATGATTAGTTTACTATACGTATGTATATATTATAGTCACTTGCCAGTGAAAAGATATTCCATTATTTGCCTCTTGTACATTACATGAACTATTTTACAGTCTTTTTTGATAAAACGCAATAGATTCACTGTTAATTTAAATCCTGACACAATTTCCTTCCAGATTTACTACTTCTAAACCAAAACCAGTCGTAGATAAAATAATAGATAACATAAAATAAACTCAGTAAAGACAAACAAATCCACAAAAATTCAAATCCAATTCATTTTTTTTACATGAAGCGTCAAACAAAACTGTCAAGGATCCCCCACTCTATATAATGGCAATTCCGTCTACCATGCATTTACATGCATATGCATACACATTATACATAGATAGAATAAAACTCCTTTTTCAATAGTTTTATTCAAATATATAGAACTATAGACTTTTTTCCAAGTATGTACATACATACATTTATTTGTATATCAGAATTTCGTTGTTGAAATAGGCGTACTTGTAAAAAATGCTTAAAGCTTCTTGCACGTTTGAAAATTTATTTTCTGTAGATGGGTGGGGGAGGAGAATATTTTTGAAACTCTTTAGTATTTTTTAGTTGGTTAAATTTGTTTGTAGGTATGGAGTCATGAGTTTTGTCTTTATCCATAAAAAAAAAATTAAGTTTTAGGTATCTTGTTTCAATGGTGCTATTTCCAGAAGATTATAGAAATATTATAATATTTTACCATTATTTCAATTTCTCCATTATGCAAGCTGGTTCCACCTTGAGCTCTGTCATTTAGTACTGCAACCTCTATCCCTTGCTCTTCATCTCTTATAGCTATTTTCGATGGTATTGGGTAATAATTACCAGACGCTAGTTCTGAATTATCCACTTCCCATGTAGGTCTGTAATCTCTCACTCGTTTCAGCATTTCTTTTCCATTTGAATCAGTGTAAAATGCAGAATTTGTTGATAACTTGGTTGAATACTTTGTTACTACCTCCACTCCTTTGGAACCGCTAAAATGTTATATTTTAAAATATATATTATTATTGATAAAACCTATGTTTATTACTCGGTAGGTAGCGGCCCAACAACCCAATCAAACTCGATATAGTTTTCAATTTTGTTGACTCTAACAGTTTGGCTAATGTACTCATTAAATGTCTGTCTTGCTTCTGATACAAGAGCACCTTCTAATAAAGTAACTTCAGCCGTATCATTAGTTTTAATAATATTTCCGTCAGGCCTAAATACGTAAGCTCCTGACGATCTTCTCTCAGGATCACCATTACCTCCAACGAAGCCTTGGTAATAGTAAAAGTTTTGATCTAGCGTGACTGACAAATTATTTAAAGATACTTTCTCTACCAGTCCTGTTTCTTCATTAATAACAAATGATGCGCTAGAACCCTATAAGGTATTAAGGACATTAAGGACTTCAGTTAGGGGGCTAAATAAAATACAATAAATCTACTTACGTCAACTTTTAGAGAACCAGAAATTTTAGTGGAGTGTACAGGTTTAAAACTTGAAGAATTGTCTAGGGAAATTATAAACGATTTCCATCCAAGTGCAGGTACATTTTTTGCCACAAAATAGAGATCGTGAGTAGCACTGCTATCTCTGCCAGGAATATTTTTCACAAAATCGGGAATTGGTAAAAGGTCGTTAGCATATGAATTCCCTAAATAAAAAAAAATAATTAAAATTACAAAGTTTCATTTAATAAGTGTTTTACCTTCTTTATCTGTTACATTATAGCCTTCTCCATTTACGGGTAACCTTACTAACTTATCTACTGATTTACTTAAAGGATTATAAATGGTAACTACGAAGTTTTCTGCATTTTCTGTTGTAGCACACTGACTTATGTTTGCTAATAGACAAGTCTTTAATGGAACTGAATTGCCATATTCTTTTTCTGAATTTGAACTTCCATTATTGAATAATTTACTATAAAATGTACATTTAAATCTGAAATTTATATTAGTATTCTTTATTTACTTTAAAGCAGTATTTGTTATATTTTCACATCCATCTATTGCGTGGTGCAATTGTCTAGCATAATCCTTGGCAACGTGTTGTTGTTCTGTTCCAGACACGGCATCGTGATGTTGCAGCACACCCATTATTTCTCTCAAATTGTCTAAACTTGTGCTCTCACCCAAGTTTGCTAACACAGAAAGTTGTTTACAAACCTAAAATCAAGAAAATTTAAACTAAGTGTCATTAACACAATATTAATAATAAAGGACATACTTGAAGAAAATTATTGCCAAGTCTTTCAAATCTTTTCAGAGCTGGCCTAGAGGTAAAATATCCCGTCCAATATGAGTGCTCGTCTGAGGCATATGGAAAAAAATCGTCATCTTTTAAAACCCAGTCTTTGTCTTGAGTCTCGTTGTTTACAGCTTTTACGTAACAAGATGGAGTAGAATACATTAAATTGAATTTTGATCCGCTCTCTTGGCGTTTGTTTACATGACTGAAATAATAAGGTTGCTGCATTAAACATTAGCTTTCACAAATAAACTAAGGTCTCATACTAGATAAGTTTGTCCAAATTGATGAACCAAGCTTCTGCGTCTTGGTAATTGAAGTCGCCACCCATGGTCATTAAGAAGTTGCTTGTAGTGTAAATTTGAGGAATACCATTAACGTATTCAAGAAATGCATCAACCTAAAATTGATAATTTATATGGTAAATGTGAATGGGAGTTTGTGCCTCCAATAAAAACAGCATATCTACTGGTAAAACTGTCTTCAAATAATAAATTAATAAAGTAAATATACCTATGAGTCTCAATACTAAAATAATACTATGATTACGCACAATGTTTGTCACGCCCATCGGCGTGACCAGGCAATTTTTTTTTCATACGGGCGTGCGCAAATTAATTTTCTGCACGCAGAAAATTGATTTTCCCGGTTTTCCAACGGTTTTTTTATGGATTTTCGTTTGAGGTCTTTTTTTATTTATTATTTACTCTGATAAGGGGGCTATGGCCCCCCTCCGTGGTTACGCCTATGGTCACGCCAATGACAAATTTTAGGTTTTTAGTGTTGTTTGTGGCAAGAAGATATAGGTAACAAGTAGGAGCGATAGTAAATGAAAGTTAAGTAAGTGTTAAAAATGAATTTTTAACAGAACGTCAACGGTTTCTTGTAGACGTATCTGTTTTAAAAAAGTAAAGTGTTCTCGAATAGTTGAATTTAAATATTTTAAATAGTTTTTTTTCTTATTCTTTGTATTTTTTTTTTGCTTCCGACGACGGAAAGATATAATTTACCGAAACGTTAAGCATTTTTAAACCTAACTTCTGACAAGCAGCGTCCGTTTAGGTTTAACGCAGAAGTGTTTACAAAAAATAATTATTTTATTTTGTAGATTTTCTTGCAGTGCAGTGGCGAAATACTCATAAAGGATTTTTTTGGAAAGATGAATCCGCCACATAGGTATAGACATTTTTTACATTCTTTAGGTTTGCACTTAAACAAAATTTCGAATTTTTTTATTTTAGTAGCTTCAGATGCCCGACGCACTATTGTCGGACCCTGTATAGTGGGGGAAATAACGACAATTTAATATTGTATGATAAAATAAGGCAGGAGAAGAAGCTGAAAGAATTATTTTTTTATACAGGAATAAACTTGAACATTTTCTCAGCATATCGTATCTGTTTAGAACATTTTGGAAATATGCTTATAAGAATATTTTACGTATCGGGTGGACAAATAAGAATGGACGCCGGCTGTATCCCAAAAACTTCTTCTACTTCTGGTACCGTCCGCTTCAGTAGCCTGTTGGCGTTCATAAAATATGTTCATTAGGCGCGATAAAAAATGTGTACCCTCCTTAGCTCTCCTAAATATCGTGGCAGCATCCGCAATGTTATAAGCTATTCCCGCATATTGCGAAGCCATGAATGCTGCTACCAGCATGGTCCTCTTCTTCTTTCGACCTTTCTCATAACCTAGGACCTCGCAGAAACTACATATCGTATATCTTTGTGAAAACACTGTAGTAAATAAATCGACCAAAGGAAATCGCTCGAAATTATTTTCAAGTTCGAAAAATATCCGCTAGGAGGCGCATCTGTAATGGCCAATCAGAAAACAAGATTTTCTTCAAAAATATGCAGGTGAAGATGTGTTTTAAATATTGGTATTCTAATCAGTTAATTGTATTTTTTTTCTCAGATAATAAAGTGCTGGGAGAATGTCAAACTTGCTTTTATTAAAATAAGGATAACACTGGTTTGGGTTAGCCGATTTAAATACACTAGGACTCGTTTAAAAGAGCTTTTCATTCTTAATAATCTCCAATATAAATTTTGTTTCCATAGATTTTGTCGTGTTAGCTATAGGAGGGCGCTGTTTTACATCATAACAGATATTGCGCTTTTGAATATAAAAAATTATATATAGATATAGATATGTTTCTTTCTCACAGTTTAATAGAGCACAACATTTCTAAAAGATCACCGTAAACCGCAACTTTCTATCTTCTCTCTAACGGGAGGTATTAAGAGAACAAATCATGTTAGGCTACCGCCTAGGATTATAAGGTCTAAAACTTATAGGACCTAGTAGGCTAGGAAACAAAAAGGGGCAAATTTGTTTTGTCAAGATACCAAAACGTTTAAGCATAGTTTTCATGCATCGGAATTTCGGACGTTTTCTGAGAAAAAAAGATCTCATAAATTTTTAGAACTGTTAGTCTAACATTATCGTCCATGCATATATTTTTTACGAATAGTTAATTTTATGTAGGTATTTGTCAGATTAAAATGTCCAAAAGTCGGACAATTAATAATTTTTATTTATTTTTTAGGAATTTTGTGTCGCCATATTGCATTTAACAGAAAACGTCTGAATTTCGTATTCTTGGGCTGAAACCTCGGGTTCAGGGAATTCTTGGGCTGAAACCTCGGGTTCAGGGAATTCTTGGGCTGAAACCGAGGGTTCAGGCTAAAGTTATTTAGTTATTAATCCAAGTTCGTTCTTGATTTAACTTGTTTTCGTGTTTTACTTATTGTTTATTTATTATTAATTATTATATTATTAAGTTTATGTTGTTCGCATCACTTTTCATATAGCAACAAAGGTGCGAATCTCAACAATATACACTACTGGTTTAAATCTACCCTTTTGATGCAAATATAGAGATCAGTACCAAGGCCGTTGGTCAGTAAATGTTTAGGCAGGAATTCTAGGAGGACGAGTGATTGGACTTTTTTAATCATCGAATGGAATGCACTGTCCACAATTTCTAAGAGAGGAATTGCCAATTTTGTTAGAGGATTCATGATGAAATTACATTTGTTGCTATTTTAGCATGATATTTTAGTTATTGCAGTTGTGCAGCTTATTTTGGTATGAAAGTGTTGGGCGTCCTGGATACCACTTACTTCAATAGATAGAAACGCTGGCGCTGGACCGGCATATTTCCATGGTCAGCTTGGTCACCGGATTTAAAACGCATGGTTCTTTATTTATGGGGTCGAATCAAGAACGAACATGGCATTAAAATGGAACTAAACTATACGTTCTGATATTCTGACGTAACCAGTTTACCTCTTTGTGTTTCCTAGCCTACCACTATAATTTTTAGACCTTATAATCCTAGGCAGTAGCCTAACAGGATTTGTTCCCTTAATATCTATCGTTAGAGAGAAGTAATAAAATTGCGGTTTGCGCTGATATTTTGGAAACTTTGTACTTTATTTAACTATGCAAAAAGGAGCATAACCTGCTATTATTTTTTTTTTATGCAAAAGCGCAATATTTGTTACGATGTCAAACAGCGCCCCCTAGTTATCACGAAAAAATCTATGAAAACAAAATTTATACTGAAGACGCTTAGAACGTTAGAGAAGAAAATCTCTTTTAAACGAACCCTAGTTAGTTTAAATCGGCTAAGCCAAACCAGAGTTATCCTTATTTTAATAAAAGTAAGTTTAAATTACCTCCACCACTTTATTTTATGACATAGAGCAAAGTACGCTATATAAAAAAAATTACAAATTTTCTTTTTATTTATAATAGCAATGTTTAAAATACCTCTTCACCTGCATTTTTTTTTTCGGAGGAAACTCCTGTTTTCTGATTGGCCATCGCAGCAGCGCCCCATAGTGGACATTTTTATAAGTCGAAAATAATTTCCAGCAATTTCTCTTGGTCGATTTACTTATTACAATTTTTATCCCAACATTACAGGATAAGTAGTTTCTGAGATACAGCCGGTGTCCATTCTTAGCTGACCACCCGGTACGCTGCGCTGAATAATTGTATTTTTTCATTATTTTTATGATTATATATTTAAAGTGAAATATCGCAATTTGTCTGTACCCTATCATCTACGTTGTATTCGTAGCTGTCTGGATCGTCGATAAACGGTATGTCACTACACAGAATGTCGAAACAGAATCCTGAAGGAGGTCCATATTCATTGTATAAAACACTAGTGAAGATATCGCTGGATTGTCCTACAATATAATAATAATAATAATAGTGAACATAAAAACGTGTTTCTACTTAAATAATATATGCTGTATTAGTTAATTAATAAAATTATATAAGGATTCTTGCCACTTAACTGCTGACATAGAAATTTAATTCTACGCTGTGTTTGTCACAATGTGGATCAACTTGCTCTCGCTACCGGTTTCGGAGCCCTACTCCATCATCAGGTGAGCTTGGGCAGATCCACAAAATGGCAACCACAGCGCAGAGTAGTTAATTCCGACTTGTCGGAAAGTATCGGTTAGATATTAAGTCCCGAACGGGAGATAGCGGCCTGCGCGCAATAGCCGGTAGTGAGAGCAGGTTGATCCACATTGTGATAAACACAGCGTAGAATTAAGTTTCTGTCAGCTGTTGAGTGGCAAGAATCCTTATATAATTTTATTATATACCTATACTGCAAGAAATTTCTTTTCTATTTTATAATTTGGCTTGCCTGAAAAAAAGCCTTTTACCATCCTTTTAGTATCGATAGTTGCGCCTCGGTGGTACTAAAGTACTGCTATTGCACGCAGGCCGCTATCTCCCGTTGGAACTTAATATCTAACCGATACTTTCCGACAAGTCGGAATTAACTACTCTGTGCTGTGGTTGTCATTTTGTGGATCTACCCAAGCTCGCCTGATGTTGGAGTAGGGCTTCGAAACCGGTAATGAGAGCAGGTTGATCCACATTGTGACAAACAAAGCGTAGAATTAAATGTCTATGTCAGAAGTTAAGTGTCAAGTATCCTTATATAATTTTATTATATACCTATACAGCAAGAAATTTCTTTTTTATTTTAGTTAATTAATACTCCTTGGAACATTTTTAAGTATCGTCATATTCTATTAATACTAAAATAAGTTTCTTGAACTCGACAGAGTCTTATGTTAAAAAATAAAGACATTTGTATATGTCCAAAAAGTTACATGGTCGAAATGTACTTGGACCAAGCCAGCCGGATGCTGTCATATATATCAGTATAGTTTGACTATATAGGTATAGGGATAAAGGAATCCGGCACTACCCAACTTTGGGTGTCTTATGGAAGATTCATATTTAGCAGCATTATTATAGGTATGTTATATGGCAGCATCTAAGTGTACTTAGATCAAGTACTCTTTAATGTGACACTTTGTCAACCCGTGTTTAATCTTATCAAGCTAGTTGATGTATTGCTGTTGAATAACATCTTTATAATGAAGTATTATTTTTAACTTTTTAGTTTACTTTACTATAAAAGTGTGTTGTTTAGTTCTTAAACCCTAAGTACCTATACATAGATTTCTAAAATCAATGTAGTCCAATTGCCCAGATAAAAAATATAAATATTAAAAGTTGTTTTTATTTCTTTGAATGTGAGTCAAAATAAAACTCGATTTTTTATTTAATTATAATTTTCTTTCAAGGTATTATTATAATTTTCGTAAGTAAAGTAATTTTAGCGATTTGAGTGAAATTTTTAAGATAAAAGTAACTATACATGGTACATAGCTTAATGCTAAAAATGTGTCGACAGATTCACCAGGGAAGTGCATATGAGTTATCACTGGAATATTTTTCTATGAAAAATTTTGTGCGCCACTGACTTTTTTCTCTTGTTAAAACAGGTGTGTAGCCCGTTTAATGCCGATTAATAGCTTAGTCTAGTTCACAGCTCGCAGTGGCCGCCTACCTTTAATCGGCATTAAACGGGCTACACACCTGTTTTAACAAGAGAAAAAAGTCAGTGGCGCACAAAATTTTTCATAGAAAAATATTCCAGTGATAACTCATATGCACTTCCCTGGTGAATCTGTCGACACATTTTTAGCATTTCAAACCAAATCGCTGCGAAAAATTCGCTGGAACCTGTCACGAACTAAAACGAGCGAAACTAAACTAAGATTTGAATTTTCGTTCACATATTTTCGTTTAGTTTCGCTCAAGTGGCCGCTGATGCATTTGTATGGGAGCTGATATTTAGCTGCAAAAGTATGGGAGCTGATTTTTAAAAATTTTATCTTCGCTTGGCTTAGTTTAGTTTCGCTAGCAGTGGTCGCCTGCCTTAAAAGTTGTCTCTTGATATTTTGTTGATTTCACTCTCCTTGATGGCACACTTTTATTAATTTGCCTTAATCTAAGGCTAATAACAATCTTTAAAAAAATGTAATGCCACTAACTGGCTCGCTAACTGGTTAAAGTGTTAAATAAGTATTCATTGGTTCCTCATAAAAATATAGAAAAAGAAGGTCCTATAAACATGGGTGCGGAAATGGATAGTTGAAAAGTTACAGGATTTAAAACTTTAAAAATAGGTCTTTTGTAATTATCTTAAATATATATTTTTTTTAATTTGCTCTAGGCAGCACTGAATATCAGTGTTATAAATATTAATAAGTAATAATAATAAAATAGATTAAATAAATAATTTTATTTTAATTTTTTTAACTGGGATTAATAAAATTTCGTTAATCTCATCGAAGAGATCGAAATCGACAAAATATCAAGATACAACTTTTTTAATCGGCATTAAGCGGCCTAGAGAATTTTGCTAACAAAAAATATTCCAGTGATAACCTATATTCACGTAACTGGTAAAGTTGTCGACACTTTTTTTTAGTACTAAACTATATCACACTAATAGTATATTTTACCCTCAAAATTTCATTCGAACCGCTAAAATCACTTGGAAGAACATTATAATAAATAAAAAAAAATCTTATTTTTACGTAAGGAATCTCCCCACGAGAGATGGCACATGTTTTTTGGAATACCCTGTATATGCCAATTCCGATGAGACATAGGTAGTACGATGTGTATTAAGATATTGTGAATTATATGGTAGTTTTTTCTTTATATTGCTTGGTCTTACCTAAACTTTTGCTCCCTCTCCAAACCACTTCTGGTGTCTTAGTTTCCCACCTGTATTCCTTGTCTTGATAATCGATTCTGGCTAAAATGTAACCATCAAAACCCAGCTGGGCAAAAATATTAGCCATTTCTTTGCTGTGACCGAATGGATCAATTTGCCATCCGATTTTGGGTCTCCCGCATGCACCAAAAGTGTCATTAAGTCTCCTATTATTTTGTGTAAACAGAAAATAAAATTAATTAAATTATTTTGTTAAATATAAATAAATCAGAATAACTCTTATGATCTGGCAATTGCCCAGTAGCAAAGCCAAATCCGAGACAAGACAAGACAACTCTTATGTTACATTATTACCTAATAGGTACTAATATATACTTGTGCCAAGTTAACAATGCTATTCTAAGAGTTAAAGCTTGACAGAATCTTATGGTATAAGGTTCTGTCAACCCTTATACCTCTTTAGGGTATCATTGGTATCATTTTTAAAGCTTGTTACCTCAAACCCCAAGTCATTTGGTCGATAATAGAATGATAATGTGTAGCAGCTTCATCGTTCATACTCCATCCTCCACCTATAAATTCCAGTTGCCCATTATTTACATAATTTATGACTTCTTGTTTTATTCTGTCATTTTGTTTAATCCACCATTTCCAGAAAAATGCAGTTTCCACATAGATAAACCTAAACAATCAATTTAACAGGATTATCACTTAAAAATGGACAATACAGGTATCTATTACTTTCTATCCGAATTTTTCCTCAAGGAATCCATTACTGTTTCGATGATATACTGGACACCAGCCTTTTGAATATTCGGGTTACCTAAAGTTTTTGAATTATTATTTTTGATGTTATTTATTTGTATAACTACTCACTTCCATAATAATATTGATCAACTGTTTTTAACCAACCAACGTCATCGTGTGAGTGTGCTACAATATGAATATTAGTATATCCTTCCTTGGTCGGTGTGCAGGACTAAAAATATATTTTTCGGGTAAGGGATTCATTATAGTTATTAATTCTCACTGCATTGTTTCTGTTGTTCCACTAAGACTAGCTCTCGGCTGTATCTCATAAAGCATTAGCCATAGAGAGAGCCCGTGGAAAAACTATTTATAATTAAATTGGTCATGATAAATTGCTGGAAAATATTTTCAAGTTTGCGGAAGCCATAGGACAAATAAGAAAATGGAATTTTTACAGAAATTTGCCTAGATAAAGGGTACAATAAATAATTGTATTATAATCTTCAGCAAGTTTCGGATTATTTTTGTCTGGACAATTTTGTGCTTTATTCTAAAATGAAGTAGTGGGAAAAGGTTATGTCTATTTTGATTTAATTATTAATAACCCCGGATTGGGTAATCGGAATCCAACAAACTAGGGCTCGTTTTAAATAACATTCCTTTCTCTAAATTATATCATATAAACAATAATAATGAGCATTCGAGAGGTGTCTCAATCGGGTAAAAAATGTACACGTACTGCCAAAATATCCTTCCACTGCGACTGCCATCTTCCTTGCGACTGCCAATGACTACGATGCCAATGACTACAATGCGACTGCCATAAGACTGCCAATGACTGCCAGCGACTGCCAAGAAAATGTACATGTAATTCCAGTAGTGAGGCACCCCTCGTAAGCATTTAACAGTAGACGCTAGAGGGCGCTCTCTTACAATTTACACACATTGCGCGTTTTTTCGCAGTTATAAATAAATAAATAAAAATGATTTATTGTGCAAAACTGCATTACAGTAATTATACACAAAGGGTAAGAGATTTGACGTAAAGCCACTATTCCACTCCACCCAAAAAATATGCAGCAAAGAAATACCTAATATAGAAATACAAAAAATACATACTTTATAAAATTAACTACCAAGAATAATAAACATTAGTATCCAAATACAAATAGAAATATCATAAAGAAAAATAATTATAGTTTAATAGCGAGAAAAATAAAATAAAAAATATCTTCTAGAAAAATATATCTAGAAATCCAAACTATAAAAGACTATACCTTTACGTAAATAGACGACACCTAATCTCATTTTTTAAATTATGATAGTGAACAATACCAACAAATCTAAAATTAAAAAAAGACAAGTTGCCATATAGAAAAAACAGCTCTTATATATCATAATCATTATATTTTTGCTAATATCATCAGTTTAAAAAGAGATATCAAGATGCGGTTTTAGCTGACTTTTTAAACTTTTATTTCTCTTTACTAATAGATAAAATAATTACACTCGCGATAAAATAATTACACGCGCCCTCTAACGTCTACTATTGAATGCTCATTATTATTGTTTATATGGTATGGTCTGCGAAAGGCTAAAAAGAAAAAAAAAAGACGCAGAAGGAAATCTTATAATAGACACGAGGAAGCAGATTATAGAATGGACGAATTATATCGAAATTCTTTTTCATGATACTAGACCGGAATTGAATCTTCCTCTTACAGAAAACATTGGATCAAAAATTTTGAAGGAAGAGGTGATTTATGTCATAAAACATACTAAGGCCGGCAAAGTCAGCGGTCCAGATGAAAGTCCTATCGAACTCCTAAAACTAATTGACGACGACTCAATTGACATCGTTGTAGACTTTTTCAGTGATATATATCCGAAGAGTGGCTTCAATCCATATTCATAACACAGCCCAAAAAAACCGAATGCTAGATTACAGAAGAAGCTTATTACAGAACCATTTCACTAATGAGAATGAGTCATACACTGATGGATCTATTCTACAGCAGGATATACTCAAAATTAGAAATGGCAATTCCCAGCTGGGATTTAGGAAGGAAATGGGTACAAGGGAAGCGCTCTTCGGTTTAAATGTTCTTACGCAAAGACGTTTAGGCGTAAATCAAGTTGTATACATTGGTTTTATAGACTTCGAGAAGGCGTTCGACCATACTTCGACACGAAAAGCTAATCCATAATATTACCAAGAAAGAATATTGATAGTCGAGACCCGAGAGATAAGATTGATACTGAACTGATTGATTGAACTGAATTGATACTGAATTTAAGCTCTCTTGTATTGGGGACAGGCCACTAAGATCAGATTAGATGATGATTTTTCAGAAAATATACAAATACAACGAGGTGTGCGTCAGGCATGATGTCTCCCCTTCTTTTCAAGTATATAGTTAGGCCATCTTTCAAGAAACTTTGGAAGAGGGAGATGAGGGAATGGTCGACGAATCAACAATATCGAATATGCTGACGATGCAGTAGTAATGACAGATAATAGTGAAGATCTGCAGAAATTACTTCAAAGAATACATGTCTCGTGCAAACGATATAGGCTGTATATGAATTTGAAAAAAATAAAATTCTTGATTATAGCAAAAGATCAAAATATAAATACTTCAATATCAATAGACAGCACGCAAATAGAAAAGGTCCAACACTACAAATATTTGGGCACAATAATAAGTGAAACTGTCGAACAATTACAAGAAGTAAAATCCAGGATTGATATAGTCAGAAATTCTTTTTTAAAACTAAAGAAATTTCTTTGCAGTAGAGACATAAACTTAAATTTAAGAATATGAATGATCCGATGCTACGTGTTTTCGAACTTATTGCATGGTGCCGAAGCGTGGACCCGTAAAACAGCCAAAGTAAACAAACTGGTGGCTTTCGAAAGTGGTGTTATCGTCGCATGTTACGGATTTCTTGAGTCGACAGAGTTACAAATATCGAGGTGTTACGCCGTATGAACAAGGAAGAGGAAATACACAAATCCCTTAAGAGGAAAAAATTAGAATATTTTGCACATGTTACACGAGATCCTAAATAACAATTACTCCAGAATATTAAGGAAGAAAAAATCTAAGAAGGACGTAGTCGGGGCAGAAGACAAACATCCTGGGTGAAGAACCTCAGAGAATGGTATGGAATGATATCAAATGGATTATTTAGAAGAGCCGCAAATAAAATAAAAATGGCCATGATGATAGCCAATCTCCGTTACGAAACGGTACTTGGAATGGTATAATATACGTATGTACTATGTACGTATAATATGGGTACGGCTCTAATAAATGAGCTCTAGTTTGTTGGATACCGATTACCCAGAGATGAATGATTAATATTTAAATAAAAACAAACTTAACCATTCCTTACCACTTAATTTTAACCGATAGGACAAAATTGACAAAAAAAAACAAAAAAAAAATCCAGTACAAAAATGTCACTTTCTTATTTGGTTGCAGTTTGGAGCAGTTACGCTCCTTTGAGGTCCTTTCTCAAAATCGAAAATATTTTCTATGATTTTATCATGGTTAATTTAATTATAAATATTTTTTTCCGCTGGCTCTACAGCTGAAAGCTATTCTTAGTGGAATACCCTGTACATATTAAGCCTTGCTTAATTTGTAAATAATTTGGCTAATTTCTATTAAAAAATGAGGAACAAAATATTTGAAATTCTACTTAATTTTAAGTGCCCACTCAATGTCGATCGACTTAAATATTTAGGAAATACCTAATGCTTGAGGATCTTTTTATAGTTTACGTAGTATATACTAATGGACTATAATGGCGCAGTATTTTTTGATTGACAATAAGTTACTTTGTGAATAGACTTCGTTTATTCACATGTTTTATGCGAATCAGTTCCTTATTCTTTCAGAATATGTGTTAATGTTTCTGGTTTCTTGAATATTCTGTAGAAAGAAAAAAATAAAGTAGTGTCTAAGCAGATTTTTTACCAAAGTAGTACTTCAAAGTTCTTTTTCCATTTCTAATCAATAACTTTCTTGCCACATTAAAAAAGTTGATATATTGAGTTATACTACTTATATATTTTATGTAGCTCTTTTAATGTGGGTTCTGATCTTATGCTTTAAGATACCTATGGTGAATAAGAAACTAAGTGTATATTAGTTTCGGATACAACCACGCATATTAGAGTGTTAAGTATTGATTGCTAGATTGATCGATGGTAGTGTTCTCTGCAGCATTAATACTTTAGGAGTATAACCAAATCTATCACATTTCCGTGCACTTAAGATGCAGTCTTTTATGACAGCATGTTATATCCTCGTCAATTTTGTTGGTCCTCACATTATACGTCTGCTATTTCTGCATTCATTCTATGTGAACGTTCTACATTCTACTCTGGGCCTAATCCGTATACTAGACATAAAACAAATCAGATTTAATTGAGTCTATGAATGACCTAGAAAGTAATATTCAAATCACTATTACTTAATTTTTTTATTAATTTTTTAGGTAATCGTATTAAATTTTAAGAATGAATATCTATACCAAATGATGAAATTGAGCAAGTATCTTGGAATGGACACCCTATCCGGATGGGATTGGAAAGACCGCCACTGCTAGCAACAGAATATTCTTCTTCTAATGCAACTCCATTAATCGATGTTTTTGATAATATTTTACATTGCTTCTCTGTGCCTGGCGGTGTTACCACGATTATACATCGTGTAGCTGTCCACTGTATAACACGCCTTATTGGGTGCTTTTCGCACCACACCAGTGGAGGGTCTTTATGCCTTATCCGGATATTCTTTCTTGTATCATAGGATAATTCTCCATACTCTTAATTATGGAATATCCATTAAGTCAAAGCCTTTTTGGATTGACTATGGCAAGTTCCTCGACTTACAATACATTGAAAGGTATACTGTTCATCCTAAATACCAACGCCCTATTAATATTAGATACCACCTATTTTCCTCCCAACAAAACATTCCTAGTATTTCTGTATCCACGTTTTCCGACCCACTGCCTCCTCTATGGAAGGAGGATCCTATTGCAATTAATATGGAACTTTGTAAATTAAAAAAATCTCACTAGTATATATATAACTAGTCTAATACAAATTTTAGACGAAAAATATCGTGACTGTATTTGTTTTTACACAGAGGGCTCGAAATCTGACCAAGGTTATGGCTGTGCTTTTTACAGCCCGATTTCTAATAAAAAATCAGATTACCTAATTTCTCTGGCATGTTAGCAGCCGAACTCACAGCTATTTATCAGGCTCTTTTCCAAATTCGGAGCATGCTACCGATTGAAGTAATACTAATAATAAAACCCTATTTCTTATATTATGTGTATTTTGAACTGTTCTGTATATTATCATGATTTGATGTTGTTGACTTCTCTCTTGTTTCATTGCAGACTGCCAGATCCGCAATGTAAACGTGAGAGCAGTCAACAGCAAGAGAAGAAAACCCCCTTCTGCGTCATGCTTGTGAGTCTAAATGTCTCTAAATGTTTCACAGGCATCTCTTGCATGATAAGATACGCTTATGACATTAAAACTGTATTTTTTAGCGCCAAATTTCTGACAATGCTTCAAATAATAGCTTCTGTATGCATGAACAATTATTTTTTTGACTCAAACAAAACGTTTTTTTTTTTCTTTGTCCACACAAAGTTACAGAAAAAAACACACACGCATGTATGTTTATGTATGTTAAATGATTATCGATGTTAACGAACTTTGCGGGAACTCTTGCATTTTCCAAATGCTTGAGAAAATTTGACTAGATGTACCACGTCAGTTATATCGATTTTCCGTCCAAGGTTACAAACTTCGCCGGTTTTAATTAAATAAATTCATCGGAGTATAATATCTGCTTGAATTATTTATATTCGAAGACAAATTGATTGGTAGCGTCAGCAAAAATTAGTCCCGTTTATGAACATGCATTATTAAATTCTTATACCAGGATATTGTATTTTCTATAAATTTTTGATTATTTCGAATAACGTAAATTGTTTTGTTGCAGCTGCGCAGATCCCCCAACGAGGCAGTAAGTAAAATTACAGTATTTTTCATAAATATATTAAGAACATTCATATCTTTCGAATATCCTATACTTAAAAACTCTACACTCTACAGGGTGGTCCGAATTGTATTCAGGAAGCTTCGGCAGTTTATTCTGCAGATAAAAATAAGTAAAAAAGTTCGTATAAATTTATGTCCTAAAATGCTTCGTTTCGGAGATACAGGGTGTAGAAGTTTCATTTTTATTTCGATTTTTTTCATAAATACATTCGTAAATACTAATAACTAATATCTGATTCACTTAGTTTACTCAACAATATTGCTTCGTTAAACTCCAAAAACTCTCTAACCTGCAGCATTAGAAATCTGGTATATAAACTTACTGAAAGAAACTACAATATTAACTTTATGTGGATTCCTGGACTCTCTGACATTGCTGGTAACGACCGAGCAGACAAACTAACTAACGAGGCAACGATCTTACACAATATTGAAGGAACTCCATCCGCTCTCTCTCTACATAGAGAGAAAGCGTATATATGTTCCTTTTCTGCTACACAATTAACATAAATTTAAAGTCATTACCTCATATCCACAGTTTACTTCGGAAAGATCGGGACTCTTTTCCAATGAAAGACCTTCTATTCCAGCCAATAGCAGGACTAGGATAATTATTGTCCGTTTGTCATACATTCTTAAGCAACCCTACAAAACAATTATGTAATTTAAGCTCTCTTGAGGAATAACATTTTCTTAGTTAAAGAAAATCAGTAACTGATTTTACTATTTGTAATAAATTTAGTAATTAATAATTAGGTTAGTTAGAATCTTAATTCTGACTTTGAGTAATACATGGTAACCGTAAATATAAAAAAGCATAATTATTTTTAAATATCAAGTTTAATAAATATTTGAATTGAGCTTAATTACTTACATAAAAAGGTATATAGTGTAATAAATAATTTAACGGATATCGTCTTATATATAAGGATTCAAGATATTTATAAATCAAGATTATTCTAAACTTAACTTTTAAAATATCTATTTTGAGAATACACTTAAGTAGTTAATGAGTCTTGACCAAAATGTGTTATTGATTAGTGATGTTTTTTCCAAAATTCCATTGCATGATTTGTACATTGTATTTATTGATAGGTATTAATATTTGCTTTCTATTAGATCATTATATTATCTTGTCTATTATGTAAGTATATCGCTATCTCATCTTGGCTCATTTTTCTTTGTTATCTTTATTTAATTATGTGAGTTTGTGTATTCTACTTATCCCGATACTCTCATTTCCTGATCCTTGGTCCTAATGATCGTCCGTATAACATTATAGATTATCTTCCATTCATTTTCTTCTCCCATGATGTCCAAGGCAAAGTTCTCCAGAGTAAACCTGCCCAATTCTTTCTCATATATCTCTCTTGCGTCATGCCATTTAGGACAGCAAAAAGCATATGTTCCGCATCATCTATTGCTTCACAGTATTTACAAATCTCCGTATTTGATCTTTTCCTTTTATATAGGAATGCGTTGAAGCAGCCGTACCCCGAGAGGGCCTGAGTGAGGTAGTAGTCGACCTCCCCGTAGCGCCTATTCTGCCAATTGCTAATGTTTGTGATGATCCTATGTGTCCATCGGCCTTTTGTAATAGTTCTCCAGCGCCCCTGCCAATTGGCCATTGGGGAATTTCGCGCCGTGGCTCTGTCCTGTCCGTTGTATATGTTGGCTCTTTCATTGATAAGGAGGTCTATGGGTAATATTGCAGCTATTACTCCGACTGCTTTAGCTGAGATTGTCTTGTAGGCCCTAGTTATTCTAATGGACATCTGAATTCTGGTGAGTTTCCTGGTATCTTACTACTCGTTGCGTTATTCCACACTGGTGCAGCATAAATTATCTGGGATTGCATTACACATGCCAGTATTTTCCTTTTAGATTTGCTTGGAATAAGTCTGGAAAGGGAGGACATTGTTTCTTCCGCTTTTTTATGGTACTGTGTACGTGTATGGAGAAAGTTAAAATGATCTACCAGGTACAACTCGTGTCCCAAGCAGGTTAAAATGCACTTGTTTCAAGTTAGTCCATTTAGTTAGGAGGACCGCTTCCGTTTTTTCCGATGCGAGTCTGAGACAGTTTTTGTCCATCCAGTTTTGTCCATACATTAAGACCCTCCATTTCCCGACATTTCCCTAACCTCACTGCTATCAACTGATACCATTGCTATATCGTCTGCAAATCCAAAACAAACAAACAAAACAAACAACGCTTTATTGTGCAAAAAGCCAAAACAGCTTCATCGACAAAGCACTCACATCATCGACAATCACAAAAAAATACAAACAACAAAAAATACACAATACAAATAATACAATTCAAAAAAAATTAAGTCTTTAAAATTACAAAAAGAATATACATGGACAATTTTAGAACAGTACGCAGTAAATAGATATAATTTTAAAGTTATAGAATATTAAATACTTGACCTTTGACCAGTGTGTGAGATGGTCTAAATTTTAAAATTCAAAATTGTTCATAATCAAACATCAACAAAAAAGTCGTTTACCGCATATAGGGCTCTCTCCAGTAGGTATGATTTTAGAGCCTTGCGAAATGCGGGAAAGAATGAAAGCGATTTGATATTCAAAGGCAGATGATTGTACATTTTTTTGGCATTGTACAGTATTGAACCCTTAACTAGTTCTGAGCTCGGGGTTGGCAGATAAAGATCGTGCTCTGCATTCCTAAGTGGATAGTTATGAGATGGCCTTTCGGGAATAGCAGATATGTGCTTGCGGATTAAGCAAACGGATTCAAAAATGAATAAAGAAGGAAGAGTCAGTATTTTCAAATTTTTAAAGAAATTCTGGCAGTGAGTTCTACTGTTCAGTCCCAATAAATATCGAACTGCTCTCTTTTGAAGTATGAAAACACGATCAAATTTTGTTGCGCAGCAAGTACCCCAGAATGGAAGGGCATAACGAAGATGTGACTCAAAAAGGGCATAATAGGCTATTCTAGAGGTTGAGAAGTTAAGTTCCTTAGAAACTGATCTTAGCGCAAAACAGGCAACGCTTAGTTTCTTTGATAGAGCTTCAATGTGAGAGTCCCATTTTAACGAGTTGTCTACAAGAAGTCCTAAGAATTTCACCGAGTCCACGGCGTCAATAGTAGTGTTATTGAGTACAAAAGGTTGTATAGTACTTTTATATGACAAAACTTTAGTTTTTGATAGGTTGAGGCATAGGAGATTAGAATCGCACCAAGACTTAATGGTGCGTAAGTCATGGGATATAGTATCATATAGCGCCGCAACATCTGGGCCGCTCCAAGTGAAACTAGTATCGTCCACAAAGAGGCAGATTTTACCGCTAATGTCCAGATTTGCAATGTCGTTGATAAACACTAGAAACAAAATAGGGCCAAGTACTGAACCCTGAGGGACACCACATTCTATAGGCTTACAAGAAGACATAGACGTATCAATCCTCACAAGCTGCCTTCTGTTGCCAAGATATGACTTAAGCCATTCGAGAGGCACTCCCCTGAAACCATAGTATTGCAATTTGTTAATTAAGATATTTTGATTTACACAATCGAAAGCCTTAGAGAAATCACAGAAAATTGTTGTTGCTGTAGAGTGATGGTTATTCAGGCTAGAGTATACATTATTAAAAGGTCGAACATAGCATCATTTGTGCAACTGTTACTTAGAAATCCAAATTGATGGGTAGTAAGTATTTTATATTTAAGGAGAAAAAGATAGAAACCTTTTTTAACCAATCTTTCAATGATCTTAGATAATGTGGGCAGGAGTGCAATTGGGCGATAGTTCGAAGCTTCATCTTTATCACCTCCTTTATACAGAGGAATAATTATTGCTGTCTTAAGACAGTTTGGAAAAACTCCTTTTGGAATGACTCGTTAATTAAAGTAGTAAGATGGTTTAATGTGCATTCAGGAAGTTCAGAGAACATTTTGAGAGTAAGCCCATCAGTCCCAGATGAGGATTTGTTTTTAATACTATTAATTGTACTACGGAGCTCATCTAATACTACGGGCGTGAGGAAGAAACTGTGTAAATTCTCATTTGCTTTAGGGAGATATGAAAGTGAATCATGGGAAGGAGTTATGGTGTTCACTAAATTTTTAGCCACATTAACAAAGTAAGTGTTTAAATCTTCAGGTGAATTAAAGACTGTGCCAGACGAAGAAGTCTTATTCCTTAAGTCATTTACAATAGCCCAAGTCTCCTTAGCGACATTACCGGCTTTGGCTAGCCTCGCATTATAATAAATGTCCTTGGCAGCTTTCATAGTCTTACGATAAACCTTTCTATAAAGTTTCACGTAATTATGAAAGAAGACGCTGTCCGTGAATTTCTTAAGCGTTAAGCATTTCTAAGCTTAAGATCCAATTAGCGTTACGTCCTTTGGCATCTCCGTTCTCAATAGATCGTCATACAAGACATTCCATAGAAATGGCCCAAGAACTGAGCCTTGAGGTACGCCACTACTCAGTTCCAAATTCTTATTTGCGTCTTCGTACTGCACAATCAACTCACGCTCACTCAGGTATCATTTTACCAATGCTAAAAGGCTTTCATCTATTCCTCGCCCCCTTAACTTGTCCAGAATTAACTGCCATGAAGCATTGTTGAATGCATTCTTCACGTCCAGTGTGATGACAGCTTATAATATATTTATATATTAAAAGCTATATATATGAGGCGTCAAGTTGCAAAACACGTCTTATCCCACAAACGTTGTGTCAAGATAACATGCAAAAACTGTTTTAGCATATGTTTGAAGCGTTAGTTTACAAAAAAAACGTGTCCATTGAGTGGAATCATTATTTTGTGTTTTATTTGTCTAGAAATAAAAATTAATATTTAATTTTTAAACAGAAAAAACACAAAAATAATTCAGATAAGGCGGGTTTTGTTGCAGTATGATGGATATTGCGGGTTTTGATACAATATGATCATGAAATGATTTGAAAAGACGTCAGTAGTAATATTATACTTGTGTAAAAAGCTTATAAAAATGCAGGATTTGTAACAATAACGACAATAAAAAGCTATATAAGTAGATAAGACGGATTTTGCTGTAGGAATGTAATTTGTAGTAAATTTTATACAGGAATAGGCGACTTTTACTGAACTTTGGGATTATGTTTATGTAGATTTCAGGGTCCCACTATTAATATATGTCATTAGATATGTAACAGTAAATTTATTTTATTTTATACTGTATCGTAAAACATATCTTTACATATCTGATTTCAGTCAGGAGAATAAGGTTTCTACAGTAATTTTTTTTACCGGACTAGACCGGTAAATAGTTGAAGCTAACTTATTATCCCGTTTCCATTGATCAAATACAGGAAATTCTGGCTGGGAAATGGCGATCGATAACATTTCCCATATAAATTTACATATAAAATGACAGCAATCTTTATTTCATAGCTATCGCTTCCGCCGTTTTTTTTTCGATCATACGTACGATCCTAATGCATTTTCTGGTATCAATTACTCACCGAGTGTCAATAATCGTTTTCTCCATGACTTTTTTTGAAATATGATTTTCAGTACTTATCAACTTCACTGATATTTAAGTGACAACTTTGACGTAAATAAAATTAGAACAGTTGCGCTGTATTAGGTGGATATGCCAAAGCATTCTGCACCAAATTCAAATTTTATGTCAGTACTGATAATGTTTTCATCAGTAAATACTATAATATATACTATATAAATTTAAATGTATTACAAATATATAATAATTTGAAAAAAGTACAGTAATATGAAATTGCATGAATAATGTCAACACTTATCGAGGATTCAAGATATATTTAATTTACTTGATAAGCGTCAATATCTGTTCAAATTGATTATGAGTTTTGGGGATGATTCTGTATCTTATTTTTAAAGAAATATTTTAATGTCGTTTATAATGAGTTTTTTCCAATTAACCGGATATAAAAAAAAACACTACAACTAAGTATTAGTATCATCTATATTTAATTTTCAATATTTTTAGTGTATTTAAATCCTCTTAATTTCAAGTACAAATGTACGAATATCACTTGGATTTAAGACTACTTCAAAAGCATTTATATTGTCATTCAGAGCCACATTGCCAACATTTTCTTCCTTATTATTCCACTTTTCATTGATCAAATTAGCGTACTCAATATCTGTATTTTCATCATTGTAAAGAAGATCTTCTAACGTACCAGTTGTATTGAATCTTAGACGTTCGTTATCTTTTAACCATTGATTAGCTCCTAAAGTTGTTTCTTGAAGAGATACAATTTCAAATTGTACAAATAAATTCTAAAACAACACGATTTTATATTATGCAATACAGAAAATGACAGACTTACTTTTAAACTAATGCTGACTGGTTGAGACAATGCTTGATCTTCATCATTTTCAAAAACGTGTTCGAGTCTTAAAAGTACACTTGAATTTTTCCATGGTTCTAATGTTAGTATTTGAACATTATTAGGTAGAGAATTATTAATCCCAGAATACTAAAAGAGTAATTTAAATATTTTTATACAGTTTCATATAACTACTGATTATTGTACCTCCATGACATAATTTGTCTTATAATCTTCAAAACTCTGTCTTAAGGGAGTAATAAAAGTCCATGTATCCAAAAGTCTTCTTTGAGCGATATCTCTTTCGACAGACGAAATTGATTTCCCTAAGTTTTAATAAAAATTCTTCTGAATGTTTTCAAATAATAAACAAAACGCCTAACTTACCACCTTCAGGATTTAAGTAACCTGCAGTTATATAATGAGATCCCCTTATTACTAGTCCAGTGTCAAATGCTTTTTCATTTAAGGCTTCACTGACACCAAAGTCATCATCATGAATACAACTTCTGTGAATCATTAGCTCAATTTCTCCATCTTTTAAACTCGATCCCCCTTGAGCTCTATCATTGAGTACAGCAACTTCAATACCTGCTTCTTCATCTCTAATTGATATTTTGGAGGTTATCGGGTAGTAATTTCCAGATTCCGGTTCTGTATTTTCTAGCTTCCAAGTAGGTCTAAAATCTCTAATTCTCTTTAGCATTTCTTTTCCATTGGAATCTGTATAAAACGTTGCGTTTGATGTTAAGTTGGTTGAATATTTTGTAACAATTTCAATTCCATTGGGACCACTAAAGTAAAAAAAATGTAAAAGGTTTAAATTAAAAATAGCCGACAACTTACGTATCTGGAATTGGTCCAATTACCCAATCAAATTCAATATAATTTTCTACTTTATTGACTCTTGCGGTCTGACTCACATAATCGCTGAATTTTTGTCTAATTTCAAAGACTAGCGACCCCTCGTAAGAAGTAACTTCCGCACGTTCAGCAATTTTTTTAATCTCACCGTCTGGTCTAAAAACGTAGGCACCAGATGATCTATTTTCAGGATGTTGATTATCTCCTACGAAACCATTATAAAAATAGAAGTTTTGTCCAAAAGGAATAGATATGTTGTTAAGAGTAATTTTATTGACTAATCCAGTATCTTCGTCAATGTCAAACGATGTCGTTGAGTTCTAAAATAATTTTGCTTAGAAGTTAAATAATTTATTACAGAAAGAAACTGCTTACTTTAAGTTTGATAGATGATTTTTTGGTGTCGTTTAAGCTAATAATGAAAGATTTCCAACCCAAAGGTGGAATACTCTTTCCGATAAAGTAAAGATCATGGGTTGCGTTGCTTTCTCTTCCAGGGATATTTTTTATATAGTCCGGTATAGGAAAAATGTCAGACTCCAAAATATTTCCTAGAAAGTATACATATATATATATATTTTTTTTTCTTCTGTTTTTAGTTGTTTTTTACCATCTTTGTCCTGAATATTGTAGTTACTTCCAGTTACAGGCAATGTAATCAGTTTATCAACAGATCTACTTAGTGGGTTGTAAAGAGTAACTACAAAATTTTCTAATGTTTCGGTAACTGAACATTGACTTATGTTAGCAAGTAAACATGTCTTGAAAGTAGCTTCAGTAGTATTTGAGTTAGAGTTTATTAATTTACTGAAACATTTTGTTAAAAGTTTTAAGTTAAAAGTTATTTTTATATTTTTTTACTTTAAAGCAGTATTAGCCAGATTTTCACATTCGTCAATTGCTCGTTGTAGCTGTCTGGCATAATCATCTGCTACATGTTGCTTTTCGGTCCCAGCTACAGCATCGTGATGCTGTAAAATTCCCATTATTTCCCTCAAATCACTAAGCTCTTCATTGTCATCTGATCCTAAATCTGCTAAAGCATATAACTGTTTACAGACCTAAAATTTAATTTGTAATATTATTAATTCGATTGGTCGTTACATGATCATTTTGTTCAGATTTTTAGGAAAATGTACATATTTAATAGAATTACGATCGTGATACCTAGCGCTTACATCTAGTGTCCTAAAATTTAGTTTGACACGCGTGCTATACTCTTAACGACGTCACGATTGAATTTGAGAGTTTGGTATTTGTTGATACGACTATACGACGCATATTAACCCTTAAGTACTAACACCCCGTCTCACAGACGCAACGGACTAGCTGGACATATGACATCTCCTCTCCTCTCCGCTTCTAATTATCATCCAACTCTGTAATTCAATACGCACCAAAACAAGTTAAAGGCCGGCAGGGCAATTTGGGAAAGTGTGCAGTTTTCGAAATATTTTAGTTCAAACTGTCGATGCCGTCTGACAGACGGAGTGTTAGCGTTAACGTATTTTTTTTTTAATTTGTGGAATGAATCAAGCACCTAGTAGCTCAAAACAGCTCAGTGAAGTATGGTGAGCAAAATTACAAGGGGGCTCTTCTAAAGTGGTTTGAAGAGACTGGCAGCGATAATAGCAAAATATTGACATAGAATCTGAATGTGGCGAAAATGTTGCCATAGAGAGCGATCATAATTCTGAATTCGAATTAGAAGGTAAAAAACGGTTTTTAACTAATATCTAACGGTATGTAGCTGTGTATGTTTTGTTATAGATGATGAAAATATGGATGTGAACGATCAGTAGACTAATATTGAAGAAAGTGAAGAGAACAATTTGTTTAGAATGCGCAAAAAAGTGTGTAGGGAACAAGCTCATCTTTAGGCACTGTCATTTTTTTATTCTTTATATTTTCTTTGCTTTTTGTGCTTAATAGATAGGTTTTTATCTTTTTATATACTATATAGAATAATAAATATATTTATAAATTAATAAATAATATTTTCTTGCCTTTAGCTGTGTATTTTTTTTAATTAATAATTTAAATTTTTAATTTTTTTTAATTAATAATAAAGTAGAGAAAAAAAATAAAAAGTGAAAAGAAAATTGTTTTGCTTTGTTCCTTGTCGTAAAGGGGGGGTTTCTGGGCCTACCCTTCATCAGGGGTGGTTCTCACCGATACGGCAAGCAAAACTTCTTCTATATCAACAGACGATGTCGTAAAGTGTCGGTGAGATATTAATGCATCCCCCGTCAAAAGATGGTAAAGAGCGTTTTTCGGCCCGCTCAAATATATATGAAATGAACAAAATTCTTACAGCTTTAGAATATATTAATAAATAAATAATATTTTCTTGCCTTTAGCTGTGTATTTTTTCTAATTTCAAAAATCGAAAGTAGAGAAAAAAAATAAAAAGAAAATTGTTTTGCTTGTCGTAAAGGGGGAAACCAAGCTCCCATAACCCGTTTTTTTTTGACGAGAGATGCATTAATATCTCACCGACACTTTGCGACATCGTCTGTTGATATAGAAGAAGTTTTGCTTGCCGTATCGGTGAGAACCAGCCCCTGGACAGCCCACCTGATGAAGGGTAGGCCCAGAAACCGGTTGTGGGAGTGGAGCTTGATTCCCTCCTTTACGACTAGCAAAACAATTTTCTTTTTACTTTTTTTTCTCAACTTTCGATTTTTCGAAATTAGAAAAAATACACAGCTAAAGGCAAGAAAATATTATTTATTAATATACACTAAAGCTGTAAGAATTTTGTTCATTTCATAATAAATATATTTTTTCATTTTCCTTTTGTTTTATTTTGGATCTCGATGAGAAATAAAGATATGTCAAAAATTCAAAACTAGTACTTGACAGAGAGCTATATGGAGAGTACAGTCTCCAAGTTGCAAGACTTTTTGAGAAGAATAGGACTGGATGATGTAACCTTAGGATGTAACCTAAGGATCAGTAGAAGATCACAATAGTTCTGAAAAGGTCGCAGTTGATCAGGCCGATAACTATGTCGAAGAATCGAATAATTTTTTGGTAAACTTTTGAAACTTAAGAGCGATAATAAAAATCGTTAGTTTTTATGGATCTAGAACACATATTCGCCTTTTATTCCATACGATTTAAAACACAAATGCACCTTTTATGCTAATTAATAAGGATATATCATCTTGTATCTTGTGTCTTCTGATCAGAAGAACTCTTTGATACTCTTGGAAACTAAGTTTTTTCATAACATACTGAACATTTTACATTATTCATCTATCCTGTTAATATTGTCACTGTCGAGGAAGATAAAAAATTGTAGAAAGTATTTTTGTTTAGTTAAAAGAGGCTTAAGTTCAATCTTAATTTTAAACATTTCTTCTCATTTACCAGAAAAGATGTTATTGTAAATAAAGAAATTTATATTTTTTGTCACTATGTTAGATTTACAGAAATCGGGATAGAATGTAAAATGGAATTTAGCGAATATTAGCAGAATATTGTGCTAGGTTTAAAATCACATCACAGATTTTAAACCTAGCATAAATGCCAAATTATACATTTTTGAGGAAGAAAAAAAAACAGTTTTGAACGAATGTTATGTTTTGAACATATTTCATCAGAAATATGTTCATATTCTGTTCATATTTCTTCTCTTCGTATATTAATACGAAGAATGAATATCTAATAATTAAGGCATTAAATAAAAAACATGGCTTGAAGGAACGATAAACAAAGTTTATTACAAAAAATATTTAAAAGTCAGTCTAATGCCAAAACGTTGCAAGTTATTATAAACATGCAAGTAAAAACGTTAATGACTATATTTTTAATCGTTGATTTCGGCAGTAGAAACTTGCCCTACGTAACCTAATTTATCTTTAAAGAAGTTTTTATCATCACCGTGCAGTATGAGAGCATTTTTTTAATACACGCTTCCTTTTTTTCCGTAATACCAAAGCGAGTTCTAGTTTTTTTGGATCTGCGGCTGCGTGCCATTAACGCCTTCTAATGTAGTACCAGACTTAAATATAATGGTCTGACTTCACCGATCTTGCTCAAACGTTTAGCCACCATCATCGTACCAAATTTCTCTTTTGTAGACCGAAGCTGCGAATAAACTTGCACTGTGATATTTACAACGTTACGACTTGTATAGCCACGCTACCCCCAATTTTCAGGTCGCCGCGCGCTGTCAACGATATCATCACAAAATAAATTTAGGCTTTTAACATGGCATTTACAACTGTTTTCCTATTAAGAGTCTCCTAACTGTTTTTCTATTAAAGCAACATAATAGGAAATATTGGCACTTACAACGTTATGGAAATGCATGCTTTAACTTACTTGAAGAAAATTGTTTCCAATTCTTTCATAACGCTTGATCGCAGGTCTCGAGGTAAAGTATCCCGTCCAGTAAGTGTGATTTTGCGATGCGTAAGGGAAGAAATCGTCTTTCTTCAGCAACCAGTTACTATTGTTTTTAGTTTCATCATAGACGGCTTTAACGTAACAAGATGGTGTCGAGTATAACAAGTTGAACTTTGATCCGGTGCTTTGACGTTCATTAGTGTAAAGTAGTAAATATGTTCTAAGTAAGTGTAATGGCAGAAGTATTACCGTATAAGTTTATCTAGATTTTTAAACCAAACTTCAGCATCTTGATAATGGAAATCCTCACCCATTGTAATCAGAATATTATTCGTAGTATAAATTTTGCTTACATTTGTAGCATAAGCCAAAAAGTCATCTACCTGAAATGATTTTATTGTTTTAATTAATAAACAGTGTTCTTAATTAATGTTTTTATGACAGATTTTTTTGAAAAATCCAGGTTACTGGAACAGATTAAAACAAAAACAAAAGCTATTTTTTGTAAACCCCCACTGCGTAGAATCCAAACAGAAAGCAGTCATTACACTACAACAAAAATCCATAACGTTTCAGAAGGCATATCTCTTCCCGGCGTCAGAAGCAAAAAGAAAAAGAATAAAAACCAATGAAATGTTAGAGGCCTTAACTTGCAAAACCCGCCTTATCTATTTGTTTTTAAAAATGGCCTAATGACATATGTTAATAGTAGATGAATAGGACCCCGAATTGAATGGAAATCTACATAAACATAATCCCAAATTGCAGTAAAAGTCGCCTGTTCCTATATAAAATTTACTACAAATTACGTTACTGAAGGAAAATTCGTTTTATAAACTTATATTTGCGTATTATTGTCATTATTGTTACAAATCCTGATTTTTTTATAAGCTTCTTATACAAGTATAATATACTACTGACGTCTTTTTAAATCCTTATTTAATTTTAATAAAATAGTATATTTAATAAATCAAGTTAGGATGCAAATACCGTATAATCGAAAAAAAACGGCATCCAGTTGGCTAGGAAATGACGATCGATGACATTTCCCATATAAATTTACATATAAAATGACAGCGTTCTTCTTTTCATAGACATCACTGACGCCTTTTTTCTTGGTCATATTGTATCAAAACCCGTAATGAGCATCATACTGCAACAAAACCCGGATAATCCGAACTATTTTTGTGTTTTTTTTTCTGTTTAAAATTAAATATTAATTTTAATTTCTAGAAAAACGAGATACTGAATGATTGATACGTGAATGATTCCACTCAATGGATACGTTTTTGGAAATGAATGCTTCAAATATTTGCTAAAACAGTTTTTGCTTAATATTTCGACGTTTTCGTCGTTTGTGGGATAAAAAAAAAAGAATTTTGCAACTTGACGCCTCGTTTGAATCTTACTACTACGAGAACACTTTTTATATTTATATGTATATGTTTTAATAGTTAGTATGTTTACGAGTAAAAAACTACTTAGAACACATTTGGATTCTACACAATGGCATTTTATATAATATAACTTCTTTTTAATTTTTTAGACTTCTTTTGCTACCGGCAAAATATTATTGGTACTGGAGTTTGGTAGTGACCATTTCTCAAGAAACTATGCTTTTATATTAATATATCTTACTCTTTTGTCTACGTTGTATTCAAAACTTTTTTTGTTGTCTATAAATGGTTCATCGCTGCATAATATGTCAAAACAGAAGCCTGGTGGTGGTGAGTACGTGTTATATAATATTCCAGAAAATATGTCGTTGGATTCTCCTAAAAATATGTTAGTTTAATCCTATTGATCCTTCCATATAGAATATTTAAATTATAATTAACAAGTATTTATTTCAGATGTTCTTTGCTTTTAATGAGAATAATGTCTAAATTCATTCTTCCTATCGAAATTTTAATCTTAATTGTTTTTATATTTACTGTAATTACTTTGTCTCTTGATTCTTAAAATATAGTTCTATTTGTCATTTTTACGATTTCCATAGGGTAGTCCTTATGTAGAATGTTTAGGAAGGGAGTTAATCACCGCGGCCTTACAAGTCTATTGTGTGTTCCCCTTTCTTGAGTTATCTTCTTCTTACAGTACCATATTCTATACAGAGCGTCGGCTACCTCTCGCATGTACTTGTGATGTGGGTCATCAGTGTTTCACAAGTACACGGACCTACAGTTTATCACCAAATCCGAACGGCATTATTTGAGATGCTGTCCAAAGCAAATATACTCAAGATGGTTTGCCATTGCCTTCCTTGAGGTGGCGGCTCGTTGGTCACTCTATTTAGTTAAATCAATATTTTTATTTAAATAAATAATGCGACCGTTCTGGCTGAGGATCGAACCCAGTACCATCGCATCTCTCGCACCGCAGATCGACACACTAACTGCTTGCGCTACGGCCGGCCACCTCACTTTCTTGAGTTATAACGAGTTATAATTCGTCATACAGGCTCAGGGCTTTAATAAAAGCCAGTATTTGAGACGGCGCCATAGAGGCCAGCTCTCCATCTTCGATATCATCCGCACAAAAGTTTTTGGCACGAACGCGTCGTTTCGGCGCACTCAGTGATAAGATGTTCTGGTGTTTCCCCATTTTCCCCACAGAATCTGCATTCGCCGCTGTTTTTCAGCTTTCGCTTACTGAGGTGTTCATTGAGAATACAGTGTCCTGTTAGAAACCCCGTGACAATCCGAAGATTGTTTTTACTTATATCAAGTAAAATCTTTAGAAGAACCATTCTGTATACTTACCAGACCACAAAAACCAGAAAGTGGAGTGAGAACTGAATTTATAAATCACATTGGGTAACCAGTGACGTGCGGTAAAATTTTAGAAGAGGAATATAATATAATTCGATAAAGGTAATAAAAAAAGAGACATTTTAGATTAGATATCATTTACTACCTAAATTCATATTAATTCTTACGTAAATTATTAATTAAAACTTGGTTTCATTTTTTCTCACTGTATAGGGAAGCACCGCTTTCCCAGCTTCAAAGGACTGAACAACCCCCCGTGGTGATCACAATTTAAGATACACATTAGCGTTGATTAATGTATCTCAAATGTGATCCCCACGGGCGGGGGGTGTTCAGTTCAGTCCATGTCATATGTTGGGACAAGATGAAACCAACTTTTTAATTAATAATACAAACCAAGAATTAATATGAATTTAGGTAGTTAATTATATCTGATCTCAAATCTTTCTCTTTTTTATTACCTTTATCGAATTATATTATATTCTTCTTATAAAATTTCACCGCACGTCACTGGTTACCCAATGTGATTTATAAATTAAGTTGTGCCTATTATACTATTATTAGTAAGGTAAGGATATTATACCTAAACTGCTACTTCCCCTCCATAGAAATTCGGGTGTTTGAGTTTGCCATCGGTAGTTCTTATCCTGGAAGTCGATTCTACCTATAAGATAAGCATCAAAGCCAAGTTGGGCAAATATATTAGCCATTTCTTTGCTGTGACCAAACGGATCTATTTGCCATCCAATTTTCGGACGACCACATTCTCCAAAAGTATCATTGAGTTTTCTATAACACATGCAGATTTAATGGAAACATTAAATTAAAAAACGATTTATTAATTAACCTTAGTCCCCAAGTCATTTGATCAATGATCGAGTGGTAATGAGTAGCAGCTTCGTCATTCATGCTCCATCCTCCTCCTATAAATTCCAGTCTGCCTGTGTTAACGAAGTTTTTTACTTCTTCTTGTACACTCTCACTTTGTTGTGTCCACCATTTCCAGAAGAATGCTGTTTCTACATATATAAACCTAAGAAACAACTTTAAATCAGAATTAATTTTTTTAGAGGGATTTTTTAATTACTAAATAAAATTAAAATAAATAAAATTCTTCGAAATAAAATGAGTCCTAAATGCATTCGCAAATTATGTAAACTTAGAACACAACCGTCCTCTAGCAGACATGCCAAATTTTTTTTGTGACTTAATCCGATTTGAAAGTGGGTTTTCATGTATTCGTTCGTAATATCCGATGGAACTTCGTAGGCACAATGGCATCTTAACTGATAGAGAACAAAGGTACCTTTTAACTACTGACTAACGAACAGGTCGATGCCGAGTAGTGATGGGCATTACGATTCTTTTTAGTGAATCGAATCACACGATTCAATTTCGCATTGAATGCCGAATCGACTTCTACGATTCATTCACTACCGGCGATAATTTGGTAGGACAATTACTTAAAGGATCAGAAAAAGAAATATACAGTTCTTTCATTTGTTTTTCAACACTTTATGGCACTGGCGTAATTGAATTGGTTATTTTACCAATAATATTAAATTATCAATCCAATTCATATATACTATTTATTAAAGAGTTTTTAATACCAATTTAATATTTTTAGAGCATATTTTAATTCCGATTTAATAATTATATAATAAATAGTATATAATACTGCATGATAAAAAAAATGGCATCCAGTTGGCTTGGAAATAAGCATCGATGACATTCCCCATATAATTTTATATATAAATGACAGCGACCTTTATTTCATAACCATCGCTGACGTCGTTTTTTTATCATATTGAGCAGAGGCCAGCAATATTTATTTGAAGTTGTATAAAAAGACGATTTCGTCTTTTAGTCTGATATCCAATGCTTTATAGTTGGTGCATATTTTTTAACAAAAATATTAACGTGAAAATTAAATGCATTACAGATACTCCCATACTTAGCCCAGTATAAATAAGTTTTTTTCTTATAAATAATTTTTCTTATTATTTGCATTTTATGTCTATGATGTTTGTTAGGGACTTTGTTCAACACTAAATATTGGTATCCCACTCTATGCATATATTACCGCCGCGCCGTAGAAACGAACTAGTCGCATTGTGATCAGATTCAATTCTTACGACTCTTTTTTACGGCTCATCTTTCAAATTCTATGGATCCGTGCTGGCCACGATTCATTTGAACGAACCGGATTGTAAGCAATGAATCAATTCTCACAACTCTTTGAATGAACAATCCGTAGAAACTAGAAATTCCGATTCAATTCTTACGACTCTTTTTTACGGCTCATCGTTCAAATTTAATGGATCCGTGCTGGCCACGATTCAATTGAACGAACCGGATTTTAAGCAATCAATCAATTCGCACGACTCTTTGAATGAACAATCCATAGAAAGTAAAAAACGAACCATCGCATTGTGATCCGATTCAATTCTTACGACTCTTTTTTACGGCTCATCGTTCAAGTTTTATGGATCCGTGCTGGCCACGATTCAATTGAACGGATCGAATTGTAAGCAATGAATCAATTCTCACGACTCCTTGAATGAACAATCCGTAGAAAGTAGAAACGAACCATCGCATTGTGATCTGATTCAATTCTTACGACTCTTTTTTATGGCTCATCGTTCAAGTTTTATGGATCCGTGCTGGCCACGATTCAGTTGAACGAACCACGATTCAGTTGAACGAAGCAATGAATCAATTCTCACGACTCTTTGAATGAACAACTCTGAACAATAATACAACACCGTGCTGGCCACTATTCAATTGAACGAACCATATTCTAAGCAGTGAATCGAATCTCACGATTTATTTTTAATAGTTGTTCAAATGAACGACTTGTTCAATCCTTGCCCACCTCTAATGCCGAGACGTCGTTTTGTTGGGTAATATAATTCGCATGCAATTTACAGAAAATTTGTAAATTTACCGAAAAAGTGCAAATTTACAGAAAAAGTGTAAACTTAAGTTTGCTTTCGTAGGCTTGATTTGATTTGAAATTTATATTGAATCTTATAATTATAGCCAAAATTACCTCCTGTCTTCACTTTTCCTTAGAGAATCTACTACAGTGTCTAAGATGTATTGCACCCCGGCTTTTTGAGTCGCTGTGTTACCTATACAATATTAGATGTAATAAAATATATAATACATATTTGATTTTAGAATAATACTTCCGTAGTAATATTGATCAACTGTTTTGAGCCAACCTACGTCATCGTGGGTATGTGGGATAATATGGACATTAATGAAACCATCTTTCACAGGATTGCAGGACTACAAAAAAGGAAAATATATAGAAATTAATTTTAATATAAATTATATATAATAATATAGTTTATTATTATATTTATAATAATATAGTTTATTATAGAAATTCCTTTTTATTAATTTATAGTAATTAACATTTCACTTCGAGTTGAACCAGGTCTGGCGAAGGACTTAACAGAATCTCAGCTATTCATAATTATTTGAGTCTTTGTTAAAAATTATAAAAATTACACTGAGTTTAATATAATTTGTTCCAGTGGGCCGATTTTAATTATTTTTTACGTAATTTTTAGAGTCTAATCCCCATCTGCCCATTATACGAGGCAAATCAAAATGTCAAGTCCTGTTAAATGGTCTATTTGTAAACCATTTTATCATCAAGTGCTTTTTTTTCTTCATAGTTTTTTTTGACTCAATAAAAAAAGATTTTATTTTTTCCTAATATCGCTTACATGAAAAAGTCATGTTATTATTGATATTCATTATTAATAATTATTTGTTAGCTACTGTTTACTCTAGGAGATATTTTTTTAGGTTTTGAGAAGTTGATCTCTATTATGTTGTCTTTAAATATTAACATTTGTTGGAAGTTACAAAAATAATAAACACTAATTCAAATGTGTGTTGATGAGGACAAAATTCTTCAAAAGCGAATATCTCCAATAAAAAACAAATTAAGATCAATCAAAACACATTAAGAAAATATTCACCTTGATAATAAATTTGTTATTAAATTCCTTACTATGTTAAACCATTCCACAGGGTGTTTCCAACTTTTGTCAAAATAACAACATTGCTTTTTCCAAATATAATAAACAGATCGGGACATTAATTCTTAATTTGAAAAGAAACTAATATATCAAATAATAAGAAATAACAGCTTTCTTTTAAGGTTTATTTGGCATTTCTTTTGACGATTTTGGATTTATAAATTTGGAAAGACATTGTATTAAGACTTGGTATTATAGTGAGATTATTATTAATCTTTTAAAGATGCTTCACCAGTTAGATAACTTGTGCAGCGAGCGATTATTTCTACAGTAAAAAGAAAAAATATTGGAAAACTTTTATGTTACTTAACTAAACCGTCAAAATCATGAAATTCGTTTAGGCATAACTAAAAAAATGTCTTTACAGAAGATCTGAATTAAAATAAGCTATTATTTTACTATTTTTTATATTACCTTATATCCATTTGACACATTTCACTTCTTTGATATTATTATTGAACCAAGGTAAACTCGTTGCACCAATAAAAAGATAAAACACTACTACTAGTGTTTGCCTGAAATTCATACTGAAATCCAAAAGTTCCTATTCAATAGAAGACAGAAATGAGAAATATACACCTTAAATTTTTACCTACTTTTTACTTACATACAGGAAATACAACTGTGTATATGTATAGAGACTATAATCGTTAATCTATTTAATAAGAGACGAAACGTTGATTTTAGTCTGACATAATTTGAAGAGGGTACTTAAGCATATTAGATGATATATAAAAACACTTTTTTTTCTTTTTAAATGCAGTACTTAAAATTATCAGGTATTTGTTTGTTTCTCAAAGAAAATTTAGTTTAATGTTCGTAAAATCTTTATAATTAATTTAATAACTTTATAATTTATTTTTTAGTTAGAAAATATGTTTTTTTGTAAAAGTACCAACGGAGTTTTATACAATTTGAGAAGTAGACACTTTCTATTTTGTATTAGGTATATTGCAATTTGGATATTATATTTCGATTTATAGTCTAAATAAGGAAACTATAGTAAGATAGTTCACTTAGATTGAGAACAACGATAGATTACTATTCCTAGATGTAGATGTAGAATGACTGCGAGGGCAACATCCTCCTCTGACAACAACTGCTCTTCTTCCGAGGGTATACGCCCTCCCACGGTTGGGGATTGGCTCTCCGTGCCCTTCATAGCGGAGGAGTTTGTCTCCGGCTGAGGTACCCGTGAGGTGTGTCTCTCCATATACCTGACACCGGTATTGTTCCAAATCTATAATAGAAGATATGTCCCTTTTTCTCTATTGCCCCCTTGAATTTGAGGTAAATACCTAATGTAAAATACCTGACCATGACCCTCCTTCCTCGAGATGATTACTCTACCTACTCGATGTCCTTACATTAAGTGCTGCCTGGATAAGGCTCAACAGGTAGGTGGTGCTTTTCCCCTTGCTCCTTGACAGAAAGACCATGATGGTCGCCCCTTTTGGGATGTTTTCTCCCTGCAATCAGCCCTGGCCCTTGCTAATTCTATGTATTAGTTCTTAGAAATACTAATAATTGCTTGGAATTTGGTATCTATAGAAAAAAAGACCACTACAGACATTCCTAATGATTCTGAATGAGAATACTATCTATGATACTATTGAACATAAGATGGCTAGTTTAACTTTCTTAGTTCATAGATTACTGACCAGAGCCGCACGCGCCGCATCGACCGAAGAAAAATATTGTTTGTGTTACTTTCAATGAAGGTGCGCACACTAGCCAGAGCCGCACGAATCGCATCGACAAAAATGCGGCCAGCATTGTTGGGCCAGAATGATTTTCGATAAATGCGGCTAGTGCTGCTGACGTCACACGCAATTCCTTCCACTCTACATAGGTAGCCGAAGAGGAGATTAGAAATTCAATATGCTAAGAAAGTTCGCAAATTTTTCATGGCTCATATTGAACATTTTTTAGTTCATCCTCAATTAAATATGGAAATAATTTGGATTTTTGCAAATATTGTGAAGATATAACTTTCGATTCTTTCTCGTGATTTCTTCTTCTTCTATTAGCAACGAGCTTATAATTATTTCTTGTTCGTTGTCATTCATTGTCAAGATATATTAAAAGACACGCTTATCACCGCAGACAAGACTCTGGAAGCGACTGATGAGAAATTCGATTGGCAAATACGGGTGTAGTATGGACAAAAAGAAACAAAATAGCGAATAATGCGGCACGTGTGGCGCGTTCGGTACGGCTCAGTGTGCGCGACAAGAAAAAAAAGTGCGATACGTGCGGCGATTGCGGCGCTGGTCAGTGTGCGCGTACCTTAAGTGTAATGCATATTCTCCTTCATTAGTTGATAAAACAATTAGAAAACGTAGGTAACGTTTTAGTTTACCAGTTCTGCGAATTTTACTTTTCAACTGGAGAAAGATACGTCAAACTGTATTTCAATACCATTTGACAGGGAGTTATCCCGTGGTATAAAAATAATTTTTAAGAATGTTAATTATAAACTTTTATATAGCGCTCATAATAAATTACAACTATTAGATAATCCTAAAGATAAAACACCTCCACTTCATAGGTCGGGTATTTATGAAATTTCATGTAAAAATTGTAATCAAAAATAATAATTGTTGGGCAACTAAATCAATCAGATTTAAAGAACATATATGGCTCAGATAAGATATATGGTAGAGCAAATAAATCTTGTGTTGCTCAACATATGTTTGATAAAGATCAAAAGAGATAGATGTTAATAACTTAAAATTATTCATACAACTCTCAAGTTACAGACAATTAGATGCATATGAGAACGTCAAAATAAATAAATGTATAAAGAATATATGAACAGAGGTAATGGTCTAATTCCTTACAGTTCTCTGTCCCCTCCCTTTAGCCTCGGTAATTAATTGTTACGCTCGATTGGTTTTCACGCGCTTGGCAAATTTTGTCAGTTTAATTTGATGCTAACATGGTTAGCGAAACGAGCGTTCAGCGTTAAAAGCGTATTGTGGTGAATTAGTTTTATATTTTGCTGGGATAATTCACAATTACAAAAATAAATCTTGTAATTATTTCGTTAAAATATAAAATTTTAGACTACTAAATAATATAGGCGCAATATATTTTAGTCATTTAACGGTTAATTATTACTTGATTAAATTAATGACGTAGATAATTTGTTTATTTGCCGTAAAAATTGAAACTGAAACTTAAATTACTGTGCATTTATTTTACAACAATAAAACTTGACGCTGTCATCAAATTATTATGCCGTTTTTGATGGGAAGATATACAGGGTGTCTTTTTTATATGTGCACTTATTTTAAGGGGTGGTAGATATGAATAAACATATTTTTTATTTTTTAAACATAAATTGACAATAACGATATGATTAAAATAATTTTTTGTGTAGAGAATTAAGATCACTGTGAACTTATAAACGCAAAAACAAGCATAATGTAGTTAACATATAAGAGGGAATATTGAAATAAATCTAGTATGATAGACAAACTAATATTTTTAGTTTATTGTTTATTATCACAGAAATAAATTTAACAAATATATAAGATAGGTATATAAGTTTCTAATAAATTGATTATAGTATATATTATTGTGTTTTATTTAGTGACATTTTAGATATTAAACTTTCTTAATATCTATTATGAAAGTACGAATTTGGCTTGGGTTCAGAACTATTTCAAAATTCTCCATGTTATCTTCTGCGTCTATAATCACTTCTCTTTTGACATTATCTTTACGAATATTTTGCTCCATCCATAATTTTTGCACAGTACTATCTTCGATATTCAAATCGATATCTTCATATACTAAGTCCTCTAGCGTTCCATTGGTATTAAACTTCATTCGGTTGTTATCTTTCATCCACTGATTCCCACCTAATGTTGTTTCTTGTACAGACACTATTTCAAATGCTGTAAACAGATCCTAAAATACATATAGAACAGTATGATAGAGAATGAATTTTTAAATTCTTATGTAGCTTGCCTTTAGTTTCACAACAGCAGATTTAGAATAAGTGGGATCTTCGTTTTGTTCGAAAACATGCTCCAATCGCAGGAGAAAACTAAATCCGATCCATGGTTCCAGAGTTAGTACATTTACGTTTGGTGGCAATGCAGTACGAAGTCCCGAAAGCTAGAAAACGACATTAGATTAGGATTGTTATGTCATATTATCTAATAATTATTATAAATAACTGAATAGTTGTAAATGAATATAAAAAAACGAAAGAGAAAGATTTTAAAATTGCTAATTTAAGGTTGATTCTCACTATACCTTCCATTGTAACGCTCTACAACAATAAAATAAAATTCAATAAACTAATGTCCTAGTTGCCAACTCTAATATTTCCCAGTGTTGGAACTGTAGCGGCCGCCAGCTTTACTACAGTGGGGACGGGTCGGGGTGAGGTGTAAGTTTTGGGCGCCACGTGATTACGCTACAGTCCAATCAGAATAAAAAAAAATACTTCTACATTTACTCTAATCACGAATAGTAAGTGACTAAATAATATTAGAAGCCAACAACAACAGGTTCAATAAAAGTTCTAATTTAGATAATAATGATTTATTTTAAACTATTAAAAATTATTTATTTTAAACTGTAAAAAAAATATTGATGAGTAGGAAAATACTTAAAAAATAAAAAAAAATATACACATTAATGCAATTGCGCACCCCCCAGACGTGATCACGTTGGTTCACACAAGACGCAAATTAAACTAATCTCAATAAATTTCGCTAATTAGAGATATCTATCTCTGTTTTAAGTATCTAATATCTACCAATTTTTCTCAAAGCAAAATAGTTATTTTCATGTAAACTAAATTAATCTTAATTTGAAAGTTGAATAGAATAAAAAAAAGTAACAGATAAAACGTTAAAAACTTGCGGTTTGTTGGCTATGGTTCCCAGGGTGGTTAGGGCACGTCGTGGTCCAGAAGTCGTCCCAATCCAAGGTCTCTGCTGTTAGGTTTGCATCAACAGCAAGGGTAACTGGATAATTGTCGAAACCCACGAGGTCCAAAAAGAAAACCAATCAAAACGGAATCTTCGGGAAAAGTGAAGACTTTCGAAAAACTTCCAAAAAAAAATGGAAAATCGGGGAAAGGAAAAAAACCCTATAAAATATTTCCAGAATTAAATCCTGAGAAAATAAGGAGAAAAATATATGCTACTTTACCTCGATGTTGGTGAGAGTTGATGTAATAGTAGTCTTATTCTGCGTTGAAAAAGTTTTGTACGGCTGAGGGCTAAATTACTCCCACAAAGTGGCGTGGAGAGCCGGTTCCAAATTCGCTAACAATACAACTCTACTACACAAGTTATCTTCTGATTTTTTGATCCTCACAAAGAGAAGGAGTCATCCACCAATCCAGAAGGAGACAACCAGAACAAATCAGAACGTCAGGCACCTGCACTACCGACAAAATTAAGCAGAAAAATGGATGCTTTCTGAATTTTAGCGAGACGTGTTAGTCCCGGAAGAAGATTTTTTCTACCCTTACTCTGAAGAATTTGAGCCAATAGGAATATACCACAATTCATTTGAAATTAACTGTCAACTGGTACTTTCCGGTACTGAGTAGTACGCAAGTACCATAGTAAAGAATCATATATTTTATATATGACAAGACTTAAGTTTCCTTAAATACTTAATGAAGATTGACAATCGGTGAAAGAGAAAAATACTTGATAAAAACTGGAAATTTATTTAACAGAAGAATGTAACCAAAATGATTAATAAATAATTAGTTAATAATTATAAAAACTTAAACAATTAACGCTAGCTTCACAGCCAACCATATTTACTGGTAACAGCGCCGTCTCCAAACCAAATCAAGACGTTAAAGCGCACTCTCAAGCAATTTACGTTAAAATGTCAAGATTTTCAAATATGTTTAAAAACAAATACACATAAAACCTAAATACCCATATTTATATTAAATCAAACCAATTATTACTTAAATCATAATTATCTAAAAATGTATTATATTTCATACTATAAGAAGATTCACGGGATATAATTATTTACAATCAGAAGGTAAGTGTAAAAACACCGGTTTATTTATAGCTTTAAATTTATAACAATAACAAACATTTTAGGAATTATTTACTGATCGAATAAAAATATACTTATACGATATAATATTTCTAACTGTATTTAAAAAAGGGAAGATATCCAGGAAAAATCAGCTTGAATATATATTTTAAACTTACAAAGGTAAAAATAGAAAAATCATTTGTTTATAAATATTTTCCACTATACTTCAAAACCATGTATTTTTCTTCAACATAATATCTAAACGAAGCTACTAATTATCAGGTATAGTAATTATTTTTTTTTTAAGAAAATAGAGTGAATATTATTTCTTTTCTTTTCCAAAAAAAAATTATTTCATAATAACAATAACTAAATTTATAGAAAGTAACTGATATTTTATTTCTTTTTAACAGCTAGATGTACAAAATATATAAAAGAAACCCTATTGAAAATATAAATACATATAATGAATAGACCCAAAGGATAAACAAGTGAGTATGCTCATAAACAAGCCGAGTATCTCATGCTCTTAAGGAACTGTAGAAAATGACTGCCTACTGAATTTTCTTATAAAATTTTTGACTCGTAACACCATATCAGCTCACTTCCGTTTCCCTTCCGTTTACATAAAATATTATATCATATAAATGAATAGGAAAATGCACACTATCCGTTCCATTTCCCTTCCGTTCCATATCGTTTTCTTCCATACATTTTTTTGGCGGACGGATTGAAGCGTATCGGAAACATGGTTGTCAAGTTCTTACATTTGTACCAGCTCTGTTAAAATTTAGCTGATAGACCTCTTAATTAAATCTATTACCTTTTTCAAAAGATACAAATTTTTAAAATAAAACTTTCTTAATGATATAAATTGTAAAATAAAAATATGGAAGTGATACGGAACGGAAGCTTACGTATAGCGTCAATACAATAAAAAATACGGAACGGATATGGAATGGAAATGGAAGGAATAGTGAGAATCAACCTTAATAACGCTTTGTTGACAAACTTATATAACGGGTGCGTCTCAAAAGTGACTCGCCCCTATAACTTTTTTATTTTTTCTGATAAAAGACCGAGACTTGGTATGGTAGTATATGACCTAAATTAGGATTGATTGACGATATCCAGTTGTTTTGGGTCACTTCCTGTTTCACCAGAAATGACTACAACTTTTAATTTTTAAATGACACCCTCGGTATTTTTTTTTTACTTTATTCAATAGAAAATGATATACACATTCAATAGAAAATGATTTTACATTCCCGCGTAATAAAAAAATCGTACTTAAAATTTCAATCTAGAGTGCCATGACTATGTTAAAACACTAATTTTTAATCAAGAGGCCTTGGAAAAATAGATTTGATCACCTAATGTTTTTAGTGTCTTGTCCTGGCCGGTTAAAAGATGCCCGAATCGTAATTTTAATCGTATCTTATTTTTTTTTAAACGGAACGAGGGTGGCTCATTAGCATATTTGGAAAAAGCATTTTTTTATGAATAATTTGATACCACACACTTGGTATTTCGAGTAAAATTTTCGTCATGAAACGCATGTTACAATTTCAAATAAACCATATGCGAAAATGTCATAAGTTGACATATGATATGTCATTCTATCTAGTGTGTCATTTTCTATCGAATAAAGTAAAAATATACTGAGGATACCATTTATAAATCAAAAGTTGTAGTCATTTCTGATGAAACAGGAAGTGACCAAAACAATTATTAATACGTCAATCAATCTAATTTATGTCTTATATTAACATACCAAATCTCGTTTGTTTATCTGAAAAAATAAAAAAGTTATAGCGGTGAACCACTTTTGAGATGCACTCGGTATATGATATCCAGTCAAAGTATCAAATTTGAAATGCAATTTGCGAAGCACATTCACTTACTGCCTTTTTTTATTTTTGGAGAGTAATCTTCCTATTCCGAATTAAAAACGTTTGAAGAACGTTGACCCTCTTAGAAGGTCAACGATAATTTCACGGAAAAGTAAAATCAGAAATGAAGAAATTAGGCAACAGATGGGAATAGAAGGAGCAATAATAAACGATTATATTAAATGTTGAGACCGAGACAGAGTCTTATTGCTTTGGCTTTTGTAATAATGTATGATAAGAACAAAAATAATTAATCTGGTAGGGCCACGTTCAGAGTATGCACAATGAGAGGTACTCCAGTTGATACCACCTGGTAAACGACAGGAAGAAGGACCTGAGAAATCATGAATGAGAGGAATAAGAAGATCGATAGGCGAAAAAATCTTACTGATAATCATTGAGAATCATTGGTCAACGTCGTAGGACATTCTAACGCGGATGATGGATAGGACGATCTTCCATTTTTGATAATAATGGTGATTTTAGAATGTCTAAAAGTCTACAAGTTAAATATGCTAACACAGTTGACAAAGTTGGAAATGTAACCTTCACTAAGCCTGTTGAGGATTATATTTCAATACGTAAATGGACAAGTATAGTGAATGGGAATAAAGATAATATAGAGCAAAAGATCTAGATTTTTTAGATGAATTGGAGAATTTTTCCGGAAATGTATAAAAGATTACCGATGTTGGCAAACCAGGATATTGTAAATTTAGTTTAAGTCCGAGGACACTTGAATTAAAATGAACAATGAGAAATTTGAAGTAACTTTCTATATACAGAACCTGTTCTAGGTATACCAATTAATACAACACGATACCATAATAAAGATTGAATTCGAAGAAAAATATTGTAAAGAAATTAAGAAAATAACCATCATAAAATAGCCGAGGAATCGCTATGATTAGAAATCAGCGTATTAAATAAGTCTTGCTTTAAAAAAAAGAACAAAAAGTAAAGTAAAGATTTCAGTTAACGTCTCCTTTTTGCTGCAACGGCTAATCTGGACGGGGCCTACTTTGTTTACGCGGAATCCGAACCGCGGTCCTCGGCCATATCATGGTCAGTGGCTTACCGACTTAGGAAGTGTCTAAATTAACTCTTACTCACGATATATCCGATCTCATCCGGCCTCGAACCGGCCTGAATGAGCAGTGTGTATCAATAGATTTTACACTTTTCCCTTGGACAACAGCACGATACAGAGTTTCGAGAAAAAAAAGAGAACAATATATATTATAATAATAGAAAAAAAAGGAACAGCTGAAATAAAGAATCCTGTTTAATTTAAACCCTCACTGCACACTATAAGTTGAAGCAGTTAACTAAAATGCAACACACAAAGAATGAGGAGTATACAAGTCACCATGTAGAGAGCATGATATTATTAATCGATATTCATTGAAAGGCAATAAGTAGTAAGAGTGCAGTGTTGCAACAAGATAACAGATGGATCTGTATTGAAATATATTCTTATCAGTTTCAATTTTTTTTTAAATCTGAGATAAATAATTACAAGGTATTACCTCCATAATGCGGCTTTTTTGATATTCCTTAGGAGTAGTTTGAAGTGGCGAAATGAAGGTCCAACTGTCAAGCAATTTCTTTTGTGCTATATCCTTCTCGATAAAGGCAGGTGTTTGCGCTAAAAACATTGATATTATTTCCAGTAAACAGATACCGAAATTAATTAAATACCCTTTCTATTATCTGTGTAACCGAATGTCAAATAATGTGATCCTCTGATTACCAATCCTTTTCCAAAAGCGGTTTCATTTAAAGCTTCTCCAACACCGAAGGCATCATCGTGAAGACAGTTTCTGTGAATCTGAAATGAAATACTAATTATTTTCTGTGACCTCAAAACGGAAAACGCTATTTTCTGTGCCCTAAATTGCAGTAGGGAGAGTGAGGGAATTAGTAAGTGCGCAATGAATGCGCACTTAAGCGTAAATCATTATAGAAATATAAACATTATAGATAGTTTAATTGTAAATATCGTAATGGAAGTATTATTTAGTCACTTTAAGTTCGTAAACCAATATTAAGGTAAAGTAAAAACTATTTAAAGCACAATATTGGTAAAGGTGCATTGCATTTGCGCGCCATTCCCCGCTATTGCGGTGATCATGCGCACATGTTAGCGAATGATGCGCATTAGAAGTAATATTAGCCAGAGTTAAAAGATACTCTCTTAACTCAGATTCTATGTGATCTGAAAACACAGGCTTTGAATCCTACGAGGTGGTTTAGGCTGCAACGGCTCTGACAAGTGTTGATTCGGAAATATTGGAGGCCCTTTATATTTCTGCCATCATTTCTAATTGTAAATATTGAGTTTTGTAAATTTTCTGTCGTATATTAGTGTATTGTCGTTTTTACAAATATAATAATAATTAAAATTAGATTACGTGTGGGAGGATGGTGTGTATCATTACCCCGTTAGATATTAAAAGAAAACACTTAACACAGTTAGCAAATTATTTTACTTAATAATTAATACGTAATATCGATTACAAACAAATTCAGTCACTGTCTTATATTCCAAGATCAAAAAATTACAAAAAAACTGGCTTGATTTTAAATAAAAAGTGCTAGTTCCATACAAGTGAGTAGAATGGATATGAATATGGCGTGAGTGATTCACAATAGGAAGTAGAAAGCGCAGCACTAGTCGAAGGAGCTAAAAATCCCGCGAATAAGAAATAACATGATGCGCATTATTACCCGACGCTCACGATGCCCCCATTCTCCCCTAATAGATATTGATATTTTTTATGTGAAAAAACTATGATTTATTTACTTGCTCTTGGTTATTGGTCTTGGTTATTGCTCTTGCTCATAAAAAAGATCACTACAAACAGCAATGTTTGCTAATAGCTAAATGAATCAAATATTAGCCCTTAAAATTGGACGAATTTTACCATTAGTTCAATTTCGCCATCATTTAAGCTGGATCCTCCTTGAGCTCTGTCGTTCAACACTGCTAATTCCAAATGTTGTTGCTCGTCTCTGATAGTTATTTTCGACGTGACAGGATAATAGTTTCCGGAAACAGGCTCGGAGACATTCAATTTCCATGTTGGTCTGAAATTTATCCTCCTTTTTAACATCTCTTTGCCATTAGAATCTGTATAAAAAGTTGAATTCGATTGAAAATTGGTTGAGTATCTGGTGACTATTTCTCTACCGCGCAATTCGCTAAAATAGAAATAAGGACTTAATTTTGAAATTGTTTAGTAGTAATTAGTATTACTTTGTTGGTAGTGGTCCAATAACCCAATCGAACTCTATGTAGTTTTCAATTCTATTGATCCTGATTGATTGACTTATATATTCGTTAAACGTTTGTCGTGCTTCTGCGATTATTTCGCCGATAATTGGTGTGAATCTGACCCCATTGCTGGCAGGTTTAATGGGGCCATACGGCCTAAAAACATAAGCTCCAGACGAGCGATTACTAAAAACCCTATTATCTCCTACGTAGCCTTCGTAATAAAAGAAATTTTGGGTTAAAGGCATGGAAACACCATCTACACGAACTTCTGTTATTAATCCAGTCAAAGAGTTTATTTGGAATGACGTATCTGTATCCTACAGTTAACAACCTACTGTAGTTTCCTACACAATCTATCAAAACGTTACTTACTTTAATAGATATTCTGTTACTAGTTTCTTCAGAGTTATAGTCGTTATTTTTCGATTTAGTTTTGCTAACTATATATGATTTAAAACCTAAAGCTGGTATGGCAGTTGCTACAAAGTACAAGTCGTAAGTAGCATTACTTGATCTTCCGGGAATGTTGATAACAAAGTCAGCTATGGGGACAAGTTGCGTTAGAACTGCAACTCCTGAAACATATACAGAACATAATCAATATTTTGTAATATGTATGAGAACTGTAAAGTAGTCTAATGAAGAGAAGGATATGAAAAAATAAATAATTTTTTTTCTTGCCACAGGAAAAAGATATTAAAGAGTAATTTACCTTTTTTATTATTTTCTTTTGTTAAAAAATATCAAAAAAACTTTGTGTCTTAATATAATTCGCTTCCGCAAGATATAGTGTTTAGTGAAATAGTACGTGGGTGTACAACGAGAGACTTTAGTTTAGGATTTTTTTTAATTTTGTGATCGGATTTTTAATTGCTATATTATTTGTTACATCATTAATTATTAGTACCTTCATCAATTTTTATTTGGTTAGTATGCTTTAAATTATGATAAATGCATTTTTAAAATTATTTGTTAAAAGATGTTTAATTTGTAGAATTTATGCAGAAATCGGATGTTGCATGCTCGACTTTACCTTTTGAATCGGTAACATTATATGAACCTCCCACTACTGGTATATTTATAACTTTATCAATTGATCTACTTAATGGATTATAAATTGTTACAACAAAATTGTCCAAATTTTCTGTAGAAGCACATTGGCTTATGTTAGCCAAGGGACAATGATAGAAGGGTTGAACAGATTCTTCAGGATTATGCGATGAAGAGTTGGTTGTTCCATTTGTTAATTTACTGAAACAACAAAAAAGTATTCTGTATTTTTAGTGAATTTTGGTAAACCTATTTTTTAATTGTCAAAAAATTTCAATAATATTTTTTTTCTAGTTTAGATATTATTTATTGAAGATTACATTAACAGAGCACATTATTGTGGTGAAAATTATATGTATAACTTACTTAAGGGCTGCGTTGCTAATAATTTCACATTCTTCAATCCCTCTTTGTAACAGTCTTGCATAATCGTTTGCAACGTGTTGCTTTTCAGTACCAGTAACTGCGTCATGGTGTTGCATTACACCCATCGCTTCCCTCAACGCATTTAAGTCTATTCTATCCTCTGGGCCCAGGTCGGCTAATGCATACAGCTGCTTACATACCTACAATATAAGTTTATTTTGTTAAGTAAAGCTGTTATTTTTATTCAGTTCTCTGTAATATTATTTATATTTTTTTTTCTTCCAATAAGTATCCAATAGTAGAAATAAATGCATGTATTGATATAAATTGTAGTGGAGATTATTAAAATGCCTGAAATGTAACAGATGTATGAATACGTAGACTTGTTTAGCATACTTAATTGAGATAATGACCAGAGAATCCACTATTCAAGGGAAATCGGAGAATATTGGTCTCAATTTAAGGTCTCACTTTACTGAAGACGTAAGGGCATATTGTAGCTGATATACTACGAGTAAATGGTTGAATATAAACGGTATCATATGTTCGAACGACTTTCTCTATAAAAATTTCTATATAAAATTATATAAGCTATTGTGGGAGTAGTTAGCTTTGCCAGAACTTCAATCTAAGGACATCGATTTGTCAAGTCAGCAACTTGAAGGAGGAGAGCCATGGTCAGGTCCTTACAATAGGAACTGACTTCAAATCCAAGGAGGCCAATCCAATCCATTATAGATCCCGAACAACACCTGTATTAGGGTTAAGGAGAGATCAAGTATAAGAGGTGGAGAAAATGGTGCCTGATCCTCCAGCCTCCACCTCAAGGGTGCCTCGGCTGAAGGCAAGCTCCTCGACTGTGAAAGGCGCGGAGGGCTAAACCCCAACCGTGGAAGGGTGTATACCCCGTAGGAGCTAGATGTCCAGCTGTCCTCGGAGGATGGACAGTTGTTATCAGAGGAGGATGGGAAATACACTGTCCCCCGTACAACAGGAAGATCCCCATATTTTCCATATATGATGAACGCAAGAAAGGGAGACACAATAGATCTTTAAGGTTGCGGTGATTAACCCTATTTCACTCATTCTACATTCTACAAGAGTCTATTTAGAGACTCGTTTGGTCGATAGGCAATTATATGGCTGAGTACTGCGGTTGGAGCTCTGCGTGAACAAATTAAGCCCAGTCAAGATAAGCTCAGGCAGCAAAAAGGAGACGTTTACTCATTAAATCGTTCAGAAAAAAATCTATTAAAAATTAACATGAACTAACCTGCAGAAAGTTATTGCCATATCTTTCGAATCGTTTGATTGCTGGTCTTGAGGTAAAATAACCAGTCCAATATGCGTGAGGGTCAGATGCATATGGGAAGAAGTCGTCATTTTTCAGTAGCCAGCTCTTGTTATTAGCGGTTTCGTCATGAATAGCCTTAACGTAACATGATGGTGTGGAATAAAGAAGATTGAATTTCGAACCGTTTACCTGACGAGCATTGGCATATCTGCAATTTAAAATATTTTAATAACTGTGTGATTGAATATAGCACCATAATAGCAGGTTTATAAATAGGTCATCGTCAGAGAGCGACGATGCATTTTCACTGTCAGGAACTTGAGGATCCGTTGCTAATTGCATTTTAACTACTTAAATATTAGACTTTATCATAAAAGATGGTTTAATTGTTGTCCGATAGTGTAGGTGAGTCCGAATTAAAGTATTATTTTTAAGTCTGACATCGTTTTTACTCAGTATACTATTAATAATAAGTAATAGTGTAAATTTGTTTTAGACGTACAGAATGAGTTTATCCAAGTTGATAAACCAAGCTTCTGCATCCTGGTAGTTGAAATCTTCTCCCATAGTGATTATAATATTGTTTGTAGTGTAAACTTTGCTGGCATTTGTGGCGTACTCTAGGAACTCGTCAACCTAAAATTGACATACAGTTTAATGTAGAATTTAGAAGAAATTGCGATAAAATATACCCTGCGATTAACGTTATATTCGAAACTTTTTTTATCGTCGATTATTGGTTCGTCACCACATAAAATATCAAAACAAAAGCCAGGCGGTGGGCCGTAAACATTGTACATAACTCCAGTAAAAATGTCGCTAGATTCTCCTGAAATAATATTGATATGATGTTACAGATTTTATCAGTAAAGTTGGAATTATAAGTAAAATCTATTTGCCAGAAATTGAGTTCATAATCTCATATTTCCAAATACTTCTAATTTGAGACAGTCATTATGTAAAGCTGGTAGATATTTTATCCAGTTAATAAATAATAAACAAAAGTTATTATGCTGTGGATAAGCTTTGGTTCGTATTGTATGCCTTGTACTTTCGTATTGTAAACTTTCATTACTTCGGTCTAAAAAAAAACACAGGACATATTTCATGGTACAGTCTCCAATCGTTATCATATATATAATTATTTTTTTTATTCCTAACCCCCTGTGTTTTCAGGTACGGATAGCGTGTTATAATCTGCCAGATATATTTTATTTGACGGATAGCAGAAAAACGCGTATCTTCACCTATAGATAACAGTATCTATTAGATAAATTAAACTTATCTCCCAGATATCCTATCTGGCGCCCGAACTGCCAAATAGTGCTTTATTTGTCGGATAAAAATTTGACGCATGAGCAAAGGCATGAGGAGATATTGATTTTATTTGATATTTGACACAAAATTGCTTAACATAACCAAGACATTGTTATTATTGAAGATTTCGTTTATTCCAATAAATTCCATTTTAGATTATTTGGAAAAGACTTACCTATTCTGTACAGGCTATAATCATTTTAGAACGTATGGGGTATAAACACCAATAAACACATTGAAATGGTGCAAAAAACTATTGTTGCTAGGACCGTTACAAAATAAAGAGAGTCTCTGTTCTGTTAGAGCATCAGAACGAAGAGAATGCATTAAGTTAGGATAATAGTGATAAAACAGTAATTTATAAATTATTTTATTTAAATCCTTTCAATTATAAACCATTACTACATATTATATAAAATGCTAATGTTTATCTGTGTCGTCTCTACTGAAGTAACGACTTGCTCTAGAAAGTTGCTTTTGTACTAAAAGATAGCTAAATGGCTCTTCTAAAAACTGTCGTCGCCGGATTTTTTTGTTTTTCATTTAATTAAAAAAAAAAATAAAAAGTATTTCTTTTCCTGATCTCGTGGCGGATGCGCCAGGCTTCAACTAGTTTTTAATAAAGCTCTAAAGTAGGTAAAAATAAATAAAACTTTTTAAATCAAACTATTTATTTCATTTTTAATTCGCATATCTTAATTCATTAATATTATAACAGGAACCTTATAAAACCTGTTATTCAACTCACATTTGCTTTTATTTCTTTTGTGTTACAATTTTAGTTTAATTTCTTGCACTATGTACCTTATACCGTATGATCGAAAAAAAAACGGCGTCCAGTTGGCTGGGAAATGATGATCGATGATATTTCCCATATAAATTTACATATGAAATGACAGCAATCTTTATTTCATAGCCATTGCTGACGCCGTTTTTTTCGATCATACGGTACATCTCTTCTCCATGCTGATTTTTAAGTAACTCTCTAGCTAAACCTTGCTAAAACTATTGTGGTCCTTTGAATTCCAGTTAGTTCAACTTTGTTTAGACAAGATTTTTCCTTTATTTTTTCTTTTTTTTGAAGTTCCATCACTTTAAGTTCTTAAAAATAAAAGTAATATGACAAAATTGTTTTTGTTTAATGTTTTTTATTAAACAATTTGTACATATATAATGTGTAAATATAACAATTATTATAGCTACTATTCATTTATTATTATTAAGACAAAAGTATAAGTGCATTTATCTATCTATTTTATAAAATAAAATCTCACCTTAATTACTATCATTGATGCTATCCTACCTATTTCTTTACTATGAGAAGCCCTAGAACAACATATTTGTTATTACTAACAGTCTTATGCTATTTTTAATTTTCAATATTAATAACTTACCAGATGGTGGTTTTAGGATTGGTTTATAAATCTCTGCTTGCACTTCACCAGCTTCTTCCATATTTTCTATTATGAATTGTACTAAAATGTTAATATAATAAATATAACAGTAATATCATGTAATTAAACTATAAATTACTTACAGATTTTCTTATTTTAATTTCTTATAAATCGCATTCCATCAATAGATCTATTGCACCACCACCACTGCTGAAATTGAATTATCTTTCCCTTTTTCCATAAAGGTAAATTTAAATAGCCTATACCATAATAGGACTAGTTGGAGTTGAACACAAAATGTATTTTAGTTGAATTTTATTGTTTTTATTTTCATTTTCACGATCTTTTGATAACTGAACAATAACCTCACCTTTTAATCTAACGATTTGAAATTCCGAGTTTCTGTCTCTGTCTGTTGTATCGACTTTTCATATATAACCATCTCAATTTCAGATATCTTATATTGGCAACACTTTCTCTACTGAGTGTCTACCGGTCCGTAGGCGGCCGTCCTCCAAATTGTTATCTATTGGATTATTTTGTATGAAAATACCCAAATGTTATATCCTATAGATATCAGGCTCTAGATTGTTTATCTTTTAGATGGTTATTTGTTAGATAAAAGTTATTTATTCATAACTGAAGAGACCGCGCCTTAGTGAATTAATATAAGCATATTATATTGTTTTGGTGACGCTAACCATAAGTAGTCATGACTTTCTTGGGACATTATTAACAGGAATTAAGATGCCATAATTCCGTCTACCTTTTCTAGGTAACAACCATGAAATACAATAGCGATTTTGAGTAATAATATAAAATGAAAATGACCCCATCTTACTACTCTAAATAATTTATTTACATCATGAATGTCACAATATAATAAATTTACAAGAGAACAGTTTTATCGGTATCCCTTCTATACATGAACCTTATTGAAAAAAACGTAAAATTATACAGGGTGGCGCACCTCATTCGCCTCGGTTGATTATACGAAAACGGAAAGATGTAGAATCAAAATATTTTATGGGTATATGTAGGAAGGCAATGTGCATAATTTAAAATTATTTTGAAATGTACAGGGTATGTTAGAACTAAGATCCATACCAAAGTTATATTTTTTCTTATGGAACACCCGGTATTTTATTTCATTTTTGAATTCTTGGGCCCAAAAAAACGAATTTATTATATGCTACACTTAAATAGATTATTAACACCCTGTACGTTACTTTTCAGAATTAATTCTTGTGCTGAGTTTAAAGGTAGAGAAATAAACTGTACTGAAAAATGTTATTGCTTTCTTAAATTTATACAGTGGTACCAAAAATTGCTGTTCTATTTTAAGGATTTATTTTACATAAAAACTTCGTTATTTCAAATACAACACCCTGTATTTTTTTTAAATAAATCGAAGTAGATTCAAAGGCTCTTTCAAACTATATTAGGGTTTCCTATACCTATCTAGCTTAGATTTTGAATAAAGAGCAATTTTTCAATAAAATTGAAAAGAGGGCTAGTGCCGTCATGGCAAGTTTCTAGTGACAGTTAGTAGCTATTTTCAAAATCGAAATTAGTTTATGGACTTTATTCAAATTTATACCAGTTTATTTTTATTTAATTTACCTACAATAGTTTAATAAGTAATATTTATTAAATATGTAGTTATTATTCTATCAAGAAAAAGGAAGTAGTTCTTTGATTTATTTTACGATGACTTCTAGATATATAGATTTTCTATAAAAGAGCCAATTACGGCAAATTCATTTCTACATTTCCAACGACAGATTTCTGCCTAATATTTTTTTTATAAACCACACTAACAGCTCTGCTAAATAGAACAAGTAGTTTTTCAAAGGAACGCATAATATCCGGGAGATTCCTATTTGGATATCTCTGAGCATAAGCCCTTGAGGCTAAGAAGCGACATTCCCTCACAAAATAAAATCACTAGTAACACATCCATTCGTTCCGCCAGCAGATATTGCTTTATTTTTCTGGATAAAATAATGAATAATTACTAAACTATTCTCGGTAAATTTAAGTAAACTGTTATAAATCTATATAATAATGTCCATAAACTAATGTCGCTTTTGAAAATAGTTACTAACTGTCACTAGAAAATTACCTTGGTGACACCTGCCATCTTGATTGCCATTTTATTGAAAAATCGCTTTTTATTCAAAATCTGAGCTAGATAGGTATAGGAAACCCTAATATAGTTTGAAAGAGCATTTCAATCTGCTTCGATTTATTTAAAAAAATACAGGGTGTTTGTTTTACATTTGAAATAGCGACGTTTTTATACAAAATAAATCCTTAAAAAAGATCAGCAATTTTTGGTACCCCTAATTGAAGAAAGCAATAACATTTTTCAGTAGAGTTGATTTCTCTACCTTTAAACTCAGTACAAAAATTAATTTTGAAAAGTAACGTACAGGGTGTTAATAATCTATTCTATTGTAGCATGCATATTTAAATATCTTTAAATATGTCAAAAACCAAAGATTTTAAACATATTTAACCTTATAATAAATGCCTTTTTTGGGCCCAAGAATTCAAAAATGAAATAAAATACCGGGTGTTCCACAAGAAAAAATATAACTTTGGTATGGATCTTAGTTCTGACATACCCTGTGCATTTCAAAATAATTTTAAATTATGCACTTTGCCTTCCTACATATACCCATAAAATATTTTGTTTCTACAGCTTTCCGTTTTTGTATAATCAAACGAGGCGAATGAGGTGCGCCACCCTGTATATACACGGTGTCCCTTAATGACATGCTAATTTAAGGAGGTGATTCTTGGGTCTATTCTAAAGAAAAACTTTATTTGAATGTATAACCTAAACATTCTAACTTTTGACATAGAGGGTGATAAAATTTTTTATTTTTTTTAATAATAACTCTGATGTTATTGTCCATATCTTTATGAAATTTGATATTTGGTTTATGCATAAAAATATATTTTTTTTAATTACTGTACAATTTTTTTAATAACATCTTTAGGAAACGATATACCAACGCACCAATGCGGGTATTCTCAGTGGACAATCTCACGGTAGGTTTGGTATAATAGCTCAGTTGTTCCCGGATTTAGATTAATTTACACTTGATAAGTTACATTTGTCAGTGATACATCTGACCGAAACGTTGTGTTAAGTTAAAATAAATAAAAGAAATTCTTTTAGTTTCAAGTTTTGTTTAATTATCCCATTCTAGTAAAGTATTTCAAGAATAGTGTTTTCTTTCATAATAGTTGTTTTTTTTTGGTAATAGAAACAGTTTTCTTGATACCTAACAGGGGAAGAATTATAAACTCAGTTAACAACGACAACCAAAAAGTAAAGAGGCAACAAAGTACTGAGACAGGTAAAGGCGACAAAGGAATGAGACTTATTGAATGACCTGAGTGCGGAAGAGAGATAACATTACGTAGCGGGCTTTTCAGTCACAGAAAAGCTCATGAAAGAAAGCGTAAAAAAGCCTTGCGTAACCATCCGTCAACGAGTAATAGTAATGATGATGATGAATAGAAACAGAACTAACTCGACACAGAGATATGGCTGCAATACTGAATTTTAAAAATAATGTTTACCTAAACTACTACTTGCTCTCCATACGACCTCGGGAGTTCTCGTTTTCCATCTATAAGCTTTGTCTTGATAGTCAATTCTACCCAGAAGTAAAGCGTCAAAACCCAGTTGAGCAAAGATATTTGCCATTTCTTTGCTGTGACCGAAAGGATCTATTTGCCAACCAATTCTAGGACGACCACATTCACCAAATGTATCATTGAGTTTCCTAAAAATGAATTTGATGTCCATAAGCCATGTTGTTATTACTTAATGCCATTAGATATATTATAATACACGCCGACCTCGATGAACTTCCTAACAATTGATTTTTAGTATTAAATTATTGAAAAAAAAAATACGAATCGCTTTAGCTTTTCCAGTAAAAAATGTTTATCAAACCATAAAAAGTTAGAAGATTTCGATTTACTCTATATGGTAGTAATTTTTGAATATACTCAAAGACTTTAATAGAGTGATGCTTTTTAACAAATATTTGTTTTTCTTGATTTACATCAAATAAGACAAATTGAAATAAACCAGTTCATAGTCAGTAAATATTATTTTCTGCCTTGTAATAAATATTACTGTACCTTAAGCCCCAGGTCATTTGATCTATAATTGAATGATAATGAGTAGCAGCTTCATCATTCATACTCCATCCTCCACTGATGAATTCCAGCTGTCCGTTGTTAACCAACTTTCGTACTCTAGCTTTGACAATATCGTGTTGTTTTATCCACCATTTCCAGAAAAATGCTGTTTCCACATATATAAATCTAGAAGTAGCATTTTAAAAAATTAAGTTTAGATTGATTTTACTTAAACTTATAAGCTTGGTGCATTCTCCGCCGGAGCTGTTACCATCGGGGAAAATTGAAAACAATCGGCAGATACAGATAGCGAGTATACGAAAAATTTATTATATATAATTATTCTAAAACTGTTAGGAAGTATAATTTGTAAAAATTCTAGAAATAAAAAGAAAAAAGTAAATAATTTGATATTTTCAGAAGGTCTACAATAATTATTGTTGGTACATGTAATTGAAGGTACATTAATTGTAGAATTCTAACGCCATCGTGTTTTAGTTCCATATGGCGTCTTATGGCTTCATTTGGTATTTTATCTTTATCGAATTCCATATGCCGAGTGCGTTTAAAATCTTGCTATATTTTATAAATAAATGAAAATAGTTCACCTCCTCAAGAAGTTTTTTGCGTGTCTGTATTTAGAAAAAATTCTAAAATGAAAAACAGAAACGTGTTTTCATGTAACTGGTTTCAGCTATTCTAAAGTTGAAAAATTGAAAATTATGCATTTCCGCAGAAACATCTTCGCGACTTTCTATTTGAAAATGCTTCCATAATAAAATAAATTTTAGAAAAAAAAAAAGAATTTAAGAACAAGTTTTTATTTAAATACAAGAAAAGAAAAAAAAATTGAAAGAAAAAAATTCAAACTTTTTATTTCAAACTGTATTATAACGTCATTACAAAATTTTATAATATATAAAAGCTTGTCGCAAGATTTGATTGTACAGTTGCACTCATAAAAATCTGGTACAACTTTATCTTGTAATTCCTGGTCTAGTGGTCCATCATAACACAAACTTTCAAAATGAGACATGGTAGACACAGGTTTTAGTTAATTTACTTGTTTATCGATGTAGAGAAATCTCTCGATCATGTGTAATGACGTTATATGTTGATAATAAAAGTTTTAAAGAAAATCTTTATTTTTTTCTTTTTAGTGTATTTAAATAAAAGCTTGTTCTTAAAATTTTTTTTTTTCTAAAATTTATTCTCTACTTTTTAGTTATGCTGGTTTCTCAGTGCCACACACTTAAACTCCATTTTTTTTCTTAAATAGCTTCCTATGGGCATTCTAATAATATGTATATCGATTTTCATTAAAAAAGGAGAGCTTAAAAAAAACGACAGCTGTCAAATTTGACAGTTCAAATGTGAGACAAATAAAATGAAAACCGACTATGGGGTAGGGAGCATCCAATATATCGATTTTTATCAAAATCGGACAACTTTGAAATTTTTTTGACAGCTCAATTTTTTTTCTTTCATTTTAGCCCACGGCCATCCTATATATCGATTTTTATCAAAATCGGTCAACTTTGAAAGTTTTTTGACAGCTGTCAAATTTGACAGCTCAATTTTTTTTTATTTTAGCCTATATATCGATTTTTATCAAAATCGGTCAACTTTGAATTTTTTTTGACAGCTGTCAAATTTGACAGCTCAATTTTTTTTTATTTTAGCCCATGGCCATCCTATATATCGATTTTTATCAAAATCGGTCAACTTTGAAATTTTTTTGACAGCTGTCAAATTTGACAGCTCAATTTTTTTTTATTTTAGCCCATGGCCATCCTATATATCGATTTTTATTAAAATCGGTTGACTTTGAAATTTTGACATGTCATTAAACTGTCATTTTTTCAAGATGGTCGCCCATATATTTTTTTTCATATGTATATACCCACAATATACCTATATATATAATTTCAGCCCGATCCATTCATAAATAGAATTTTAAAAAATCAAAAACCTCAAAAATGCCGCCATTTTGGCCGCCATTTTGACAGCTGTCAAAAATTCGGGTGATGCTTTGCAAAAAAATGTATTGTCATCGGGACTGAACCTACATGCCAAATTTCAATTTCCTACAATAAATGGAAATGGTTCTAATTTAGCTTACAAGATTTGCCCCGAACAAACATAGATACATAGATAGTTACATACAAAGCAAGTTAAATAAAAGCTTATAAAAAAAATTCTTACATAACTGATTTCAACTAAACTAAAGTAAGTCTGATTTCTGTTATTCTATAGTTGGAAAACTCTCGGCAAAACTTAAAAAGGATGTATTTTCGCAGAAAAATTATTCTAAAATATGTGCTAATCTAATGCTATTCAAAAAGGCTTCCAAATACTAAACGCTATATACTACAGCTAATAGAAAGTTGCGCATCAGTCAAACTGCGTTATTAACTAATTTACTGTCGTATAATACAAAGGGAACTTATAACTTTATCCTTATTTTCTCTGATTTACCTTCTGTTTTTATCCTTACGTAATGAATCAATAACGGTATCAAGGATATATTGGACACCAGCATTCTGAATATCGGATTTGCCTAAACAAAAAATACATATTAATATTTAAAAATTGTGTATATATTATGGAGATTGTACATACTTCCATAGAAATATTGATCCACTGTCTTTAACCAACCAACGTCATCGTGTGTATGGGGAACAATATGGACATTAATATATCGTTCCTTTATGGCTGGGCAGGACTATAAAGGCATCATAATTGCGATATCATCAAAGAACGATAATCGAATTCTGTTATTTAAGTTTAGTTTTTTTATAAATTAATTTTAAGTATAATATATAATAATATAAGACTTTTTTTTTAAAATAATAATCGAACCGATATAGCATGGCTAAGCACGAATAAAAAGTACAAACCAATTCAAAATAATTGAGATTGGCAACTTTGATTTTGCCGATTTGGTTAGCAGCAAAATGAAAAAATGGTTTTATTTCACAAATATGAAAGTCAAAACTGGTAAATTCACAGGGAGAAAAAAATCGATCGATAGTTTATTTTAGAATCGGAACCTATCACTAATCATAAAATGTTATTCATTAATAGAGATAAGATATTTAATGTATTGCCAACTAGTTCAATCACTGTATACCGCTCTGTACAGTTTCTACGTATATCTTTGTGATGTGATTGATGTCTTAAGTGTGATATCAAAAAGAAAAATTGATAAAAAATAAAATTTAGTTTTATCCCATTTTTAAAAATATCTGCGTAAACTGTTCTTATTTTACTTGTTTAAATAATAAAAATTAAAACTATATGAGCCACATAAATATGTATATTATTATGCTCCTTGTAGTTCGCAAAGAAGTATATGAATTTGAAAAAAATTAAAAATAAAGTATATCTGTACGATACGTATTATATATATTATACGATCATGTATTAACACTGTTGAATAAATAAAATCTCTACAGTGGAGTCTGTAGAAAATTATATATATTAATTTTCAGAACCAGTTTGTTTTTATTTATTTATGATATTACGTTATTGCTTGATCCATACTTACAGAATATCCGCAGTTTTTAGGATGCGGTTTTGCAGTTGTTGTGGTTGGTTTATCAGTAGTGCCTGGAAAGATAGGGGCTGTAGGATAAGGTGGTGGAGCTGAATGACCATTTCCAATCAATATGGATAGTATTACAAAGAATATACTTCCATTAAAAATAATCCTCATGTTTTCTTTCTTAAATTAAATAAATAGTTTAAAAACTACCACACATTTTTGGAAAGAGAACATTATTGAATAAGTACTTAAACCTATTATTCTGTCCTATATCTTGGGGGAGTACCCCATTAAGTTCTCGAAAAATCAAATTAAGTTTTGACCGTTAGCCAACCTACTTCTTAGTTATGAATATTACAAAAACTAGAGTTCAAAAAATGAGTAAACATCAATAGTCTGCTGATGATGCAAACATGGTTATCGAAACGCGCGTTCAGTGCAAAAGTAAAGTGTTTTGGTGTATTGTGGTGAATTAGTGTTATATTTTGCTGTTGTAACACCGAAGGTTCCAAAATGCAACTGTAGTAGGTTTGGTTTGGTTTGGTTTGGTTTGGACCGAAACATAATCGTGGCTTTAGAGTTAAAGTAGGATTGCCAACCCTGTCTTGGATTCCAAAGGACAATCCTCTTTTTGGGATCGCACTGTTCGATTTTCTCTCACGCAATGAAATATTCCTCTTACACATCAAACTGAAAATCTAAAAAATATTGGTATATAGCCACAGTGCTTAATAAAACTGTTAATATGACAGCACTGTGTCTTTTGCTACTCCCACTCGTTGTGGGAGCTCCAAAAAAGAAATATTACGTACAATAAATATTTTTTGTAGAAACGTTAAATATGCTTAGCTTTTTTATGTTTACCTACTGTTAGTTTACGTTTTTTTACTTTTATTTTAGTAAGAAAGACCATCAACCCCATAACATTTACATAACTTTCGGGTAAATTCTGTAGAGAGAGGTTTTAAAATATAGTTCGCTTTTTTACTCTCTTGTCCTGTATTTTTTATTTTGAAAGTTGACAACCCTAAGTTAAAATCGTGTGTAAAATAATAAAAACTCTTTTAAACTATAACACATGACTTTAAACTATAACACACGAGTTTTTTAACAAAATTCTTATGAAACCGATCGGTCAACTATTTGATTATAGAGCCGTGCTCACACGCAATCAAATAGTAGATGAGTGCAACTCCATAAGAAGACATTGGTTTCAAACTTACAACTAAATAGTAGGCCGACTGAATTGCCTATGAGTGCATACCTTAAGGATATTTTGTTGATTTCGATCTCCTTGATGAGATGCATACCTTAAGGATATTTTGTTGATTTCGATCTCCTTGATGAGATAAACGCAATTTTATTAATCACAATTATTGATACATTATTTATTTTATCTAATTTATTATTAAATACTATTACTATTAGTTATAATTAATATTAGTCCAAAACCTACAGCAAATTCAAATAAAAAAATAATGGAATTAAACATAATTACAGAAGACCCAGTTTTAAAAGTTTTTACATCCTGTAATTTTAAAACTATGCATTTCTATACCCATATTTATAAGAACTTTTTTTCATAGTTTGTGAAGAGGAATCAATGAGTACTTATTTAATTGGCAAGTTAATAATATTATTTTTTTTAAAGGTTGCTATTAGACTTGGATCAAAGCAAATTAATAAAATTGCATTTAACTCATCAAGAAGGCTGAAATCGACAAAATATCAAGAGACAAATTTTAGTGGACGAACGGCTTACGCTATTACTCTAACAAGAGAAAAAATGTCAGTGGCGTACATGTTTTTTTTTAAATATTTCAGTGACATTGTGAATATGGCAACGCTTTTTTAGCATTAAAATATGTCGCATTTATAGTAACTTTTACACTCAAAATTTTATTGAAATCGCTAAAAGTAAAAATTATAATAAATCGCAAAAAAAATAAAACTTAAACACCCTGTAGCCACGAAACAAAGAAGAAGCAGACCTATGTTGATATCGAAAATAAATCTGTTATCGACGCCTATGATCCTTATGATAGGCAGTCATTTTCACGCCGTGCCTGCACCCCGTGTCCGTGGATGTTGGCGAGTAGCGGAGTAGTAGGCTTTGGAAACAGTTGAATGTCAGAGATTGTTGATTTCGGCCGAGGGAAGACATTGTTTGTCAAGCTAGTTAGAATTACATTTTAAATATCAATTTCTGTTAAATATATTAATCTCCCGATTACAAATCTTATTTTTATTTGGGGAATCTCCTCACGAGAGATGGAACGCGTTTTTTGAAACACCCTGTATAAAGCGCCAGAAAACTTTTTGATTATATTGTATTTAAATTTTCTATTTCCTTAATGTTACAACAAAGTTTCAAATTATAATAATTCTTTTATTATTATTTTAATTGATTTATTACAGTGACATGATATCTAAAATAGAATAAATTATAGTCATGAAGAATAACGTAGAATATAGAACTGTAGCTTATTAATTTTTCTTGTACTTACATGTATAAATGTTTACATTTACCCGATGTAATTCACTGAAGCACTCACAGAGTCCAACTAACTGTTTGTTCTTTGTTATTATTTTTAGCTACCGTTTAACGATAATAACATCAGAGTTTATCGAGAAACACACTGTGGCATTATCATATTCTCTTCCTATTACGATTTGGTGATATTGTCAACATATTTCGTTGTTGATTATTTAATATTTATTTGTATGAGATATTTTTTCTTCAGACAGGCTAATCAAACACAAATAATTTATAACATTGATTTTATTAAAAAGTAAATAAATACTTAATCTACTAGGATTACATTTTTGGTATTTTTAGAAACTAAATTTTAGATATACAGGGTGAATCTTAAGTAAGTGCAAATATTTTTAGGGGTAGTATATTTAGACCCTAGGCACACGATTATGAGTTTTTTTCGCAAAAAAAATAAAATTTGGAAATTTTCGAGGAAATTTTTGAAAACTTTTTTAGATTTTTTTTTACTTTTTAATTAAAAAACATAATTTTTTGATAATATGGATTTATTTAAAAAACGGTAAAGAGAAAATACGTTTCTTTTATGGAGAAAAAAAAAGTCTGTACCAACCATGAAAAAAATTGCACTTATTTAAGACTTACCCTATATAGGTATACTGTTTGTACAATTTAATTACAATATTAAATAAAAATGGCCACAATAAATTTATTTAAATATTTTTGGAAATATAAAGAAAAGAAGGTTAAAATGTTGCTTTTTTGCTTTTTTTAACTTTCTTAGTCAATAAGTATTAACTAGTACTTAAGCAACAAAATAAACATATTAGCAAACTTAAATATAAGAACAAAAAATTAAAAAGAATCTAATTCAAATTGGATTATAAATAATTTAATAAGAAAACAAAGAAAATAATATTTAATAAAACAATACAAGGCATAGAGACAACAGACAAGTAGTCTTACAAAAATGGCTCTTTCAATATTAACTGCCTAGAGAGTCTTCTAAATGTCGCACATGCTGATGGATAAAATCATCAGTTATTGTAATCAATAGAGCAAAAAAGAAAAAATAAAATCATATACTAAATCCAACACATTAAATAGAAAATATAGCGGCTACTATAAATGTGTCATACAAAAAGAAAACTTTATTTTATCGAAATTAAGAAAAAAAGGAATACAATCTTGTCTAAAGACTACCCCCCCCCCTATTCGTTAACTTAATAATATTACACAGCACAGTCGGGTTTTTAATAGCATTGCTTCACTAATTTCAATTATATAAATTTATGTTATCATAATTTTCATCAAAATGTAATGCTGAAAAAGAAACGATAAAACACACTTATAAATTTTAATGACTATTTATGAGTTATATTATATTATATAATATTGTATTTTATATTAATAAATAAAATATTTCTTTCTTGTTTTCCTATAATTAGTTTAATCTACGAATTTAGTATAATCTACGTAATGGTATGGAAATTGCACAATTTTTGGACTCTATGTGTATACGAAAGATAATTCGTATTTTCCTATTTTTTACATATCCACTATATACATGCATAAAAATCTCTTAATATACTCATAAAACTAAAAATATTTTAAGTACGTATTACCATTTTCAGTTTTATGTACCATTTTTATTAAGCCTTTCTAATAAGTTTCTGGCTTAACACATCATGTGTCAGATCATCTACTGCAAAATACAAATAATTTTTTTAAGTGAGCGTTAGACTACTGAATATTAACTAAAGACAATAAACGGTGACATTAACAGATGTGAAGATGAATAATTACATTAGGGGGTCTATATTAATGCTTCTATCTATTAAAACTTCTAAAATTAGCTTGGACTTATTTTTTTTTTTGAAAATACGATTGCTATAGTCGAGGATTCTCGTATGATTTTGTAACCTGTTGCTTTATTACTACTTTAGTGTCTTAACATTCAGTGTATTTTCTTCTTCGTACTAAAGAAGATCTTTAAAATCAGACTATTTTTCAGAGTTTAAAACCATTGGAAGGCTGTAGTTGAGTCAAGTTCACTTTAGTGGGCTTGGGATATTCTAATAAAATGAGTCTTCCAGAAGACTTATAGATGCTATGAAATAAAATCTCTTCTTAGACTGGATTTTACATAAAATAAATATCTGACGCTCATCAAATGTGAGGCAACAGGTTTGTCATTTTCTATTTTGTTTTTAAAGAAATAACACCGAAAAAAAGGATAAAAACTCTAAACAGATCAATTCCAACATTTTAAATTTAGTTGCAATTTTTTAATTCTATATTGACCTAATCAATGTTTTTAAACAATTTTAAACGGTTTCTCAATATGATTTCAGAAAAAAAAAGATAAAACTACTGATAATTAAAATTATTTATAGACTAGTTTGCATATTCTAAAGTGTTAACTATATAAATGATGACATATTTATGAATATGTTTTGTAATTGTGTAAATGTGTTGTAATGGATATTAAGTAGCAGCCACAGGTTTATGTCACTGTTTGAATTTATTGAGCAGTTACAGTTTGGAGCTGTCAGTACTTTTCTTTAGTCTTATTAGTTAGTGCCATGTTGAAAATAATTGAAAACCTGAGGGATCGTGAATGTGTTTCGCCAAAACTCCTATAACTATAATTAAAACGACTATAATTATACATAAAACTATGACTGTAATTAAGAGAGATCTTTCACACTTTGTCCTCCTAGTGAAACAGCAATACTGTTCGTGATATATTCTGTAACAAAAAATTGGTGGTTTTATTTTTCTTCTGCTTTTAAATACCGTATGATTGAAAAATAACGACTCCCAAGATGGTTGGGGTGACAACGACAATTTTTTTTCGATCATACGATATTAACACTCTTTTTAATTTCGTCCAAAGTATACATAATCATTAAACATATACATAGTAACTAAAAATATTTAACTCTCCCCCAACAGTGTTCACAGCAATTGCGTGAAATGGCCAAGCTTTTAAGATAGATGGTGAATGTCTTTAATTCGCTGATGATTCTCAGTTCGACAGTGGGTCAATAGGGGGCGCAACAGCAATACAAATTCGATTTTTTTTTGTTCTTGTAGTATGGATGTTCTTAACTAATTAGGTACTTTTTTTGTTTAGTAGTATTTTTGTGTATTGTCAAAAATAATGTGTTGAGGAATGGTTAAAATTTTTTACATTTAAATGTGTGTCCAGTAAAGGAGTTTTTATCTACTCGTGCAGCAATAAACACTACCGTAATGACTTTCTCCGTCGTCACTAGAAATCATTATTAAAAAAATCGAGAAAAATTACGAAATGGTATGGTTTGATTTTTATATAGCAATATAAATTTTTATTATGAAGGGCATTGAGTAGTACATATTAACTTAGTAAAGTAAAAAATACAAATCCGTATTTAAATACGGAAAGTTGAGGATGGTGTCTGGAATTCGAAACGTCGGATTGGAATTGCCACATTGTAGAGGAGAAAAAGTAACAATAAAAGTCGAAATTATTTATTTCTACCATTTCAAGTAACCCTAAAATATTAGAAAATTGTAAAAATGTAAATATTTTTAAGTTTCTTTTGGTACTGGTTCTTTATTGACAAACACAATAAAAATTTAGTAGCAAAACAGAAGACTAAGGGTAAAAACATAGTGGAGAATTTCATATTGCTGAATAGTTAGCATCACGGTGCTAGCCATTCACTTCGCCGTAGTGACAATACTTACACATTTTAGGACAAATTTATGCATATTGGAGCCAATACTAATACTATACTACTGGAGCCAATACTAATAATTACCAAACAAGTAATAAAATAAAATAGGCATTATAGTGGCTTTTAAAATTCCAACAAAACAAAAATCGTATTATGTGGTAACCGATCTGAATCAGCTAAAGCGGACAAAAAATGGATGCTGTCTCAAGTTTAATAATACAAAAGCAAAATACCTTCATATTACATATACCTATAAATTTTATATATTTTTATTGACTAATTTCCTTATTCAATGCTACCCGCAATTCTACGCTTCCCTGGAAATATTGAAAATATTGACTTGTATTAAAATATCCAGTGGCGCGGCGATGCTATGGTATGGTATTTTATACCTTTAATTTTATTTGTGCGCATTATAATAATTAGTACACCCATTCTAACAAATCTTACTATATTCAGCAAATCAGTAAACAAAATATAGATATGTTTAAAGTAATTTACTTGCATATTTTGGGCTCCTACGTGGGTATAGGAGCTCGTCATAGTGTCGTGACCGTGATCGTGACCAATCACGAATCCGCACACCTTCATATCCATCATTAATATTTTCCTCACTAAATTCTTCACTTTTACACAAAACCATCACGATAAAAATCAAATATCAAAATTATTTAACGTTGCAAACGTTAAACTTGTTCACTATACGTATCTGGAATATATTTGTGAATAGCGATCAATGATACGTTTACGTTAGACTGCCGGGGTGCTGACGTCACGAATGTCAAATTGCTTTCCAACGAACAAAGTTTAGTTCTTTTATATTTCTATTGAGCTCTCCCAAATGACGCCACAAGTTAATATAAAATGTAAAAAAAACAGGTGATTGTCGACCACCGCCGACTTATGTCTGGTATTTTCAATACGCCTATGATGGTTGCGCATGTTGCAAAATCTGTGAATTTTTAGTTAAAACTTTATTTACTAAACGTGGACAAATGATATAGATAAATTTAAGATTCTTTATCAACTTCAAAAAAGATCAGAAAACTAAAATCTGTATCTCGTTTTTTTGTAGGTATACACCACAACAATGAATAAAGATAATTAGTCATTCTGGGAAGCAGGGAGTCTATAAATTATAATTAATCTAGGTAACATAAATATGTTTGTACAGCTGACTCCGTTTCGTAAGTCGTTTGTTTTTAATCTCAAATTATTAAATATATATGTTACCATTAAAATGAATATTTAGATAACTTAAAAACTAACCAGTAATTTTGCAAAATAACTAAAAATTCTGTTATTTTCAAGAATTCCAGCTATTCTTGCAAAATACCGGACAACCAGCAGCTGGTTTACAAACTAACTATTTAGAGTTTAGTTTGAACAAATTAGGAAAAGAAAATAAAGTCCTCCTACTCTGGGTGCCCTTTCAGCAAGGGATAGAAGGTAATGAAAAAAAGATGATCTAGCTAGAAAAGAAGCGAACACTCCACTAACTGGATGGATTAGAACCGTTCTGCTTTCAAGTGGAAACCAACTAAAAGCGAAACTGAAAAACCTAGAAGACTCCATACGTAACCTGGAATGGTCCTCCAACGGTCTAAGACGCTCGTAAAAGTTCCTCAGATTTCTAACTCTCTAGCTCCTCCTTTTCCTTGATTTAAATAAAAACAATCTTCGGATTATCAACGGGTTTGTAACAGGACACTGTCTTCTCAACGAACACCTCAGTAGGCTGAAGCTGAGAAACAACGAAAATGGGGAAACACCAGAACATCTTATCACTGAGTGTGCCGAGACGACGCCGACGCCGACGGCGCGGCCGTGTCATGACCTTTAATAACGCTGATGTCGAGGATGGAGAGACTCCCACTGGCTTTTGCTAAAGCCCTAAGACTGTATGATGACTTATAACTCGTTATAACTCAAGAAAGGGGAAGATACAATAGATCTGTAAGGTCGCGGTGATTAACCCCCCTCCTAAACGTTCTACAACTGGTTAATGTTCAAAACTATTTACAAAATCTGGATAAAACGGCTATTTTATGTCAGTGACTTATAACTCATTACACAGTCTGTATGTTGTAGGAGGGACAGGGTATTTCCCATCCTTTTCTGACAACAAATGTTCTTCCTTCAACGCATGCGACAGAGATAAATATAAATGACCGGTCGACAGATAGAGAGACAAAATAAAAAGCGGCCCACAGTTTTGTTGGTTTTTACATGTGTCAGAAAATGCGTGTAGTAAAAAAATAAACTATTTTAAAAATTTCCATGTACACTATTGAAATGAAGATAAGTTATTTAAGCTAAATATAATATTCTGTTACAGCTGTAGTAAAATGAGTAACTAATTCCGAAAAATAAGGTTCCAATCCTAGATGTAACATTTTTCATAAACGCCTAGTTGTGCAGTTTGAAATATTGATGCAAAATCCGGCAATACCGCATAAAAGAAAAATATCAATCCTACTTTTATATATTTCTAATATATTTGAATTAAGCTTACTTCACTGTCATACACGTTAAACTCCAGACCACGCTTTTACCATGACCAGAATGGTATAAACTTTAAATACCAAATAAAATATAAAGGATCAACAAATTAAAACAAAAATAGACTAAGTTCTAAGGAAAAACAATAATCACTGACACGCAGTTCTTAATACGCAGATCAGTTTGGCTTTTGAGTTAAAAAAGTTTGAGTTAAATCACCGTCCCAAAAGAGGTTCATTAACGATTACAATTGTGGTTGGAACGCAAAAGTTAGCGTTCGCTAACCGATTTACTGCATATAAGCGTAACCTTACCGAGTTTTCTGCCTGTGTGGTTGCACAACGAGTGCGTAGCACAAATTGTGTAACCACACAAGTATCTTAATGCAGTTAACTCGCGTGTATTGTATTGTACATAATTTTATCTACATCTAACTATAAAAACACACAATAAATTTTACAAATTATTGTACTTAACTATATACCTATCCCCTATCCTAAAAATCAATTACCTTAATATTGTCCAAATAAGACATGCATGGCAATGTCAATATGACAATAAATAATATTGATGTCACTAGTTTGAAAATTCCGAACACTGACATTGAAGAAGAGGCATTCAGATCCATTTCTGGATTGCTTAGAGCAAGATCGAAACAGAAATATGAATATATATATTCTAAGTATGAAAAATGGTGCACCGAAAAAAAAAGTAAACATCTATGGAAATGAAAAGGTACTCATAAAATATTTTTCCAATTTATCCGCTACTTATAAGCCTTCGTCTCTTTGGGCTTTCTATTCAATGATACGGACTATGATATATCTATTAAAATGAATATATATATGCTTCATCAGGCATTCACTTGAAAGATTGTACTAACTATATCATTAACATTTATAATAAATAAGTTTTCATGTTTTTATAATTATTATCAATAGAACAGTTTATTTGTATTTAGTAGGTATTTAGTGCAAAATAAATGTTTTACAAAATATTTTTTTCTCTTTGGTCGTCATCTAAACGAGGAGTGCGGTAATGAAAATGCGTGAGTTAAGAAGCTCTTAACACACTCAAAATGCGTGAGTTAAGAGCTCTTTAACTCACTGACGTAGATAAAATAAATTACATTGATTTACTGCTTTTATTTCTCAAATGTACGGTATTATTTACCAAAAGATGAATTACAATTTCTTTCGAGAGCTCTAGAGACAAGAGAGAAATTATTTATAATATTTAGATACCTGTCAACTTTGGACGCTTTTTGGATTTCGTTTTCGACCACTGCAGCTGGGTATCGAATCTGGCTTTCCGACACGTCATCTTCGTCTTCAATAATCGTCGGTGTGAGGGGTGCTTTAACTTTTTTCCTTCCTTTGTTCGTGTATTCCGATATGGTATTCCTCCTCTGTATGTCTTTCTCATGGCGAAATTCCTTTTCGGGAAGGGAAAGCCTCGATTTTCTATCGAGTCTTGCGCTGCCTACGGATACCGGTTCAATCGGTTTGGATTTTGGCATTGCACTTCTGAAAATAAGAAGAAAAAGTTATATTAGGTGATCTCCTGTTTCGAAAACCTTCTATATGCGGGTGCTAGTTTAGGATTCTCAATCCAATCATTCATAAGCTGGGTTTAGATGACTGGTGTACTTGGCAAGTACACCAATATTTGAGTATTTGACAAGTATACCAACTTTGTATCTGCTGTATCAGCTGTTGCAAGCCTAGCGCTCACACAACGTGTCCATAAGTACGCTAGCACGAACATTACTTAAAATCCTCGTCAAAAACAAAATAAAAAAAAAACTAAAAGTTAACAAGCCACCACGAGGCTGAAATAAATGGAAAATGCGCAATAACAGTAAAATTATTTGTGCATTCGTTACAGCGCCTCAGTACAGACCAGTTTACGTTTGGCAAGTGTACCAACAATTGTGATCTCTTTGACTTGGACCATTTTTACCCACAGAGGATGGATTCGCGAAGAGTGACAAATAATTGCACAAGTAAACCACACATACAACATGGCAAGCATATGCCAATAACAAATGTTTGCCAAGTACATGAGTGGTCTGAGCCTGGAAATACATAATGTGAGCAGAATTTTAAGTATTTTCATACATATATTTACAATGTCAACAAATTCAAATGTATTTTCCGGTTTAAAATGAAATGTATAATATATGTTTTGTCGGTCAGTTGATTTACTCGTATCATCTAAATTCTATTCCAGAAATATATAAATCAACCGCATCATACCGAATACGGTTTTGCAAAACATATTAAGATCAAGAGAAGATAATGAAAAAATTTACAAGTGGGAGTCGGTCTAGCCCAAATAGGTTTCCTTACAAATTTGTAGGCACATATTATAAATAGACTTTGAATAAACACTACAGTATGTCCGCGGATTGTGTTTACTAGAGGAAAAGTTTTTTTTATTATTGATATTTTGAGAAAAATACATTTTTTAAAATGGTTAATCTCGCTTATGCTTTTCCAAATCTTTATACCGTTTTAGGTAAAATTAAAAAAAACAAGAGAATATGGTTGAATTTTTGGTTGGATATTCCAATATATTATAAATCAAAAGGCGTTTCTATGGTAATATAATTTCGATTTCATTCTTTGATAAATGGTTATTATTAATTTTGATTAACGTCATATTTGTTGTCATATTTTGCTGTTGCTAAAGTATCAGATTTCCTGATAATTATATCATCCTTTCCTAGCATTCAACTAAATAAAGTTTTTGCTTCTTTATCATTTTAAAACAGCAAAAAATGTGACGTTAATTAAAATTCTATCAAACATTGAAATCAAAATTATATTACCATAGACGCGTTTTGATTTTTAAAGCTTCTTTGGAAAAGTATAAACAGTATTAATTAGTATACAGTATGCCCCCGGATAGTCTTTACAAGAGGAAAAACTTCTTTATTATTGACATTTTGAGAAAAATGCATTCTTCATAAAAAAATTTGCTGGTTCTAAAATGGTTAATCCCGTTTATACTTTTCGAAATTTCCGTACCGTTTTAGAAAAAAATTAAGAAAAACATGAAAATATGGTTCAATTTTCCTAAAAATCAAAAAGCGTTTCTATGGTAATACAACATCGTTTTCATTCTTTGATAGATTGTTGTTAATAGAATTTTAATTAACGTAATATTTTTTGTTGTCTTAAAATGTCAAAGAAGCACAAAATTTATTTAGTTCAATGTTACGGAAAGGGCGATGATAGTTATTGGAAAATATGATAAACATTTTGAAATTAACAACAGCAATGAATACGACATTAATCAAAATTAATAATAACCGTCTATCAAAGAATGAAATCGAATTGATATTACCATCATATTACCATAGAAACGGCTTTTGATTTTTAGGACTTTAGGACTGCAACAAATTGGATTATAGATTTTTTTTCAATTCCGTCGTATTTTGCCTTCGATTGAATTTTGGCATGATGCGCGGAAATTCTTGGGATAATTTGTATTATTCTGAATAACAAAATTTACAATACCGTAATAAAAGATTAATACAAATTTATTACTTTACTACGTGGATATACGTTGAATTTCGTTTTTACGCAATGCGTTCTTTACTCATTTCGTGAAATTTTTGTGTGTGTTCTTATTGATATAAACCTAATATATGTTTCTATTATAGAGTGTTTTTGGCTACATAATAAAAGTTTTCAAGGGATGAATCAAACCACAATCTCTTTAAGGAAGCAAACGGAGTACTTGTGACTTAAGACGGATTGTCACTTGTCAGGTTCAGTGAAGCAGTCTGATTGAGTGTTACTGAAAGACGGAAAACAGTGCTTCTGTTCATAATTTTGCCAGTTGAATATATTCGGTTGATCTAGACATCTTTCGTTGATCTTGTAAACATAAAATGTCTACAAAAATACAAACAGTTTTTCGAGAAGTTAGTATGTTTAGAATTAGCATATGAGTGACATATTGTATGTATAAAAACGACAAAAATGTCGTAGACAGTGGGCCAGACGAGGATATTACGTAGAAATATATGGAGAGCTATTGAAACTATATAGAAATAATAAGTTTGGAAGCCAATTTTGTCAATATTCCCTGAAAACTTGGAAAAATAGACGAAAAAAATAGGTTTGATTCATTGTTTAGTAAAAATGAACAGAAGTAGAACTAGCTTTCAGTTTAACTAGAAATGGGAATATACTGATCAGTTTCACAGAAACCGTGTTCTCACGTTCATTCTTAATTCAGTACCATAAAATCAGCCAAACTGCTTCAGTAAGACTTATAGAACCTTTGTGTGGATGATTGTTTCCTATGATAAAGATTCAGTCTAGGATATCTTAAAGCCCGCAAATACAAAAAAATAAATTTAGGCCGGAACTTCTGGTGTTACAACAGATTATTACAAAAACTACGATACACCAAAAGAGGCGAGGGGTATCTCACTTGGGTAAAAAATGTACTTGTACTACGAAAATATCATTTTACTTTCAAGTTAATTCTGTTAATTCAGTACCATAAAATCAGCCAGACTGCTTCAGTTAGACTTACCGCCTTATCTGTGGATGACTGTTCCTTATATTTATAATATGATAAAGATTTAATGTGGACATCTTAAAATAAGCAAATATAAAATATCAATTTAGACTGGAAGTTCAGGCGGAAGTCCAACAGAACATTACAGAACCTACGATACACCAAAACCCCTTATCAGCTAAATAAGATTAATTTAATTCTTATACAATATCATATAGACTAAACCTCAGACTCATCCGAGCAGAACAGATGGTTATATTTCTTTTTTTAGTTGATAAACCAATTAGAAAACTTATGTAACTGTAAAGTAACTGTAAGGGCGCAAACATAGTGAGGCATCTCGATACGATGCTCGCCAAGATGCTGGCCGCGCTGCTCGCCAGGATGGTAGCCGGGATGCATCCTACGCGCACTATTTTAAAACGGCGAATGGGTGCGCGTAGGATGCATCGCGACTATCGTACAAACATAGTGAAGGCATTTCATCTCGACGCGATGCTCGCCATTCACCTCGCCATCCGGCGATGCTGAATCAAACATGTACAAATTTATGCGTCAAAACATACTGGAGCCTCGCACCTCGCCACGCACCTTGATGTTCAGCGCGATGCTTCCTAAAAAACAAAATTTTTGTTTTTTGCGAGAAGCGGACGCGGATGCCTGAAACTTTACATTTGATTGGTCGGTTTAGGATCACAATTCGTTGAGCATATGTCGAACTAGAGTCGGGTGGAATAAAATGTTCACAATACTAATATTTAATTTATCACCAACAATGTAATAACCTTGATTCTACAGGGTCCGGCAATAGTGCGTCGGGCATCTGTAGTTCTAATAATAAAAAACTTATGAATTTTGTAGTCCAGACATAAAGTATGTATTAGGATGTATTTGAGGAAAATATTTGAACTTCTAAAGGGTGGCTCAAAAAATGTGAGTGGATCGCGAATATTTTTTTAAATGGAACACCTATATACGGGGTGGCGCAACTCATTCGCGTCGGTTGATTGTACGAAAACGGAAATATGTAGAAACAAAATATTTTATGGGCATATGTGGGAAGACCATGTGTATAATTTAATATTATTTTGAAATGTACAGAGTATGTCAGAACTATGATTTACACCAAAATTATATTTTTTCTTATGGAACACCCGATATTTTATTTCTTATTTGGATCCTTGGACACAAAATAAGGCATGTATTATAAGGGTTATTATATATTAATATGTTTACAAGCTTTGGTTTTTGAGATATTTAAAGTAATTTAAATATGCATGCTACAATGGAATAGATAGACGGAAAACGGTGCTTCTGTTCATAATTTTGCCAGTTGAATATATTCAGAATAGATTATCAACACCCTGTACATTACTTTTTAGAATTAATTCTTGTGCTGAGTTTAAAGATAGAGAAATATACTTTACTAAAAAATTGTAATGCTGCCTTAAATTTATACAGGGGTACCAAAAATTCATGATTTATTTTAAATATTTATTTTACATAAAAACTTTGTTATTTCAAATACGACAACCTATTTTTTAAAATATATCGAAACAGATTCAAATGCTCCTTCAAACTACATATATTAGGGTGTAGATTTTGAATAAAGAACAATTTTTCAATAAAATGGCTACAAAGAGGGCTGATGTCGTCATGGCAGGTTTCTAGTGACAGTAGCTATTTTCAAAATCGAAATTAGTTTATGGACTTTATTTTTTTATAGCAAGTACTTTAATCACTAGTTGAAAAAAAAGTATACCATTAATATTGCAAATTATATTTTATCTTCTCATAGTATATGTCTTTTTAATTTTTTGATTATGTAACGAGCACTTTGTTCACTTTGTTTACTCACTTGTTTCGTCGAACTGCTTGAAACAATTTTTGCTTTTGATCAAATCGGTGTGAGAAACTATGATGCTACAAAAATTGTGTTTCAGGAGAGTTGAATATCCGGGAAAGTTGAGTTATTGAATGTAATTGC